AGCTTTGATGGTTGTTCTTGATTTAATTGTATCTCATTTCAGCAGGAAGGCTCCTGTGCTGTTTTAGGATGTGTTTGGAGATGGCTTTTAATCAATTAATTGAGGAAACAAATCAGCAGAACAGCGGCACATGCAGCTTTTACTGGGCCTGAAGGACCAGCGCTCTCGTTTCATTATGAGCAACGCTCTTTTGTGTCAAAGCCCTTGACACAAGCCTTTTGTTATTTCATCAAAAATATTTCTCCAAAAAGTTTGGTTTGTTGTTTGTTATTTCAGTCTCACTGAAATAACAAAGAAAATTGGTGCTTTCAGTGGTTTTTCGAACATAATAGATTGACTGAATGGTATTGTAAAAGCACAACTTACTACTATACCTGCTGTGTTCATGATTGAAAACATTTACTATACTTCCAGTAGTTGGAAGCGCCAAAAAAGTCACTATAAGCCACTTGAGGCTGAAGGGGTGGTTACTAACTTCTGAAAAAGCTCTTAAGCTGTGATTGAGGTGGAAAACTGGTGTTTGTTAATTGTAGAGCTTGGATTAGTTGAAGTTTTAAAACAAGTACTTTTTCAACAGCTTTCATTTAAATTAAAACACTATTATTTACCACAGTGCCTCGCTCTTCTCAGCAAGACGGTCCTGGGTTCGAAACCCGGTTAGAACAGGGTCTTTCTGAGTGGAGTTTGCATGTTCTCCATGTGTAGGTTTCCTCCAGGTGCTCCGGTTTCCCCTACCACCAAAGAAATGCACTATAGGTCTGAATGTAACGAGTGAGTGAATGGATGGTGTTGATCAGGGGCTTGAATGCACCTGTGTGCTCGGCGTCTCGCTTCCATCATTCCGTGATGATGGAAGCCCTAACCCTAACCCTAAACCGCCGAAACATATACAGATTACTTACTTACTTACCAAGTCGACACTACATGACAGTCCGCAGTGGTATATTGGCTTGCCATCCTACTGGCCCCTCCCTCTTCAACCTACAGATGGGAATGAGCTATGGAGCTAGTTTGGTACAAGCATCTCTGCTGTATGCATAATGTAACACTGTAACACTGTAAATAAATGAGTCATTATTTATCATTCTCTCTGCACACACACACAAACTCATTTGAATGCATTGTCCTTCTTGGGGGAGACTGAGCCCATACCCACCCACCCACCCAACATTACTGTGGATGTGAACCAATATCAAACAGTATTAGTACAACATAGTGAACGTATATTGTCTTCATTATTTGTGAATCTTGGCCAATCACACTCGCTCTGAGACATAGTTTTTGTGTGTTCGCTGGTTTACTTTTTATAGATAAAAAATGCATAATGTAACACTGTCTTAGTAAATAAATGAGTCATTATTTATCACTCTCTGCACACACACAAACTCATTTGAATGCATTGTCTTTCTTGAGGGAGACTGAACCCAAACCCAAAACCACCCACCCACCATAACTGTGGATGTGGAGCAAAATGAAGATGTATTGGTACAAAATAGTGGCCGTATGTTGTCTTCATTATTTGTGAATCTTGTCCAATCACATGCTCTGAGAGACATATAGTTTGTGTGTTTGCCTGTTTACTTCTTATAGATAAAACATTTTGTATTGTGTTGTCTTGATTCTTCATAAACCCTGGTTGTGTATTTTTTCTTTAGATGCAGGTAACTCAGGTTCAGAGGTAAAGGCACATCTATTGTGTGGCCTATAATTAGACCTGTTGGGAGAAGTCGGTGCAAAAGCAGTGCCCTGTAGATGAGTCATGGTTTGAATTATAAATGTCTTATGTGGAAGTGAATAAGCTTTTTAAGGCGGACTTTTCACCATATGCTCATTAACAACCATTCCGCACGCCTCAGTTCTCAACCTCTTGGCGGCCTTTGACTCAGTAATAATTAGCTGTCATGTACTGGACTCAAGTCTGTACTAACCACAGCTGGCAACACAACATCATTTATAATTAAAACAAGTCGAACAAATCAGTTCCTATTAGACTATTGTTAGTAATAAGTAGACGTTCTCTCAAATCGCCACCTTGTTTTGGCTGCTGCAGATGGAGATAACACTGACCTTTAGTGGGCAGATGTAAATGATAATGCAGGAAATGTTGCGCCTCCTGAATACAGATTCATCAAATGTTTTCTGCCCGACTTAAAGATGGTGATTATACAGTAGAGGAGGCGTTCAAATCAAGGTGACTTCATAACTGTATAATCAGCCTCTAATACGGAGCACGGTGTCGAAACGCATCGGCAGATTAAGTCCTCAGGAATAGCATTGATCTGTTATTAAAACCATGAAAGCATCCTTGTACTTGACTTAAAAGTGAAAGGCACTGCCGTAACTCAAGGTTTTGTCTTGTGATTACATTATGAAGAGAGACTGTTGGGAAAGTTATTCTAAAATGTTTCTAAAAGCAAACAGTATATAACAGTGTCGAGCTACGTTCATAGTAATGTTGTTTATTTTTTAATTTACTGTTTGTATAATTCCTTGGCTGCAAATGTGCCTTGAGAGAAAAACATTGTCAATGCCACACTGCGCCTATGTTCTTAAACCAATTAATTAGATGCAATAACCATGTGTGATGCTTAATTCGTGTTCGCATTTTTTCAGAAATTTGAGGTGGTGCCCTGGATGGAGGATATAAAGAAGTACTACAATCAACATCATTAATCAATTAATTTAAAATGGTTTAAAAGTAGGGATAATTTGTGCATAGCCAGGTCACAGTGTAGCAAGAACTTTGATACCACAAAAATAACAATGAACAAGTTCCACAGCTTGGTTCTATTACCCGTTTTGCCTTGAACGTATTTTTGGCATCTTCAGATCAGCTTTTTCAGCGATTTGCCTGCCCTCACCTCAGCCAACTCAAAGAAAACATTTTACACACCAATATGCCAAAAGACTATGTTGTCGGCTGATTCACAAAATGTTACTTGAACATTGATACATTGTAATTCTGTTGAGACAATGTATTAATGAAATTCTGAAGTTAGGCAATCCAGTTCAAACTTTGTAACTTGCAGTAGTCGTTACCTCATGCACAACACACCTCCATGTTTGATCATATTCATGTGACTGAAGAAAAATGTACTAAAGAATTGAGTATCATTTTTTTTAATTCATCCCTTATTCCCGCCGCACAGTCTATTCACTCTATTATAGACCAACACAGAAGAACCCACCGCCTTCATATATTATCTCTGATTCAAAAACAGTGCTACAAAAATCACATTTAAAAAAAAAAAAAAAAAAAGAATTACAGAGAGACTCACATTACAAATAGTGAAACTGACAAAAACGTACAACACGAGTGAAATCCGCCCGGTCTCAGAAAATGTTAATTACATTTGATGGTGATACTGTTGACGATATGTGGCTATGACTCAACTGCTGCCTGTGAAGTTACCAGAGCCTGAGAAGACGCTCCATAGATCTTACATGTACAGCTTATTTTAAGAAATGCTTTTATTGGAGTGGTCACGCACACAGAGGCAAGAGAGGTGATTCTTTGTTGTGCACCAGCCAAATAGCCTCGAATGTCACAGCAACTTTTGCATTTAAAAGTAGAAAACCATTTCTCACAGCATCAATGTAGCGTGTAATGCATAGCAAGTGCTTTTACCCTCTTTGACAAGTGGAAAGAAACGAAGTGCTAGAAGCATCGCCAATTCCAGTTTTCAAAATAAATGAATGCATGTTTGCCTATTAAAATTGGTGATATGTCAAGATTGCTTTATAAAGAGCTTTGAAAGTATGATTCAACCCGGTGAAACTTTTTTGCAAGCTGCTGCAGAAATATGTGAGAAGTGACGTGTACGCTCCTTTTTAGTCATGAAAGCTTCAACAGTACAACGTATGGTCCCTGAAGGTGTAGAAAGTAGGTAGCCTGGGCAGCCATCACATCTCTTCGCTTAAAGGAAAAGGGGAACTTATTTGTAAAAGTAGTATTTGTGTCTAAATAAGCATAAATCTAAGTAATTATATTAGTCAAATGAACAAAGGAAACTGCCCATAAACAGTTGCGGGTGTGAAGAGTCCAAAAAAATTAACCGTTAAATATGATCCTGATCAGGAAATGAAAGGCAAACCTCCACTGCTGAAATATAGATGTACCGGCTGGCCAGGCTACAGGATAATGCTCATAATCCTGAGCTGTTAAAAAGAAAAAGTGTAAAACTCATGTACACTTATGGATAAACTTGCCATATGCTCGATATAGTCATAGCCAGACTGACTGCATACAGTCAGTCTGCATACAGACAAAAAAAAAGCTATAGAGCAGCGGAGGATCAGTGTGGGAATGACAGAACGAGGCTGGGAGAATCTGTTCATCTCCCTCTGGACCTCGGCACATTTTTTACTCAGTGACTAAAGGGGAAGGCTCTCAGGAAGAGGGAAGGTGAGCAAGTCCTCCATCTACAAAAACAGTCATTCATTACACAAGATTTGATTAATGGTCACATTTCATCTTTTAGCAGCGGCTGCTGAACTCCTTGACTTTGTTCCAGCTGTGCATTGGTCTTGTGATGCGTTCTGAGCAAATAAGACAACATTCTGAGCTGCTTTCAGTCAAGGAGGAAGTGATTGACAAGTACAAAACAAATCACTCAGCTACAGCCAAATAAAGCTTGAAATTGCACAAGTCCAGGCCCTGTGGATATTTACATTCATTACTTCAGTCCGATAGACCAAAACGTAGAAAAAAGAGAATTCTTACAAGGTAGAGCTAATTGAAAGTGTTTGAGAAACACCGGCTTCTAGAAGGATCCAAGTCCCTTCTCTGGTCCCCACAGGGCCACAGTATCACAGCTACAGCCTGCCCCCTGCTGTCAGTTCGTGCTCAGTACAGACGCTTTTGCTTTGTGTTCTTTGTGGTTTGAATGTGCACTCAACAGGACCGTCCAGAGGAGCAAGAGTGAGTCCAAGGCTAGCTCAGGTCTCGCTGCTGTTCCGGACCAGTGGGAGTCGTAGCGTTTGTTGTTGGGACAGCTGTTTTAGCGCAGCTTGAGCTTGAAGGCTGAGATCTCCATGGGATCCAGAGTGACGGAGGAGTCATTCGCCAGAGCAGTGCCCGAGTGCATGAGCGTGAGGGACATGGGCTGCAGCAGCTGCACGTCCAGGTTCTTGAAGAGTCCAGAGATGTTAAGCTAAAAAGAGAACAATATTAAATTATGATATTCAAATTTATGCATTATTCTTATATACATTTATTGGAGAAAGGTAGGTGGTCTCCCCAAAAAATAAATATTTGAAGGCTAGGGTATGCTATTCCATCTGTAAGCAGCTACAATCCAGACTGTATCCAGACTCGCTGTCTGGTATCATCTGGAGTTGTGTATATGGAAAGCAACATTTGGCACAGATTGAAACTTGTTCAAAATCAGAGTATGTCACAACAAATGTTTACCTAAGCACGTCTAAGACATAACATGATGTCAGCTCAAACAGTGAAACAATTGTTCTACTTATTGTCCGTTTTTAATTTAAATGTATCGAGTTTGTGACACAAAGTTATGCTCGAGGCACAGTATGTTTTGTGATTTATAAATACATTTGATTAATTTAAATTACAGGAAGCGGCAATCAATCAGAGTCAATGTGTCCTTGTGTGTAGAATTACATTTGTTAGTAAAGCAACAGAGTGATTTGGAGGCTGCTCTTATAAGTGAAGGTGGATGCTAATTGGTCGCCCTTGGCCTCAACATTCATCAATGCCATTCACTTTCATATCAACCGAGCCCCTTTCATTGTGAGTGAGTGTGTCGCACCTGTCCCCCTGTAGTGGTGCAGTTGAAGGCCATGTTCTGAGCCTCCACAGCACAGTCCAGGCCGAGGCGGTGAATGAGGAAGGCCGTGTACGGTGATGGGCTCTGGGGATCCTCCTGGTCACACAAAAACAGAGAAATGAGCGATACGACAAAACACCGTGAGGTAAACCCGAGAGTAGCTGCATACTTGGTTCTGGATGCTGCGCAGGTTCACCAAGTGCATGTCACAGGGGAGAGCCGACTTGAGAGGAGCAAAGGTTTGTAAAGGAGGAATGCCTCTGCGTTTGGGGAGGACGGGAAACGCCAGGACTTCGTGATTCAAGATGGCGCTGGTCATGTGACTTAGTATAGAAGGAAAGCTGGTAACCCCGGTGTCCATCATCTGTGGAAGACATTCAACTGGAGTAAGAAAATAAAACTTAACTCTAAATCTGCACTATTATAACTACCTTCTAAAACTCCACTATAATAACTACCTTCTAAAACTCCTATCACAATGATTTATTCTAATGAGCTGTTGCTACGACAACATTACCTCTTGAACTTCGTCACTCAAAATTTGTGAGAAACTACGAAACATTGAGGAGAATTTGGTGATAAAGCCATCACGCTGAACAAGTAATTATGTGGAAAGAAAGGAAATAAAAAGACAATTAGACAAAGACAGTTGATGGTAAAAATGAGAACGGAAAGAATGAGCGAAGGACAAATTACTGACGTTTAAAAACAGGCCGATTAGAAAGCGTGATTTTCTTTTATGGAGCTAGTCTCCCGTCACTGACCTTGTTGCCCATCCCTCTGTGCTCCAGCAGCAGTCGGAAGCGGTTCACGGTCTTCTTGTTGTCCTTCAAACCCTGGCCGAGCCCGCGGTTATCATCTTGCATCAGCCGGCGGTCCAAAATAACCTCGAGCTGGCCTGAGGCACAAAGAGGCACGACACATGGCCATAACACAAAATCATCGACTAATCATAGGCAGCCCAACAATCATCTCCACAGACAGCAATGAAAGTTTGTAATTACTTGACAATAGATGCCATTTACGTCACTAGTCTTTGATTACCAAGCTGGCACAAAGGTAAACCAAGGAGACAGGAGGAGGCAACCCATTTTATATCTGCCATCTACAGGCAAAAAATAATCCAACTTAAAAATACATTAAACTAATAGAAATTAAAATAGAAATTCAAGTTCATTTTGGCCGTTTACTAGTGCTCAAATAGATAGACCAGGGGTTAAAGCAAAAAAAAAAAGATTTGACTGAAAATGTTTGCATGGAAATTTATCACATGTAAATCACAGTAATATGCAAGACCAAGTTATATTTTTTATTACAATATATTATTGTATAATAGATTGAAGAATTCATTTGAGCTGTATTCAATATACAAAGATATACAGTGTATTTTGATATGAAATATAAGTGGATCAAGCAACGAGTCAACTTTTTGACAGAATATTAGTGAGAGTAGCTTTACTTGAGGCGATATGGAGCGTCAACACTTTGGCTCTGTCCTCGTCAAAATATTGCAAAAGGACGATAAAATTCTGTCCACATTTGTTTGTGGACACGTCAATATTTAAGAAAAAGGTTTCCCTATCAAGTTTGAGTGCACAGTGCACTTCGATCAACTGCAAATGATTTAAATAAATCTACCAGCGGTAGTGATATTCTGAACGTTATTTTCTGCGATAAAGCCACAGACACGGTCTGCCATAGCAAGCCTAGTGTTAGTTGTTGCTGATGCACCAGGTAAAGATGAAGTGTGGGAAAGTGCACAAACAGCTGCCTTGTGCGCAGTTTTGAGCTGGTGGCGAATCAAAACTTTTTTCTCATTACTCCCATATATGCATTTTTTTATGGCAAAGTACGCACAAGAACCGGCCACTTTCATCTTTTCGCACCATGACTCATTGATTGGCTCTTTTACATCACGCTGAGTTTTGCAAGAAGATCGCAAACAAGACAATATCAAAAGCTCACCAAGACATGTTTGTGACCCATTCCCAGTTGCAGCAAAGTCCGTTTTGTACATTCCGTTAAGTAAAATAGCATTGCGTTTGGTAAACGTTAATTACCTTTCGTCTATTACGTGCCCAGCTTACCAGTCCGCGGATCTGCTGCTGTTATCGCTCCGTTCGAGATTCAATTTTCCTCCTCTTCTCCTTTTCAAAAGCTTGGTGCAGTTTCCAGAAACTTTCACCTCCGTGTTACCAATGCTAACTTCATCGCGTCTTCATTTGCGCGTGAGCTCAGCTACGTCCCATTTCCTTGATTCATTTGCGGAGCGCTCATGTGGCCACGGCACGTTCAAGGCCCACTCGTCATTATATTACTTATTATTTCTATATACATATAAATACAATTATATTCAAATTATTATTATACATCGATATATATATATATAACAGATTCACACGTATATGTATTACTATATATTATTTTTATAATCAATCATTTCATTGTGTGTATTATTATCATTATATATATATATATATATATATATATTTTTTTTTTTCCAGACCAATTTCATTTGACGGAAATCCGTCACCTAGACGGAACTCTTTAATCCCTGAGATAGACCACATTTTACACTGTGTTCCCTAAAAGCTGCAATATTGATTTTAAAACGGCTTAATAATTAAAAACAAGGTCATTGATCTCTTGTGCAAAATTGCAACCCTGCCTCATCACAGCTGCTTGTTTATTGTAGCCAGCAGCAGATTTGTATTAAGCAAGTATTTTCTCAACTTGAAATTTCAGCCTTGAATACATAAAAATGCAACTCCAGGTAAGCAAATACTAAAACAAACATCATTTTAACATTTAAGAAAAGTCTACTTTACATAATGTATCTATAGGTCTATATGCATACCACTCTCCAGGCTGGTGACTCCCAGAGACTGAGCGGTGTGCAGGGTGAGGCGGTACTGGCTGTCTTGGATGAAGGCCTGACTCGGCATGGGGTAGAAGTTGGCTTGAAGGGGAAGCTTAAGGTGGTGAAGCCGAGGTTGAATCTACAAATCAAAATGGACACAAGGAATTAACTATAGGACTCCCACGTCCCACGTTCTGAAACTACTAGAACTCCCAGGGCCGTCATTTTGACTGCTCCCATTCAAAACTCAAAGGAGTGCTGGGAAATAGCCCCAAAAATGTTGATCGTAGTCTTCCATCAGATGTATCAACATTTATTGATTTTTATTTTTTCCCTTTACTCATTAAAAACTGGCTAACATAATTGTTAGCCAGTTTTATTAGTTTTATTAGCCAGTAATATTTTTTTTTTTTTTTTTCCATTATTTGTGATTTTATTCTGTTTTTAATGTATTTATTGATGTCTCTGATTTGTGTGATACTATGTGGGTTGTGAGGCGCTTTGAGTGGCCTTGTGTTGGAAAGGCGCCATACAAATAAAGTTGATTGATTGATTGATTGGTGCTATGGTAACTAGCACTTGCTCTTCTCTGGTAGAAAACCAAAATGAACCAGGACCAGCCAGGACCAGCCCAGGACCAGCCCAAGACCAGCCCAAGACCAGCCCAAGACCAGCCCAAGACCAGCCCAATTAGACCATTCATTTAAAAAAATAGATAAATGATAAAGTTCTATAAATAATGACAAAGACATAAATTATGTTAGGAACACCAAAAAAAAGGTACATACACCGAGTGATTACACTCAATTAAAAGCAATCAAATTGAATGCTCTAGGAGTGCTAGTTTTAAATCACAGAAAAATGCAATGGTAAAGGACACAGCCTTTTGTTTTTATATTATACAGTGTGAGTGTGTGGGAGTGCGTGTGAGTGCATGTGTAGATTGATGCCGGCAGGTTTCTCGTGAAGAGTCTTCTTTGAAAGCGTGTCTGGTGAGTGGGAGAATAAGTCAATCTTTTAAATGAACACTAAGGCACTTATTGTATGAAAAGCGATTTACAAATAAAGATTGATTGATTTTATATGCCCATACGATGCATCATGCGCACTGACCTGGAAGCCATTCAAGTCGGTGTAGAAGACATCCCCACTCTGGACATCTGTAACCAGGCGCATGGCCAGCTCCTTATTGGTCTGATCCCTGATGTCCACTGTGGTCGACATGTCGATGGATAAGCCTTCAACACCTAGAATATGTGTCCGTATTATTTCACTATATTACACAGCAGCAAACAAGACAAGATTACAGTTTTCCATTTTGTCTCTAGTGCATGTCTTACCAGGCACATTGTGGATCCGTATGGTCTGCTGGAAGTGCTGATAATGGGCTACTACCTCAGAGAAAAGAGGGCCCTCCACCACACGAACCACAGGAGTTTCTTTCTGGCTGTAAGGCTGACAAACAAGAGAAAATCTATTTAGTCTTCTGGAGATTTTCCACTAGAAGGCTGGCACGGTAAATAAGTAAGTAAGTAAGCTTTATTTATATACCGCCTTTCACAGACCAGAGTCACAAAGCGGTTTACAATTGTTATTTTTTGGGCACTTGTCCTCTCACTCCACACAGAGATGGGAGCGGGGTCGCCGAACAGGAGGCGCATGCCAGACCTATATTGTACATATTTTTAGTGGTAGGGGAAACCGGAGTACCCGGAGGAAACCTACGCAGACACGGGGAGAACATGCAAACTACACTCAGAAAGGCCCTGGTCCGGCCGGGATTCGAACCCAGGACCTTCTTGCTGAGAGGCGAGAGTGCTATCCACTCAGCCACCTTGCTTGCTTGCTTGCTTGCTTGCTTGCTTGCTTGCTTGCTTGCTTGCTTGCTTGCTTGCTTGCTTGCTTGCTTGCTTGCTGTAAATACTTTTTTCTTTAAAGACTTGAGACTTATCGTTTCAGCCAATTCACGTCACATTGTCTCAATTTTAGCCAAACAGACAAACCTGGCAGACTTGAAAGAACCAGCACAACTAGATGTGCAACCAAGAAGAACCAACTCTGCATTAATGTAGCTCAGTACAATTTATTTTGGTTCAAAAAATGTTGATCAAAGCTATGGTAATCAAGTTCAAACTTAGCAGGACATTGTGTTCTTTACAAAAATAAAAAAAATAAACGTTTTAAGCTCAAATAAGATTATTCAAATGTATCCTACATTTGTGATTTTACATGACAAGTAGAAAAATGTAGAAAATACCTTTGCCTTTCCATCTGGTAAAAACAAGTAAGCTCCACTTTTGTCCTTGGAAGGGCGTGTCCCGTACGTCACAAACTCCATCTGAACTTTGACTTCCTGAAGGTCTTCTCGTCGCCTGATGCTCTATGAAAAGAAAAATGCAAAAATCCATTAAACCGATATTAGAGTAAGGTGCAGCATACGACTGAGAAGTTTACATATGCGTGTGTGACTTCGCTACTCACTACTAGCTAAAGCTGAATTCAGCGACAGAAAGCACCTGGCCAGTTATTAGGGCTCATATCCATATTTACAAAAGACAATTTCACAATGTAAACACCAGAACCAGCCCTTCTCTGTGTAACAAACTGTTACTGAGCAAGAAGAGTTTACTTTTCAATGTAAATCAATAGGAGCCAGAGAGAGTAGGAAAAACTTTGAAGCCCAACAGGGAAGTGCTCATAGTCATTCAGCCATGTCATTGAGCTAGCAAAGTCCATCTATAAATAGTCTATGGTTCAAACCCAAGCTCGTCGAACACTCACCTCCAGGAGTCCAGTGCTTCCTGAGAATCCCAGAATGAGCGACTGGCTGCTGATGTAGAAGGTTTGTGCGTCGGCCTGGAGGGATCGGACCGGGAGGGGGTCTGAGGCGCGCGCAGTCACCGAACGGCCGGGCAGTCTAAGCAGGGTGTCCGAGCGCAGCGTCATGGGAGAGTCCGCAGACTCGTACAGATGGAACACTGCCAGGCCCAGTGGAGGAAGACGTGCCATGAACGTGGCCTGAAAAGACAATTGTCAAATGTGTTTTTACTCTGGAGAGAAAATAGACAGTTGAAAGTGAACATGCAGGTTTAATTAACAAAAGATGGGGAATAGAAAGTGTATTGAAAATTCTTAATTGAAAGAATCCTCCACACATTTTGGGCTAAATCCCAACAGCAGTCGTCCCGGAGGACTTTCCTGATATAATAATGATAATAATAATTTAATGTATAATTGGGGGGGGTAAAAGAATATAGACATACTGATTGTAAGCATGTTTTTTTGTGTCAGAACTTGCACATCTCTGGATTCACGTTACAGCCAGGTCTGAAAAAGCTATATACGAAGAGTACGGAGTTCACAAAAAGATCATGTCGCATCTGCCAGAAATAAGTAAAGTAGTTTTCCGCAGCATAAAACATGGACATTCATCAACTGAAGCTGTGCCAAAGAGGAAAAACTGAAGTTGGAGGTGAAGTTGAGCTTGTTGCTTCAAAAATTACATTAGTTTAAATTACCCTCAAACTCCACCTGGTCCTAAGAGTAAGAGACTTCTGAAACACAGGACAGGGCAGGCGACTTCTCCGAGCTCACGATGTGCACATAAAGACATAAAGAAATAGAGTATTTGTTCTTATTGCATTTCTCTGACTCATTATGTTCTCATAGTCACAGCTAGGTTGGCTTTGATTATTCCAGGTTCCTAATGACTGTTTATGCAGACTAACACTATGGCCACCAGGGGTCCGTGATCAAGAATCATCATTCAGGATTTTACAGATGAACTTTTGAACAAGAAAAAGTTGCTCATTTTCATGCATGTGACAGATTGATTTACATGACTCCTTCCCTCTTTCCAAAGGGGAAAATAAGATACTCCATCTTTGATTTTAAATACATGGTCTAGTACATGGCCAGGTGGTTTTTCAAAATGTACAGACTTCACCAGTACATTTCAGCATGAATTGCAGTTACTGTGCACTTAAGACTTGTGCTCATTTAAACATTTAAAAACTCAAGAATTTGACAAATATTCCGAAAATTCCATTCGTTACCTATAGCTTATTTTGCATATTGTGAGAATACAGACTGTCAAACTGCAATGCGGTCTACCTGAAAAACAAAACAAACAGGATTTGTGCCTCCAGTCTCACCTCAAACACTTCCGCGCTCATTTGACTTGTAGAACTCCACTGAGCACTGAGCTGCACTGGGACAGTCTGGCCGTCTTCAGTGAGAACTCGCACCTTCACCGTATTCACCAGCACCGTCACCGCACACAGACGCTCCTGCTCCACCGGGTTGAACAGAACCACGTACCTGATAACAAGACAGACGCTTTGGAATAGACAGCACAATGAAGAGGGGGGCTTAATCAAGTCCCAGGGAGCAAATAATACCTCGGTCCAGCTGGGTCTAGTTCGATCAGAGTGCGCTGAGGCAGAGAGTCCTGGGTCGCGCGCCTGTCGTCCTGCAAGAAAATACAAAAAGATTCTATGTTGAATTCAATTCAATGTATTCTTGTAAAGCCCTAAATCACAACAGTAGTTATCTGGGAGGACTAAAGACAACCGTTGAAATCGCCAACACAGATCAAAGAATCAAACTGATGTAGGTCTCTCTGTGATGCGTTTCTTTTACCGTCTCTAGGAAGGGCTCGGTCTGGTAGAAGCGATAAAAGTCCTTGTTCTTCAACACCAGGAAATGAGCGGCATTGATGATTACCCTCTTCAAACCGTTGAGCGCGCGCAGTAATCTACAGCAGAGAATCAAGAATCAATTGTCTGCTGCAGCAGTCACACAGGGCTTGTTCCGTGCTTCAAGTATTGACTGGAAAACTGTGGAGGCCTTTTTGTTCATTTATTGTCTGTGAGGATGTGGAGGCCAGTTTATACATGGTTCATAGTCAGAGCACTTACCTAGTGCCATAGTCAACAACAACGTTTTCCTTTGCGGTCCCAGTGATGGCATCGTGGTGCTGGAAGAGCCCCACCGAACGTCTGGCATCGACCAGGAGGGCGTAGTCTGACACGGGGTAACGTCCCTCCATACCAGCATGGCGAGCATTAGACACGGCTAAACTGTAAAGAATCTCTGCTCCCCTAGAGGAAAATACAGTCAAGATTACACATTAACTCCACTTTATGTATATAAATAGTGGCGGACAAACCATTTAATCCAAGTTATTATACACTGCGCCCTTATTGGATTTTATTTAACAATGCTAGAGACTGCTGCACTTTAAAACAAGAGTTCCACTTAGGATTATGGATTTACACAGGTGATTCTGGACAGAACATTCCCTAACTCAGCTCGCTCAAGCTCAGGGCTTTGCTGGGTTAGTGTTAGGATGACTTTATATTTGTTATCGTGTTCTGGGTCAAATTACCTGCCACAGATCAAGAGAAATTCCCTAAATCTGGGTCTAAATAGGGTTAGGGCTGGTCAAGTGGTGAAAAAGCATCCAAATTCAGCTTGATTATTATTATTTATTTTTTTTATCTTTGTTGCGGATCAATTTGACCCGAGGATAGCACAATAGTTAACATTATCTCTGTTGGCTGTAATGAGTATGCTGCTTGCTGATGAAGTTACAAAGAGTGGATTAAGGTTTAAGAGTTTAGCACGGAATTCCTACTTTTTTGCTGCCACATCTGACATTTGAGCCCTACCAACATGTATCCCTACCACTGCTGTATGGGTATTATAATACTGGGCTCAATTCCAGGGCGTTCTAAAGCCCATTTCAAGGTGCCCATTTCAGCCCCAGTAACACAAACAACAATAATAAAGTGAAGCCTGGAAGGAAAAAGGACATTTAATTTTGTTCTCATTCTGTAAATCATACCTGAGGTGTGACTCTATTACGCGGTCTAAACTTTTGTAAAACGGTCTGGAAGTGAAATATCCGGTCCAATAGTGGTCTTCCCGGTCAGCGTAGGCAAAGAAATCTCCACTTAGAATAGGAAAGTCTGTCGGCTTTGTTCCTTCAGGTACCCCATTACTTTTGTATACGGCACTGAAGTAGTCCGAGAGAGTTCCAAACTGAGCCTAAAAAAAGGGAAAAAAATAAAAAACATTATTTCCTCACAGTGGAATTTGCACCAACAGTTGAGGTGAAGTATGTAAGACTCAAAACTTTACCTGTACGTGCATCTCTGGGTGTGAATTCATGTAGTCGAAGAGTTTCTGGTAGTTGGTATACTGCTGGTCCCACTCCAGGGCCTTGTCGTAGCGGAAATCGTCTCCCAGAGGAACGAGAAGCACCTTGCTGCGATAGAGCTTGGACTTTTTCCTGTACTGGTCCAGAAGCAGCTGCGCCCTGTTTTGAGAAACGGAGGGTGGATGTGAAAAATGAAGACAGCTATGCTTAAGTATCAGTATGTTAATCTAAAAATAAGGGAATCTGCCTTGAACATCACTTTTATAATAGTGTCTTGAGCAGTAGGATTTTTGTATTTTAGTACCATTGCCAAAAAAAAAGGTTTTGCAGTAATGATCTGAAACTGCTTATAACGACTAATTAGAGATTGATAAGTGGGAAGATATTTACATAAAGAGGTCAATTTTCAAATACAACTGCCAACAACCTGCCCTAAATTACTCAAACCAGGACAATGCTCCAGGAAAGTAGAAGGACAAGATAAAAACGTACAAAAAATGTGTTAGTTGGGGTTCAAGATTCAAATTACAACCTCAGAAGTAATTTTGACAGTATTTCATAGTTTGAAATATACAGGCATTTTTGATTAATTATGTAATTTACAGTCATAGGTTTAGGCAATAAAACAATATAAGCTTTATGCATTTTGCACTATATTTGATGAAAACATGACTCATTATATTGGTTATTTCCTCTCAAAACAAAGATACATGCCTCAGAATACATCTTTGAACCCAATAATGAAGAGGGGATGCTCAAAATGACGCATGTCCCCATTTTAAAACCAGCCCAGTGTGTTAGCTTTGGCATGATTTCAGAGTGAGTTTATTTATAATAGACTAGAGCAGATTGGGAGAAGTAACAACAGCTTTGTGCAAGAGTCACAATAAAGCCATGTTTATTTTCCACAACAGAACATTACATAACCATCACATATTAGACCCCAGTTTATTAAGTATAACAGTGGAACAGCTCACCTTTCTGCTACGTTGGCCTCCACAATGGCCTTGGGAGGCACTTTCCAGGGGCAGTTGATGCGGCCGCCGGGCAATCGCTTGAAGTCGAACTGGCAGCAGATCTTTGGGTCTGGGCCGCAGGTGTGAGGCACGTCGTAGCTGTAGAACGGCATCATGTGGCAGAACATGTCGGTGTTGGATCCAGTGTCTGTCAGAAGGAGAGGAAGGAATTTGGGTCAATGTTGTCTCAAAAGGTTGTGTCCGTGTGACATTGAACTATAGGCTGTTTTTGAAATATTTGATTGTGTCATCCTTAGCTTATGGAGCAATGGAGCAATGACTCTTATATGTTTATTATCATTGCATTTCCTATGTGTGAACTATTTGATTCTTTGATCAGTTGTGGTGGAGCGCAGCTGAATTTTTAATCCTGGCAATCGTGTCAAAAGTCACTTTGTTTATAGCCAATGTATATGTAATCTATGGGGCAATCCAGATCTTATTTCTCATATAACTATGGTCTAATGTTTTCTCATAAAAAGAGAAAAAAAAATTGTAGTGGTGACAATATTCAAAGAAACATGCATGATGTCGACCAGTAGAAAGACATGGCCGGTTTGTGAATTGAATAACATTTTCTTAGTAAAGATATTTTATTGGTCTAATTTTTCATAATGAGTCTTTCACTTTGTTTTTGCACCTGCTAAACGACTGAAAAATAATTCTAAAAAAAGAATGCAGCGTATCAATCAATATAGCTCTTTTGGGTGGAAAACATCTAATTGGCAAAACAGTTTGAAATATGAGAATCTATCATTTCTGGTGTATAATTTCATGGAAACAAGTAAAAGTCCAGTTTATGAAGTTGTAAAATATGATTGAACATATTTTAAAAAACAAATTTCAATGCCATATAAGTATTAAAAATGAAAAGAACAACAACAACAAAACATGCCCTTATAGTCCATTTGTACAGCTGCGTATCAAGGCCTAAATCCTTGAAAGTTTTGTTAATGGATTTCCTAAATTCAAATCTGTCTGCAGTCTGGAGAATATTTAACAGTACCTAGCAACATCAATAACAAAAGCCCAAACAAATAAACTTCACATCGACTACACCACATTCATTAATGCATCATGTTGAGGTCCTTCAAAAGAGGCCATTTTGTGACAAGAAGCATGATTCATCCTAAAATTGTATGTGATTGCCAATGAATAGTTCCACAAATACATTAACTGCATCTGGCTGTGCTTCACTCACCCCACGCCTGCCTCCACATAAACTCCAGGCTGCGTGTGGAGGCAAAGTGCTTTTTGATGGAATAGTGCACCCTCTGGATTAGCATGCTGGTCAGGTTTGCCTTCTTTAACAGGTAGGGCATGGTTGCACTGTGTCCGAAAGGGTCTACTGCCCACCCGCTACGTGGAGTAATGCCTGGATTAAGCAGAGGTGAGCGAGAGTAAACAGAAAGTAATAGTTCAGAGGAGTTTAATGATAAACCTGGTGTGGCTTTTTTTCCAAAAATCTTATGAAATTAGTCAGTGTACCTAGATTTCTTTCCAGCCACTGATGCCCTTCAATGAGCTGGTCAATCATTGCAAAATAATGAGCATTGGCTTCATCTGTCATCACCCAGCCTCCTGTCACGATCTCAAGTTGTCCCGCGAGGATCAGCCTGGAGGGAGGATTAAGAAAGAAACGTGAAGATAAGCTGGCTTTGAAGAAAGACCAACGCCACAACCAGCTAATTTTAGAATAACTATAGGTTACTGGCCTACGTTATATATGCTGCATGATACCGTGAAGTAGAATTGGTCACAAAATATGGTCACTGTTCTGCAACTACCTTTGCAATAGTTTTATTTTAACTTATATGTTTTTAAGTTAGAACTTTGAACATGTGTTTTCTAAGTCATGATACATAAATATAATTTAGGAAAAAAAAGTTATTTGGGGTTACTTATCGACAGGGAACAGCCAAATGTTAAGTATCAGAGTAAAGCTGAACAATTTAATAAAAGTATTGGGGAAACCGCTCTACTCCGAGATCTTCCCATGTGACTGAAAAGCTCAACTCGTCTCCAAGCGAGAGCCCAGCCGCTCTGCAGAGGAAACTAATTTTGACGACTTGTACATGAGCTAGTAAAGTCATTGGAAGGACAGCTTTGTCTTTCAACTCTGCTCCCTCTTCCCTAAAAACAGTCCGATGCAACGAGCACATGATCCTTCATCACACATGGCCAAGAGCCAGTGATACTTTCACTAAACTTGCCACACAGGTCCTGAATACACATGACATGGGTGGACAAACAGAGGGGTGAGAGTACATGCCCTCAGGTTCCGTTCTGTTCATGACTCACTTGCGTGTGGCTTCCTGCTTTTGTGCATCCGCAGTTTCCCACCACTTCGAAAAAAAGGAAATTTCAGACCAGATAAACTTCCTTCTGGGATCCTCCGACAGCTTCACCACCATGTTGTTCAATATGTGCTGGGTTTGGTCAGCAAAGTATTTGTCAAAAGTTTTTATCCAACCTAAGAAGGCAGAAACAAGACAAACAACAACATTTCAATGTATTCAAAGTGTTTTTAAAAATAAGACTCAGGATTTAATAAAATGTCAGATAGTTGCGATAGGGTAATAGGTCCTCATATGGGTACAAAGAAATAGCACATTGGTTTATTTATGGTCCATGCCGAAAGCCATTAGGTGAAGTAGGTCAAGACTTTCAGGCTAACCCATAGCCTGAGAGCAAGAGTTGTTTTACTCTCATTTTTGTTTTATTTATGATGAGGTTAACAGAAATAATGATTGAATGATCACATTGCTCAGTTGTAAAAAAGCACTGATTAGGGAGACTCAGACAGTTTAAGTGAAACTTTAATGACACAAAAGCTGTTCTGTTGAGACGTTCTCAACTTTACTATAGACATTTTAGTTTCATAATTGTATTGACTGCTTACTGATCACATTGCAATCTCATATTTAATATGTAATATGATGTTTCCATCTGTTTTAGTATGTTCTTTTGTTTTAGAGCCAAAACATGACTAAAACATGAACCATGTTCCATTTAACATCCTCAGTGTCAAACAGTGAAGTGTGTGATTCCTTTTGATCAGTTTCTCTCAGAAGTATAGTTTTAACATTGTTGTAACAACTATGCAACAATGAATAGTCATCTCTCAAAATGTCACGTCTGCACTCACCGGGGTCGTTGTGGGAGTGAGGGATGACAAACACCTGCAGAGGCTCATTGTCCCATTCGTCAGCTTCATATGTGATGTCAAAGCCTTGTTTCCACACTCCACCATCAGGGTTGTCAAACTTTAAAAGCGAGTACACATCTAGCATCTAAAAAGAAACATTGATATTCACTTAGGCTGGAACATTTTTCCCATTTGCAAGCACAACAAATAATTCTGTGGCTTGTTTTTTTAATTATGATAAACCGTTTACCCACGTGTACAAATATCCCAGTAAGTTAATTTACAATCGAAGACCCATTTGAGCTCCAATCCACACATTTATTAAAACATGTTATTTTTAAAACAAAGACTGCAGTTAATTATAAACAAGTGATTCTAAAACAGCCTAGTCTTAACGTTTACTTTATTCTGTGAATTATTAAGCATTTCCAGCATTCACCGACAAACAATGACATATTCTCGTATTCCTTGAAAAGAAGAACTTAAGCATCATGCGCACCTGCACGTCAGGATGGCTCCGCCGGAGGCCGGCAAACTGGCAGTCCTGGGGCTTGATGGCTAGAAATGTGGGTCGACCGTCAAAGGGTAGAATCCAAGAACCATTGGCGCTCCTGAAAGGCAGGTGGCCGCTGGGAGACACGGCACCTGTGTCTGTGAGCTCCATCACAGAATCTTTTATGTGACTTATTATTTGATGGTTTTCCTCAAGTAGCTGCTCCAGTTGCTCTATCCTGTTCTGCAGCACTGAGATCTGACTCTAAAACAGGATCAGACATCAGTTACCTTCTGTCATCTTACCAGCACCAACAATAAAGAAATAGAACTACAAATGAGAATAGGGGGTTAACATTAGATGTTCACTTTGCCATAAGCAATTACTCTTACCCTTGGAAAGTTTCCACCACTCTGTCTCCTTGCAGGGTCATGCTGGACTCGATCCAACATCAGATATAGCGAGAATACAGCCACACAGAAAATGGCCCCTCCACACACAGTTACCTGCTTCCTTAGCTTCATTTTGTAGTCTTTTCACAGTCTTTTTTTTTTTAATCCAGTGTCCCTTCTTTGAAAAGGCAAAAGTCTTTTAAAATAAAAATAAAAGAATGTAGTCCAATCTGGTCACAAAGTGGAAAAAGTATGCAGGCAAGCCACAGTTCTCCAGCAAGGCAGTCTCCAGGTTGTGCTCATCATCCTGGACATCGCACTGACGGAGCTGCAGCGCTGATAACAGTGAACCGTGCCACTAAATCAGCAATGCCTGGCAAGTGCTCATTCAGCTTTGGCAAGACCACAGCCACTGGTGGACACCCTCAAAGTAGCCCTTGTACTCAACCATGCATGTTGAAAAAAGGGAAAATGCAGGGAGAAAAAACACAAGCACCACACTGAAGGGGATTTAAACAGCAGGTCTAGTGTCCCTCCATCAGTCTCTGGGACCTCTACTCTCTCATGGTGGTGTTGGTGTCTTGAGCTCACGTCACAGCTCCAACGTATCACAGTGAGATTCAAAACAAAAAGGCAATTCTGTTCACAATAGCTTCAGGAAACAAAGTGATTATACAGCATCACAGCCAGTTCATCAGTCTTTGGTTGCAAGTTGAAGTCTTGTATCTGTGAAGAAAAAAAGGTTTAAAAAGAACAGCCTTGAGCAAACAAGTTAGTGTTACACTTCAAGATCATAATCATGCGATGGTCAGAGCCATCAAAGCTATTCGGTACATTTCGAAGTCCAGACCCTATCCGACAAAGTTTGCACAATTACAAATGCTCTAAAAAAAAAAAAAAAAAAAAACACTTGTGTGAACAGACAGTAAGTAATGAAATAAAAATAACCATTCTCCATCAAATCAACTCTAAGCCTTCACAGTGATCGACAAACCGGTTTAAGGCAAATTCAATAATTAGTTGACTTTTTACAATTTAAGTTCCTAAAAGGCTTCGTTGACCAATTGATTGACTAGATCGCTGAAAGCTTAAGCCCTACAATAGTTAGTGTCGGTGGATTTCAGTCAGGTGATAGAAGCCTCACAAATCCAAACCAAAATTGTAATCCGCTCATCACAAGCAAAGCTTTAGCTTCACCACAAGAAAGCTGACAGCTGCTTACACTGAAGCCCTGACAGACAACAGCATACATTGCAAATGTACAATACTCTGATTTCTTAGCATATCGAGGCCCAGCATTCAAACATGAAGCAAATTTGAGCCCTAAGTTTATGTAAATGACTAACTGAATGCCTCTGCTAACCCAATGACAGTAAGTGATAGGTAACTCAAAGTAAACAAGCTTTGTAGTGGTGTGCATGTGTTTCGTAATCTTGGATGTCAAATAACACCGTTCACCTCCGACACAGACAGCCGGTTAATCTACTTTAATTTTACCTTCAGCAAAGATAATGAATCTGTGGCTAAAAGAGCTAACTAGCTTCCAAATAATCAAACGTTTGTTCCCCCAAAGAAGCAGAAGATGACACGTTACCCACACATAAACACGTGTCTTACGGGATAGTGAATTGATTTATTGATTGAAACGTGAAATGTGATAATATAGATTTCATTATAGTAGCAATATGTCTTTAACAAAGACTCGTCATGTTTAACATCATAAGGCGATAAGCATTGATAGATACTTCCTGGTAAAAGCATTCACGTTTAGTGCCGTCTTTATACATGATTACATCCGTTCAAACAGCTGTAGACGAAAGTACGAGTAAATCACTCACCCACACGATTTACAACAGAGTGGAGCGGGATCCGTAGGTGTGCGGTGTGTGCTGCAGATCGCTGTCACTGAGTTTCGGCTTCCGCTTTAGCACCGAGGCTAGTGGCTAATGCTGGCAGGGCAACCGCAAAGGCTCATGGGAGGAGAGAGCGGCTCTGATTGGTCAACATCTCCAGCTTTAAAAGATTTTAAACTATAAATGATGTCAGTTCCCTGTAATATAGACCCAAAATTAGGGAATGAGGGAATTAAGACTCATTCCGATTTAAATACACATTTCCATTATTTTTGTGCCATGTTTTTATATCTGAAAAAGGTATTTGTTTTTCACTTATGTCAAGCAGATTACAATGCCCCAGCTACACACCCATAATACATTTAAATAATTGAGCTGTACAGTATATATAGCATATTCCAGTTTCAGGTCAGCCATGGCACAAATGCCCCCCATCACATTAATCAGTATTGAACACATTTAATTTTTCATTAACATTTTCATTATTTGAGATTTCTTACCTTGGATGCCCCCTGCTCCAAAATAAAGTATTATTTAGTGGCTCTATACACAACAACGCTTTTTGGTCTTCCCATTGTGCTTCCTAATGTAATAAGATCTACATTACCCAAGGGATGTTTTTGAACTGCAACCCAATATTCATCTATTCTTCTTTTTTAAAAGTCAGTGAAAGGAGGAACACCTGTTTTCAGGGGCTGTTTCCAGGGAAACTGGGACAATTATGTTAAAGTGTAACATAGTAACCCCATGAGAGTGTGAATGGACATTGAAGGCTTTAAAAGGAGGGTGTATTTTATGCATAAAAGAATCTATGGAGTTCAGGGTTTATCAATGTGTGATGTTGAACTAAGCACAATGGTTTGTATTATTTTACTCTGATACTTTGTGTAGTTTGAAATGAGTTTCTGAACCTTTTCTGAAAAGTGTATTTTTATTATGTTTCCTTGCCTGTACCATCATGGCCCTTCTACATCTTTAATATACAGGTGAAACTCAGAAAATCAGAGTATAATTCTAAAGCCAATATATAAAATCGTTACATGCAAAGTGATATATGCCAAGCCATATTTTGATAATTATGGCTTGGAGTCCATTTCAAAATATTCTAATTTGTGAATATGTTTTATTTGGCGTTTGTACAAGCTGTGAGCAACAGTCAACATTGTTACATATAAAAGCTATTTCTCACTTTGTGTGTAATGAGTCTGTCATCTATTAGTTGCACATTGTAAGTTGGACTTTTGAATGATATTCTAATTGTCCAAGTTTCACATGCACATTGACAAATATGTTAAAATGCTTGTAGATTGATTGATAATTTTTATTATAGTGTCTATAGTGTATAGTGTTTTTATTATAGTAAGACACAAATACAGAGACACAGGCCAACATCAGGCAAATAAACAAAATCAAACACAAAAGCTCTTGTCAGGGATGAAGCAGACAGAGACGGATCGTGGTGTGCCAAACTCTGGAAGTTTATTTAAGTTTCTCTCAAGTTCCAGTGGTTTCCTTAGTTTCTTTCTCTCAGACAGAATGGAGTCAGTACACAGTTTATATAGTCATTGTGACGTCACACATCGAAAGACGTACGTGTCACACAGAGACAGTCACATCATAGTCAAAATAATCAAAGTCCTTGTACAGTTCTGCACGTAGGCCATATTGCTGTCTAATACTAACACTCTCATTAAAATAAGTGAGTCTGCTGCATCTCCCAGGCTTTACTTAAAAATGAAGACACTTTTAACACTTGTTTTCAAAAATGTTATCTTGTCATCATCACTGCACCGAAAGAAATCAACATCCTAGCAGAACGTTTGGCTAAATTCATCATAAAAAGGACAATATAAAAAAAAATGCACTTCACTTTCCACTTCATTGAGTTCACAAAATACACACTTGTATTTGAACATAATTATAAAATTATTATATATATATATATTCTATTATAAAAAATGATCTGATTCTGTTCTGGCTGATCAGGCAACGTATTTGTATGGGTTTCTTGCTTATATTTTTTCTGGAATAAAAACACTAATCAAAAATGCATAGGCTGAATTACTCATGTCTTCACATTGCAAAGCATTAGTGTAAAAGTTCCTTGTTACATTGTAACTCCCAACACTGGTCTGGAGAAAAACACTGCACAGCCTCATAGAAACAGAACATAGCTCTATCATAGCCCTGGTGACATGTTCTCTGTTCAAGAAAATACCCAAATAAAGTTGTATGTAGGTGAGAGAAGCAGGCAGCCTCTCTTCCTTATATGGGCATACAGCGTGTTCCAAGAGGCGGGGTCATGCGTCCAAACCCGGAAGTGTAAAACATGAGTTTATGGTTTAGCTGAAGTTTATCGCGATTTCGCACAAAATACATCTTATTTTAATTTCCAGTTTACCTGATACAGTTATAATTCTACAAAATGAACGGAGAGGTCAAGGTAAGCTATTCCTTTATATTAGCGAACGGTGCTATCTGTCTTTACCATGTATGTTTTCTCTTGATAGGACCCTTCAGCCTTGAAGGAGGAGGGAAACGCACATTTTAAATCGGGGAATTTAGAGGCAGCTCTTTCGTGTTACACTAAAGCCTTAAAACTGAGTAAAAACGAAGTAGACTGTGCTGTTTTGTATCGCAACCGCTGTGCCTGCTTTCTAAAACGAGAGGAGTACAGCAAGGCAGAGGAGGATGCTTCTAAAGGTGAGCTGGATATAAACACTCATAACATTGTAATTAACTTCTCAACTGTATTGACTTTTGTTATTTATTTTCCAGCTCTTGATACGGATCCATCTGATGTTAAAGCAAGGTTTCGGAGGGCTCAGGCTTATCAAAAACTGGGTCGTTTGGATCAAGCTTTTGTAGACACACAGAGATGTGCCCAGCTGGAACCCAAAAACAAAGCCTTCCAGGATCTACTCCGACAACTAGGGGCAGAAATTCAGCAAAAGGTGATGCAAAAAAAAGAAAACAATCTATTAAAATGAATTGTTGTTTCTTCGCCTCTATGTCTAAAAGATCATAGTATCACATTAACCATGTCTATCTTTCAATGAATTTCAATGTCTTGCTAAAAATTCCCATGATAAATTCAACCTTGTGGCGAGTATCTGTAACTAGAAAGAGTTGTCTGCATAGAGGTGTATTCCATGTGAAGCAAAGTAATTACATCAAAAAAATATGTACTATTTGAATATTATGTACTCAAGTTATTATAGATGATAATCATAATCTAAAATGTTAGTGTTAACATGCTCCTTTTACCTGCTCAAAATAAAGAAATGAATGAATGAACCGTAGTTCTGTCTCTTCACCAGTCTGCACAGCAGAACTCCACAGATGCCCGAGTGCAGCAAATGTTCACTCTTCTGATGGATGACACTGCAAAAGACACTGATCGGCAAAAGGTACCATCAAAGCTTTACAGTCTTTTTTGATATATCTCGAAATCATTATTGAAATTGTTTTATTCCTCCCTCAATCCCAGGCAGCTCAGAATCTGGTGGTGTTGTCCAGAGAAGATGCAGGAGCTGAGCAGATATTTCAAAATGATGGAGTGAAGTTAATTGAAAAGCTTCTCAAGGCAAAACACGATGATATTGTTCTCTCTGCTTTGAGGACACTTGTTGGACTATGCACCGGTCACCAGTCTAGGGTAAGCGCCTCAGGATCAATACTTTTACCATGTAGCAATGTTTTGTGCTTGGTTTTGATATGTAGACTTGGTGTGGGTTGTGTTTACAGACCATGGCTATAGTGAACGAGTTGGGAATGCATCAACTTTGTGCTGTAATGGGATCTGGAGACTCCACTGTTTCTCTCGCTGCCTGCCATCTGCTGCAGGTAATGTTTGAGGCTCTGACTGAAGGCATGAGGAGAGACTTTAGAGGGAAAGAAGAGGCTATACTTCCAGGTAAGTAAACCTCATATATTACCCACTTTTCGTCTTGTTTAAGTTGATTGAAGACTTTATTGTGTGCCTTGGCTTCAGAACCCTCTAAAGAGCTTCGTTCAATGCTGCGCCATCTTTTGGATATGCTGCCAGCTGCAAATGTGTCAGGGCCTGGCAGAGACAATGCTATCAACCTCTTAGTGAAGCAGGTTCCGCGCAAGTCGTTAAAAAACCCAGACAACTCCCTCACCTTATGGGTCATTGATCAAGGTATTTCAAAACTTTTTGTCTTTTTTGTTTTCCTTATTACTTGATAGTAACAGATAATAACTAGAAACAAAATACTTTACATTTTGTCATAGCATTCTAGAATATGAATATAATTTATTTAGTATGTTTTACCTTTGAAAAATTGCCGGTTCCATATTTTTAAAGACAGGTAGGGTAAATCAGAACAAATAAATTTGCCCTTGACTTAGTTAAAGGATTGTAAATGGTGATTTTGCAGATGTCATTTAATTTAGTTTCATTGTGCACATATTTGTACAGGTCTGAAAAAGATTTTGGAAGTAGCTGGAACGGTCGCAGAGCTTTCAAAAGGACCACCACTGACGGATAACTCCCACATGAGCTGTTCTGTCCTGCTTACCAAATTGTATGATGACCTAAAAAGTGACAAAGAAAGGGAGAACTTTAACAAACTATCTGAAGAATATGTCCAGTGAGTAAAATTTAAAAACCCACGGCACAGTTTCCCATTAGCAGCTGCTGAAATTGCTCTTTCCGACAGGCAACACTTTAATCTGTCAGTGCTGGAAGCTAAGCTGCGAGCCATCCAGACTGTCTCTGTCCTACTTCAGGGACCAAGTGAAGTTGGGAACAGAACTTTGGAAATGTCAGGAATGATGGATGCTGTGATAGCTCTGTGTGCGTCCGAAGATGTAATTCACCAGCAGGTAGCGGTAGAAGCTCTCATCCACGCCGCTGGGAAAGCCAAGAGAGCGTCATTTATCACAGCCAATGGAGTGGCACTGCTAAAGGACCTCTACAAGAAGAGCGAGAACGACCGGATCCGCGTGCGAGCTCTGGTGGTGAGTGCTTTCAAGTAAAAATATCTCGTCCTTTTCACAACTGACAAACTCTCCTTAAAGGGTTTGTGCAAGCTCGGATCGGCTGGAGGGACAGATTTCAGCATGAAGCAGTTTGCAGAGGGATCCACGCTAAAGCTGGCAAAGCAGTGCCGAAAGTAAATCTCATCCAAAGTATTTGCTCCGGTTTGGGTTATATTGAAATGAAACTAATTGAAATTCTCGGTAGGTGGCTTTGTAATGAATCGCTACCTCCAACGTCCCGGCGCTGGTCTGTCGAGGGGCTTGCTTATCTCACGTTTGACGCAGATGTGAAGGAGGACTTGGTTGAAGATAAGAACGCTCTCCAGGCCATGTTCGAACTAGCAAAGGTGAGGAAGGATTTCAGTTGAGGGGCTCGTTTTATTTTATTTCATCCTCTGGCCTTGGTCAGAATTTCAAATTATAAAACATTTTTCATTTACAACAACAAAATTGCATACATGGTTAAAAATAATCCTGCATGCCCATGACCCATCAACCTGACCACCCAACAGACCCACCACAAACCGCATTAGTTGGTGTTTGTCCAATAAATAAATAGAAAATAGAACAAATGCATACTAATCATAAGCAAATGTACAAAGGTGTGTCTTAGGCCTACTCTGTAAAACATGAATGTTCTCTGCATCATAGATGATGAGATATTGTGGCTGCACATAAGAAGTGTAATATGATAGTAATAACTGTTAAAATAAGCAATACTAATCAAAAAGTCAAATTATCAATGTTTTATCTTCGAAAACCCTCTGATTCTAGAGTTTCAAATGAAAGCTTTTGTTCCATAAATAACACATGTAGTTTGTTCCAACAGATATATAAATAAAATATGGAGATAGTTGTGAAGTAACTTACAATTGTGTTATCGCTGCAGTCCGAGGATAAGACTGTCTTGTTTGCGGTGGGTTCTACTTTGGTAAACTGCACCAACAGCTACGACGTGGAGAAACCAGACCCTCAAATGGTGGAGCTGGCCAAGTACGCCAAGCAGCACGTACCTGAGGAACACCCTAAGGTACTATTGTATACGTATATGATTTTTAATTTGGTTTATAGTCATTTCAAGTTTCCATTTTTTGTAATTTGTTTATATTCATTTTCAAGGATGCCCCTGCGTTTGTGGAGAAGAGGCTCATGAGGCTGCTTGATGCTGGAGTGGTGACTGCGCTGGTGTGTATGGTCAAAAATGAAAGTCCAGCTCTTACAGAGGCTTGTAGAGAATCTATTGCCAGGTATACAGAGTTATAATTTATATTATTTATTATACATTTATATTAAAATCTTCCAATGAGCACAATTTTCTACCACAGGGTGTTTTTGGCTTTGGTAATGCGTCAGGAGGACAGAGGCACTGTGGTTGCACAGGGCGGTGGAAAGGTAGACTTATATTTTCATTTACTATTTACTATCTCGCTACACAATGAATTATTTATGCACATTTGTATTTTTGTGTTTTCCAGGCTCTAATCCCACTAGCTACTGAAAACACAGACATGGGTAAAGTAAAAGCAGCCCAGGCCTTGGCAAAAATAACCATTACATCAAACCCAGAAATTGCGTTCCCAGGAGAAAGGGTAGGCAACTGGTTATCTCTTCTGTGACGAGCTGTTTCTCAGACACACAAGCATAGTTTGTATCAACATAAAAGTAGATTATTGAATATGAATGCTTTGGGTTTTCAGGTTTATGAGGTGGTGCGTCCGCTCGTCAGTCTTTTGAGTCTGGAATGTACCATGCTACAAAACTTTGAAGCTCTGATGGGGCTCACCAACCTGGCTGGCATCAGTGAGAGACTCAGGTTGGCCACAAGGGGGAGATCTTTTCTCATTTATTCTTTTTCATTGATCCAGTCCAATTAAGAAATGCCATGCAATACTTCTTCCACTACTGATTCTGTGACATATGAATAAAAGTATTTTTTTATTTGAATTTCATTAATTGATTTGATATTTATATTTATATTTTTTATTTTTTTAAGGCAAAAAATTATCAAAGAGAAATCCTTACCAAAGATTGAAGGCTACATGTTTGAGGAGCATGACCTTGTCCGAGCTGCTGCCACTGAGTGTATGTGTAATCTTGTGCTGAGTGAAGAGGTAAGAAACACATTTTCAAAGGTTACGTTGTTGATTGTTTAAAGACCAATCTATAATGCTGTTTTTAGGTACAAAAGCTGTATTTGGCAACAGGAAATGATCGCCTAAAGCTGCTGGTGCTGTACAGTGGAGAGGAGGATGAGAGACTTCGTAGAGCCGCTTCAGGAACACTGGCCATGTTGACAGCTGAGCAGCCAGAGCTGTGTGTGCGCATCCCTGAAACTGTGAGTTCTTTAACAACATGTACAACGCATTACAATGTAGTTTGTGAATATTATGCAAAAGCACTGCAAAAAAGTATAAAATATGAGGTAATACATGCTTTGTCTCTAATACATGAGATTTGTTCATTTTTTACTTAATACAACCTATTGTATGTACTTGAGTGAAAAAGTAACTGACCGACAATATTATTTTTGTGGGACATCTTAACTTACTATAAATCACTATATTCACTATTCTAGCATTAAGAAGCTAGTACTGCTTAATTACCACATGTTTTGGTGGTAATGAAGCAGTACTTTCCTCTTTATACTCCTTATAAAGCAAAAGCCTGAATGGTTATGGAAACGTATATAAATAGTACAGACATTTTAAAATGTAAGGAATAGAAAGAACAGATATCTATATAAAAGGAGTAGAAGAAGTAAGTCTACTTTTAATACTTCTGGTCAGTTGCCACCTCTGATATCATGAAACTACGGTAACATTTTAGGACCTCACTCGAACATTGATAATTAATATTCTCACTGCTGTTTCCCTCTCATTCCAGACATCACACTGGCTGGAGATCTTTCAGGCTCTGCTCCTTTGTGAAATTCCAGACCTGCAACATCGAGGTGTTGTCATCGTGCAAAACATGATTCTAGCGGACAAGAGTTTGACTGAAAAATTGATTGAAAGTGAGGCTTTAGAAATCCTAACAGTTTTAGCCAAGGGAGAAGGAGGTGTAAACAGCCAAGTCTCTAAGGTCGCCCAAAACTGTCTGGACACAGCTATTGAGTATGGTCTAATCAAGAATAGAGAGAAAGAATAGATGTATTTAAGCACTTATGAGTGACCAAAGGATTATCCACCTCAACCAATAAGCATTTCACAAATCTTATAATATGTTATTTTTGTAGTACCTAGAAGCTGATGTATCATGATTGTCACTGTTTCATATGCACTACAAATGTATCTCACTTTAAATATCTAATGAATTGTTTTTCATATTTTAATAATGCTTTGTTTTACTCTCTCATCATTCCTTTATAAATGCAGTGGACCATATTATTCTGTAACTATGATTTTGTGAATCGCCTCTTCTCTTAAACCATTTGATGTATACCATCTGAAGACATACGTTTCTTCCAGCATAGTCAAAAATGTAAGATACATAAGGATTAATTTTTTTTCTACAAAACTTTTAGGAAAATTCCAATCAGAAGTAAGTAAGCTTTATCTCTAGACCGCATTTCATTGACCAGGGTGCTTTACAGTGTTAATGTTTAGAGTGTTATTTTCCATTCACTCCACACATGGGGATGATAGAAGTGGGATTGTGCACAATTGTGCACCTTCCAACCATTACCAACCATTTATTGTATACTTTTTGGCCGGGGAAATGGAAGCAACGGGGTAACACAGACATAGGGAGAGCAGAAAACAACACATAAAAGCTGATAAGATGTCAGATCTCTTCAGACCTCTGAAACAAAGCAGGGCAGGTCCTGGTTAGTACTCTGATGGAAGAACTCCAGGAGCACCATGTGTGAGAGTGGGGCGGCTGTGGCCCTATTCTCCCAAGCTGCCGTTGTCTTCGATGAAGACCTGTTGCTGAGACTGAGTGTGATGTGGTAAGTGATTGGTTGGTAATGGCACATATGTATTTGTTGCCCTACTTCAGTCAGTGTGCCCTAGGGCAGTTGTGGCTATAGTAGTAGTTTAGGGAGTGAATGAATAATTGCATGTGAAGCTTGCATCTAGGTCTGGCCTGAACTTTACATTTATTCTGCAATGTCTCTCTCAAATAAATTTATAAATTATTATTCTTAGCTATGGATCCTGTGCTTGCATGTGAGTCCTTAATAAAGTATAAATAAATAACGTAAATAAATATAAAGCGTCTTTGAGTGTTCATAAAAAGCGCTATCTAAAGCCTATGCAATATGTCTATTGTGGGCTTATTATTTTTTTTGAATTATCTTTATAAGTAATGTATTCGTTTAAAATGTATATCAATTATGAGAACATTTGAGCTGGATATCGCCCAACATGGCAGCCACGAACAGTAAACTGATCACGTGACAAGGCAAAACAAGCACATGGATTTGAGAAGGCGCAGAAGATAACTCGGGCTGTAAATAAGGAGTAAAAACTTATTAAAACGGTTTTTTTTTTAAGTTTATCCAAATGCGTTGGTTTGGCTTCGGTTTCAACGGATTTGGACAGATCTATGCGCATGTGCAGAATGCCACAAAGGAGAAAACTGATGCTGCTCAAGAGGTGAAAGTTATCTGCCCAAAATCTATAAATAAAAGTGTAAATACGTGTATCTGTGGAAGGAAAGTGTCATCGGCATTGCCTCAAATCCGAGCAAGTTGGAGCAGAAGGCTATCGTTACAGCTGGATGGTATGTTTTCATTCATTCGTGATTGTTAGAACTAATTCTGGAAGTCTTCCTGAAAATGCGAGACAGGCTACTCTGACAATGTTAAAATCCAGGTTTAAAACAATTATGTGTTTTATGGACGTTGATCATCTGCCTCTTATGGACCAATCTTTCTAAAGTCCTCAGAGATAACTATTATGATTTGGACCTATACAAAAATGTATTGAATTTTGTATAGTTGTATGTAGCTGTACATACAACTATATCAACAACTGAAGGCTAATATTAATCATAAATAATCAGTACATTAAAAGGAGTGAACTTTTAATGTACATTATTATTAGCCTTGCGTATGAACCGTGCTATACAAATAAACTTGCCTTGCCTTACGAGTTGGCTTATCTGTGTTGGTTCTTTTCCAGATGAAAGTGGCGTGTTCCTAGATGGCTTCAGGGGACTAGGAGCTAAAGAGTGCTGCAGTTTCATAGAGAAAAGTCGTGGATGCAAAGACATTACAAACAATGAGTCGCTGTTGCTCATCATGTTTCAGGACAGAGTTGAGGTGTGGGATTTTGAGAAGAGCGAGGATGGTCCAGTGTGGAGCATGGACACTGACAAATCTGGTAATTTTTTATAAAAACCAACCTGCCATGAATAATTCTGTCAAATATTCAAGTGAACAGGCGCAGTTTTGAGTTGGTTGAATGGTTATTTAGGATTATACAGTATACAGCTCTACCTGTAATTGACCATGCAACCATGAACTGTATATTTAGGTTCGTAATTTGTTTTTTGCCCTTAATAATAATAATAATACATCAAACTTGTATAGTGCTTTTTTGGACACTCAAAGATGCTTCACATGGGGAATAAAATATAAAAGGGGGTTTAAGGAAAAGCAAAGTTTGAACAGATGGGTTTTGAGTATTGATTTAAAGTTTGGTAGAGTTTCTAATTGGCAGAGGGTTCCAGAACATTTTTTCTGCAAGTGAACCGGACCAACATGTGTGAACAGACTTTTGAATACGTCTTTGTGACCAATCGGATGGTGCTCCTAATGGATGCAGATACTTATCTGAATGGCGCCTACAATTGCTGTTTAAACTGCTAATGGAGATCAAAAAGTTGTATGTGTCGTTTTCCAGATCCACCTTTGAAGCTCCCTTTAGTTCCTGAAGGCTACATCTCCTTAAAGCCGCCTTTCTATCGCCCCTTATCCCCTCATCTTCAAGCCAAGAGCCTCGCCTTGGGGCCAGAGCATGTGGTTCTTCTGAGCGCTACTGGAGCGGTGTACACTTGGGGACAGGGCAGGTAAAGCTCTATCTTTCAGTGTGGTGGTTATTTGAGCAGCAGGATGACATATGATCTTGTGTGTGGTTGGAAGCCATGGTCAGTTGGGACATGGCATTCTTACCTCCGAGCAGGAGCCCAGGGCAGTGGAGGCTCTCTGGGGAGTACCCATGAAAGCTGTAGCTGCAGGAGGTTGGCACTGCTGTTGTATCAGTGGTAAGTATTGGAGATAGATAAGAGTTTAACTGCTGGCATGTGAGAAAATGCATCACTTAATTTCTATCTTGTACTTAGCTACTGATGATCTTTACGTGTGGGGCTGGAATGAGATTGGCCAGCTCGGACTCCCTTCACGGGGTGTCAGAAGAGCACAGCAGCAAAACAGCCATAACAAAGGTGCATTTCACCCATGAAAATATATATTGTTATAATGTAAATACTGGATAAAGACATTGCTATTATGTTACCCTAATGATTCATGTGTATCCATTATCAAAATAATTGTATGTTACAGCCCAAGTTTACAGGCTGTAGTTTTCTCCTAGCATTGAAATCTTTTTGTATTGCATTTTTAGCTCAATTATTTTATTCTAATCATTTTGAAAATAAGTTTGTTTTACCTTTTATTTAGTGGCATATGTATCTGAACTGCTATTACTATCATATTACATTTAGATACAGCCAAACAACCTCATAATGCTGACGTGAGGCCAGAAGATGACCAGACACAAACCGAGGAGGACAAGGATGTGTTCATATCTATTCAAGCATTCCCCGCTCTCCTTGACCTAAACCCTCCATGTGAAATAAAGGTTGTTAGTTGTGGCTCCAGACACACTGCTGCAGTTACAAGTAAGATCAATCTGTGTACAAGTTATATTAATGGTGTGTACACTGTTCTGTTTAGTGTATAAACATCTTTCATTTCAGCTGAAGGGGACCTCTATACCTGGGGTTGGGGTAAGTTATTGCAACCTGAAGGAATGTTTTCAGACAGAACTTTTCATCCTTAATGAACGTATTTTTCTTAGGAGAATATGGACAACTTGGACACCAGGACTTGATGAGTTCAGACGAGCCTCAGTGTGTGGCGTATTTTAAGGAGCACCAGCTGCATGTCACGGACGTTGTCTGTGGGGCATGGAACACCTTTGCTGCTGTGGTCAAACAGGAAGAAGTACAGAAATCCCCTTGTTGCTAATGGATTATGGGCTGGGACTTTGTACAGTATACAAGGAAGTAGCACTGTGTGTGTGACTCTGATCGCTGGGCGTCTTATATAGTCACTTGAAAGCAAATAGATTGAAAAGACATGTTTAATTTTGTATAGAAATATTTAAAATACAAAAGTATTTAAAATGTATATTGCAGCATAAAGGGTAAAAGATCCACAAGATTGTATATAATTTAAAACATAAAAATCATTAGTATGTACTGTAATAGTCAAACATTTGTGTAGCCATTCATTAGAAGTCTTCACAGAACAATCTTGAAAGAACTGCAGAGAAAAATAAGCAGATATGTAATTACGTATGAACTAAATGCTCTAACTATAACTGTGTTTTGACAAACCTGACAAAATCTGGTGATCTTGAAATGACATGCTGAAACTCTGAGAGGTTCACTGTTCCGTCTTTGTCAATGTCAGATTCTTCAAGAATCTGAAATATACAGGACACATTTATGACCATTAACCCCCTGTAGGACAGTTAAACTGTAGAATGGTAGATGAAACTCACATTGCTGATGAGTTGCTTCATTTCTTCAAATGTGAGTTGTGTGTCGTCTGTTTCTCCAGTCAGGCAGTTCACCAGCTTCTGTAGGTCATCAGAGTCTAGGGTCCCATCATCATCAAAGTCTGAAAAACATTTAAAATTGAATTGAATTGTTCAGTAATTCATTCGTTTTAATTACAGTTCAAATACTACCATACCGAATATACGAAAGGCGTAGTGGGATTTGATTTCCATTGTGGCTGAATCACTGAAGGCGCTCAAAAGATCTAAAAAATCTTCAAACGTAAGGCTTCCATCTTTGTGTTCCGAGGTGGAAAAGACATAGCAGATTCGTTTCCGAAAAGGGTTGGACTGTGACAAAGAAATAGGATCATATATTTGTTTATGTGGGAAATATACATTAAATATAATTTCTTGGATTTGCATCATTACTTTGAGCTCTGGAAGGGTAAGAATCCTCTCCATTGGTACCCTGACATTTGGGATGTCTTTTTCCTCTCTGGTTAGAAGTTCTGTGAATCTTTTGTGAGCACTAAAAAAATAAATGAAGAGAAAATCAAAACAAATACAAACATATAAATAAATAAGGCAAATACAAAACATACAGGAGGATTTCTTGCTTTGTCAGAAATGTCAGCTCCTACAGCGGGAGAAAAAGAGACAAATAATACACATCTACTCATATAATACGTACTGAAGGTTAAAAAAAAAACAAGTTAATCTAATAGTTATAAAGTTTTGATGGGTACTAGTTGGATAATAGTCCACGTTATTACCATGGATCTATAACACACTGGTTAGGTTGTCATAACTTGTTCAGCTGCGCACAGGACGCCAGCTACTACTACAAAGTACAAAGTGTTTCAGGAACTTACTTGGTATTCTGACAACAGCTCTTTCCCCAGTTGGCTTGCTGTTGTCCCCATCGCTAAATAAAGACGTGGATCCTGTTGTTTGGTTGTTGTTTATCGTGCTCAACTTCAGAGGTAAAGTCGAGCTCTCACTTCCGGTGTCAGATTGCACAGCCAAGCCTTCCTTCTACTGGTCACGTGGTTCTTTCAGGCCCTGCTCCATTATCTTATGATTATTGATTAAAAATACGATACAAGCTGGAGTACATAACTTTTGTTTTTATTTATAATACATATCCGTTTCTAGGAGTGTCTTCAAAAGAAATCAGACAACTCGCTGACTTTTGTAAGCTTATAAGAAAGAGCCCTCTGAGTTGCTAAGGCTTTGGTGTGAGATCCTAAAGATAGAGATATGATTATCTGAGGGTAGTGTGAGATTTCATAACACTTTGAAGCAACTTTTGTTAAAGTTAAACTCATCATTCTATCAATGTGCAGAAGCCATCTGAAGGCCAAGCTACATGGCACTGTGGCAGCTGCTGATTGGAGGTCTCCATGCCTCCGCTCTAATACACTTGCATTCTGTTGTTCGTGTTGTTCGTGCTGTCTCTACCATCGACAATAAAACATGTCTGTCTGAATGAAAGACGCGATCCCAGACATGTCATCTTCTTCAGGTGGTGGAAGGATGAGGGCATTGTCTATAACATCTACAGAACAGAAGACTTTTTTTTTTTTACACAAAAATGTTTTTTTTTTTTTAAGTCAAAACTAAGAAACCTCAAGAGAAACCATGCGTCTGGACCAGCACACTTGGACAATCTGCACAGCCCCTGATTCCAGTCAGGCCTGCTGTGAGCTGCTGAGACATGGACAATACCAATGTCCTCTTTTGCATGGATATCATTTGGAACAATTGGATTTCTGAATTTGGCCACAATCTGGACTGAATTGGATTGCTGAATTTGGACACTTAAGCTGAAACGTGTGATTGAAAGACACGTCACAGAAGAATTCATGGCTCGACACAAATGCAGCCTGAAGAAACCAACACGGAGAAGTGGGAGAGACTGTTTTCAAAGCAATATTTGAGAACCATCGACTGATGAAGTTTGGTATTTTACTGAAGATTATTGACAAGTTTTATGAAAGATCTGAACATGTTTTATGAGTTTAAGTATTGAGTTCCGAGTTCTGAGTTTTTTGAAGTACCGAGTTTAAGTATTGAGTTATGATGTTATGTTGCTGTTTATCGATCCTGATGGTCACACGTGAATGTGTGACCAGAGGGGGGAATGTGAGATTTCATAACACTTTGAAGCAACTTTTGTTAAAGTTAAACTCATCATTCTATCAATGTGCAGAAGCCAGTACTTTTCCCTTGTTTTGTCTATCTGAAGGCTAAGCTACATGGCACTGTGGCAGCTGCTGATTGGAGGTCTCCATGCCTCTGCTCTGTATAATACACTTGCATTCTGTTGTTCGTGTTGTTCGTGCTGTCTCTACCATTGACAATAAAACATGTCTTCTGTCTGAATGAAAGACGCAATCCCAGACTTTGTCATCGTCTTCAGTAGTCATCTAATAGTAGATACAGAGAAGAGGCCAAAAATAAATGCATGTGAAAACTATATATTATGTTTGTGTACAGATGATAACATAACTGCACTTTGCTTGCACTAGAACTTATATACAGTCTATGACTAGAACACACAGCACTTTATACTTGCCTCTTATTTTGTCAAATGTAAAACTTTTACACTTCTTTTTATTATTTTCAAGATTGGGTTTTGATACTTGTATTGATGCTAGAGTTAAAGATTTTGTTTTATTTTTATTAGTCTAGCTAGCGTTCACTTAACTTGTGCTCCTCTTTCCTACTGTTCTATAACTTGTGATGCAATACTGAAATTTCCCCACTGTGGGACGAATAAATGATCTCTTAATCTATATGTGTCATAAACTGTTTTGAGAGCAATGTACTAGTTGAAGAATTTGTAACATATTGCTATTTTTTGTGGTTTGAAAATGGGATGCCTCAGCTTTAATATATATTACAGACTTATCTGACAGTGTTTAAAATGGCAATGTTTTCACAGTCATGTTTTCCCATAAAAAGAATGTCTCGAGTCGCCTTTTTATTTCCAATAGCAGTTTTTAACAGAACAGAAACGTAATATTATACATAATAAAGTAAGTCATGTTTATTTATATAGCGCATTTTACAGACCAAGGTCACCCAAAGTGCGACAATGTTCAGAGTTCAGATATTGGTCCAATCCAATGGCGCATCAGCCCCCAATCAACACCATCCATGCATCCTATTGTGCATGTTTTTAGTGGTGCATTTAGTTAGACACGGGGAGAACATGCAAACTCCACTCAGAAAGGCCCTGTTCAGACCGGCATTTGAACCCAGGACCTTCTTGCTGAGAAGCGAGAGTGCTATCCACACAACCACCGTGCCGCCTAAAGGCATTGCAAGTTTCAATAGTTGTCATCTGGAATAGTTTTAGAGTAATGTCACAGTATAACAAGACACTCAGATTTGTTTACAAAATAATATTATTGAAGTTAATAATAAACATTGCAAAGGTAACATCATCATCACGAGTCATCATCATCACACCTTTTTCTGAGTGAGCTATGCACCGGCATTTGTCTCCCAATCTGTAGGATCTGGGGAAAAAAACACAGATTCTGGTAATGTTTGTGATTGCCAAAGTAAGGACCATGCATTTTTATAAAGTTTTTATACCTGTTAATTTTACTCCTTCCTTCGTTTCCGCCGGTACTCCAATCCCATATTCGTTTTCGCCTGTGATTCTAAAGAAGTATATTCCTCCTTCTTCCAGGTCTGACACCCTGTACGACAACCTGTGGCATTTTTCTGTGAGCCTGGTCCATCCCATTCGGCTGATGTCCCTTATGTCTACTAGATAATTCTTGACCGGTCCGCCCCCTTCGTTCTCTGGTATGTCCCATGTGACAGTGGCTGAACTCTTGGTAACATCCTTCACTAATATTCGAGTTGGTGGTCCGGGCGAATCCAAAACTCTAACACTCAATGTCAACGATGCACTTCCGGCAAGGTTTTGGAGTTTGACGATGTACTTGCCTGAATCGTCTCTTGTGGCTTGTTCAATTGTTAAAGATGTGAATGTACTTGTTGCGTTAACTAATCCACGTACTCTTAGATCCACATCTGCTTTTTGCCAAGATACACTGGGGCTTGGCTTTCCAGAATACGGTGCAGTCAAAGTGAAGGAAGCACCATCTTTAACCAGCAGAGTTTTACGCATTTCAGGGCTGACATTAAACCTGGGTTCTTCCTCTCTCTCCATTGCAACTTGAGGGTCTGATTCCGGACTGGGCTCACTAACACCAATCTTGTTTATTGACCGCACGACAAACACATACTCTGCACCACTTGTTAACCCGGTTACAGAAAATTCTGTTTGGTCAGTGTTGTAAACTCCAGTAGACCATTCTTCCTCAGATGTTTTTTTGAATTCAACTCTGTAGCTTGTGACGGCTGCACCGCCATCATAGAGTGGCTTATTCCATGAGAGAGTAATGGAGGACTTTGTTGAATCAACAACAATTGGCTTTGCAGGTGGGGAAGGTAGGAACATGGGGTCTTCTGCCATTGTTAGGGGGCATGGATCACTTGGTTCACTTAGCCCAGCAGCATTCTCAGCATAGACTCTAAACTCATACTCACAGCCTTCATGTAGGCAAGTGGCTTTGACTCGGAGATCATAAACAGGCTTTTTATTCACACGCGTCCATCGCACACCTTGCTTTTCCCTCTTTTCAATGATATAACCACTGATACGACTTCCCCCATCTGTCTCTGGTCTCTTCCAGCACACTGTCATCGTATCAACACTTGAACTTGAGACTTGAACGTCAGTGGGAGCAGAGGGAATTGTATAAGGGTCAAGAGCTTTTACTGGGTCACTCTCCAATGTCTCACCTTCTCCATATTTATTAACAGCCTTAACCCGAAACAAATACTCATTTCCTTTGACGAGCTTTGTTATTTTGCTGGACGTTGCCATCATGTCATCATACACAAGGGTCCAAAATACTCGGCTGGTTTCACACTTCTCAATGATGTAGTGCGTTATTTCAGCTCCCCCGTCTTCCATAGGTGGATCCCACGATAAAGTGCATTTCTCAGCAGAAATACCAGAGATTTTCAACGGTCCACCAGGTGGTCCTGGTCGATCTAGAACTTTGCATGTGATTGATCTTGAAGTGGTACTACCAGCATTTTGTAAAGTAAGAATATACTGGCCGGAGTCTTTTCGTACACATTCTCTGATGACTAAAGATGTGTGCGTCTTGGTTGTGAGAATATCTACTCTTCCTTTAGATCCAATATTTATGCCGTTTTTCACCCAAGTTACACTGGGGTTGGGCCGACCAGAGATATCAGCGTCTATTTTGAGTAGGTCTCCTGATTTAACAACCACCACCTGTCTAAATTTATCATCCATGGTAATATTAGGTGGTTCTATGTCATGTTGTACGGTGATAGGCCCAGTGTTTTCCGAGGGAGAACTGAAGAGCTCTGCTGCATTCCTTGCAATGACCCTGAAATCATATTGCTCACCTTCTGTGAGGTCAGTGACATCAAGGAAAGTATCTAATAGGTTGGTGAAATTGCATTTCAGCCAGCAACCATCAGGCAACTCTTTTCTTTCTACTATGTAGCCAGTAATTCTTGCCCCTCCGTCATATTCTGGTTTATCCCAAGAGAGGGACACTGAATCATTACTTATATTGGTAACCGTGAGGTTTTGTGGGGGCTCACATTGGTCTCGTGCTGCAACAGGATCAGATGGTTTACTGCAAGGTCCTACGCCAGCCATGTTCTCAGCAGACACTCGAAACTCATAAACAAGGCCTTCTTTGATGTTTGTCGCTTTAAACTGATTTTCATTTATGAGATTTCTGTTTAACTTTGTCCATAGAATACTGCTTTGATCTTTGCATTCAATATGATAACCAATGATAGGATTGCCTCCATCTGCTTCTGGTTGTCTCCATGCAATTATTACAGCAGACTTTGTGGCGCTGACAGCATGAAGTTCAAGTGGAGGACCAGGTGGATTGAAAGGATACTTAGCAACAACTGAATCAGACTCAACATAGGCACTTTTGCCATAGCGGTTCTCTGCCGCGACACGAAACTGATATTCTGTGCCTTGAACAAGTCGAGAAATCTTAATGGATGTCCTGGCTACTGTCGCAGACACACTTTGCCAAAAGGTGCTGACAGTGTCTCTTTTTTCAACAACATAATTGCTGATTTGGCATCCACCAGTGTATGTAGAGGGTTGCCATGATAAAATCATGTAGTCCACACTTACTTCATCAATCTTTAGCTCACTTGGGACTCCAGGTCGTTCAAAAACAGTGACTATGATTTCAGCAGATGTAGTTCCTACTGGATTGCTTGCAAACATCTTGTAAGTTCCAACATCTAACTTGGTTGCATCTTTAATAGTTATTTGAGAAGATGCCTCAGATGTTTGCACATTTACTCTTCCGGTCTCTTTCAACTCAACGCCGTCTTTCTTCCATTCAACTGTGGGTTGTGGCATACCTTTGAATGGCACATCAATCTTTAAGTCATTCCCTGCTTTGACACAAAAAGAGTTACACAGAAGATTTATAACTGGCTTTGCAGTGTTGTCTTTTACAGAAACGGGAGCTCCCAAAGACTTTGGTTCACTTTTTCCTCTTTCATTTACAGCACTCACTCTGAAAAAATACTCCTTTCCTTTTATCAACCCCTCAACAGTTACTTCAAAAGCCCTACTTTCTGCGCATGTTGTCCATGAATCCTCATCCTCAGTTTGCATTTCAACAACATAAGATGTTATTTTACTTCCTCCGTCATGGTCAGGTTTCTCCCAAGATAATTTCACACAATTGGCAGTTACATCCACAAGTGTGACTTTCCCAGGAGAAGAGGGGACCTCTGCAACCTTGACTGCTTCAGGGGTTTCTGCAGGTAATCCAGATCCAAACTCATTTACAGCTATGACACGGAAGTAATAGAAACTTCCTTCATTAAGGTTTTCAATCTTGCAAGAGTTCCTTACACAGTCGCTACATACGCTTGCAAAAGCTTTTCTTGCCTCTTCTCGCTTCTCCACTATGTAATGAGTAATCTTTGACCCACCATCAATAACAGGTGGCTCCCACAAGAGGCACACAGAATCGCTCTTTACATCTTTTACCTGCAGTTGCCTTGGTGCACCGGGGGAGTCAAGTATCCTGACGTTAATGAAAGCGGATTTTGAACCAGCACGGTTTTCAGCTATCAAAACATACTTTCCAGTGTCATTTCTGTTGACTGATTCAATCATTAGCTCTGTATAAGTAGAAGTTACCTCAATTTGGGCGCACTCACGGAGTAAGCCACCTTCCTTTGACCACTTCACCTCAGGCTCTGGATTTCCTCTAATGTTCACATGAAGACGTAGAGTAGAACAGGATCGAATATTGACAATTTTTCTTAGAGATGTGTCTAGTTCAATTTCAGGTGGCTCAACTGTTTCAGTAGCCACAACTGATTCTCTGAGTTCTGCAAATTCCCCTGCACCAGCAGCATTAACAGCGTACACTCTGAAATTGTACTCGGCATTCTCTCTCAGTCTCCTGACAGTATAGTTTGTGCCTTCCACGCCTTCACTTGGTGTGCATGAACTCCATTCCTCTTCCCCTGCCTCTTTCATTTCAACAACAAAACCAGTAATAGCTGATCCACCATCATAAATTGGCTTTGACCAGGTTAGAGAAACTGTGCTTCTTGAATGGCCAGTGCTTTTGATATTTGTTGGAGGTCCAGGAGGGTAGGTAGCATCACACACCTTGATATAGTCGCTGGGCTCACTTGGGGTACCTACACCAGCAGCGTTTTCTGCACAAACTCTGAACTGATAGGAGTGTCCTTCTGTGAGTCCTGTGCATCGAAAACGCAAGTCATTAAGTCTTCTTTTGTTGCATTTTGTCCATCTGACACCATCTTTGTCCCGTTTTTCAAGAATATAGCCATCAATTTCTGATCCTCCATCACTCACAGGTCTTTCCCAAGTTAGCACGATGGAGTCCCCCGTCACAGAGCTGGCTGTAGGGGTGGAGGGAGCGCTTGGTGCACTGTAAGGATTTTGTGCAATAAATGGCTCCGTTTCAAGGAAGTCACCGACACCATATTTATTCACAGCTGCAATTCTGAAGATGTACTCTTTACCAGGCACCAGTTTTGTCACTTTGTGACTTACACCCTCAACTTGAGAGTCAACTCCTGTCCATGTCACACGGCTTGTTTCTCTTTTCTCAATTACGTAGTGTGTTACAGTTGCACCTCCATCGTTTACTGGGGGGTTCCAATGTAGATTGCACTTTTCTGCACTAATGACTTTGACTTTTATTGCACCATCTGGGGGAGCGGGTTTGTCCAAAACTTTCACATTGAAAGGTATGGTTATTGCACCTCCAATATTGCTAAGATTCAACATAAAGTGCCCACCATCTGAGCGTAAACATTCTCGAACCGTCAAACTGGTATGCGTGAGTGTAGTTTTCATTTCCATTCTGATTGTCCCCTTATCAATTTCCTTGCCTTCTTTCAGCCAGGCAACTTGAGGAAGTGGTTTTCCACAGTAATCTGCTTCAATAGTGAACGTCTCTCCTGCAGGAACTATAGCTGTACTTTTTAATTTTGGGTCTATGATAGCTGTGGGCACTTCAATGACATCCTGAGCCATTATGGTGATGCTTTCAGAGGGTGCGCTCAAAGCTCCAGCCGCGTTTTTTGCAGTTACTTTAAACTCATAACTCTGACCACCTGTTAACTCTGTGATAGTAAATTCCGTTTCAGTAACATTTGTAAAGTTTGCCTTCATCCATCTACCATCAGGGAGATCTTTCTTTTCAACAACATAGCCAGTAATTGTGCTTCCACCATCATAATTGGGCTTTGCCCATTTCAAAGTAATATGCTCTCTTGTGACAACGACAGCTTCAGGTTTGCCTGGTGGGTCACATCGATCCCTTGCAACAAAACTCTCAGAAGTTTTGCTGGGTGGGCTGAGTCCAGCAATGTTCTCTGCGTACACTCTGAATTCATACTCAATGCCTTCCTCAAGTCCTGTAGTTTTGTAGCGAGTGTCAGTCAGGATGAGCTTGTTAAGTTTAGTCCATAAAATGCTATTCTTTTCCTTGCGCTCGATGTGATAGCCAATGATTGGGCTACCACCATCTTTCGTTGGTGGCTCCCATTGGACTACCATGTTGTATTTTGTGACAGCAGAGGCATAAGGGGCTTCCGGCGCGGAAGGCACACTGAAAGGAAATTGTGCCATTACAATAGGAGAAGTAATTGAAGTACTTTTTCCGTATCTATTTTCGGCAAACACTCTGAACTGGTATTCACTGCCTGTCTTCAGCTTTGAAGCTTTGATAGTGGTTCGAACTGTGGTTGCAGACACGGTTTGCCAATCCATGCTTGAAGTGTCACGTTTTTCCACCACATAATTGTCCAGCTGACATCCTCCCGTGTACTCCGGGGGCCCCCATGAGAAAACGATGTAGTCCGAGCTAACTTCATCAATCCTCACTGGTCCCACTGGAGCATTGGGTTTTTCCAGGACAACTAAACTAATCTCTCCAGTGTGTTTTCCAGCACTGTTACTGACTTCAATAGAATACTGCCCTGAGTGCTCTCTGGCTGCGTGTCGTACATGAAGAAGTGTCATTGTCGGCTTGTTTACGATCATGAGTCTGGATGTTTCTTTGACGGCCTGATCACATTTTCTCCATTCAATCTTTGGTGCAGGTTGTCCTGCTACAGGGATCTCTATTTTAATATCTTCTCCATTTTTTACTGTAAAAGTGTTGAGTAAAATCTGCAGTGATGGCTTGGTGGCATTTTCTGGACTGCTAGATTGACCTGGTAAAATAGAAAATAAATATAACCAACATTAATCGTGAAAGTATTTCAATTATAATGGGTTACACATGTTTATGTTTTTATTGACTTTTTGAGCTTTTACCCATATTATTGCGACGTTATTCCCTGGAGTTGTTTTTAAATCCATCCACAGTAATATGGCACAAATATGTAACTCCACCCCTTCTATCTAAAAGCCTCTGCCTCAGTCCTGTAATAATATGTTGCAAATAGTCTTAATTATCATTTTTTGTGTAATACGTATAATAATGTAAAATGTATCTGCTTTGACATCTTTAAGTATAGAGATCCAACAATAAAGTATCAGTCAATCCATTAATTAACCAATCAATCAATCTTCAATCTAGTGTAGATAATTGTTTAACCATTGTCCAAGACCAAAAAAAACAAACAACAAAGGAATGCTGCTTTGCTGAGAGCATCTTGATTGACACTTTATTTTAAACATATTATAACTATATACTTCATATAATCTATTATGATAGTCAAAAATAGAACCACACTGAGTCATGGACATACCTTGGGCTGAAGATTTAGCAGCTGACTGTGAATCCTTTGTTTTGAGCTCTGATGTCATGGTTTTATTTTGAGGGGCACCAGTCGATCTTTTCTCCGCCTTTGAGAAAAAATGAACAAGAGCAGAGTTAATAATTCAACATTAAAATTATGAAAACAATCCTACAATATATGAAAATGATGGAACATGGAAATACTAGTCATGTGAGCCAAACACCCCTCACATTAAACTGAGCAGAGTTGTCTGAACTTTCCTGATAATAGTTTGAGAGAAGATGCTTACCTGATTGTCCTTTGAATCCATAATTCTCAATGTGTTAGCTCTCCTTTGAGTGTTGAAGAATCTTTAAGAGTTTGCAGTGTGTGGGTCTCCCAGAATGAGTGTCGCAGATAAGTTAGACCCCTGTTGTATCACCAAAGGCACGCAGGGACAAAAATAACTCTGACACCTGATTGGTCAGCTCGAGATACAGAAGACAGCTGCTCAATCCAGAACTACAGTATGAATAAAACAGAATAAAATTAGCAAATTTTAGTGAGGGCAAATTAAACCCTGCAAATTAAACAGTGCAAATAAAATGGGGGAACAGTGTATCTACCCCTTTTAAAGTGAGCAATGGGGTCCGACAGGGGGGTGTTCTGTCCCCAGTGTTATTTAACCTGTATCTAGACGAACTGTCATCTAAACTCAAAGACTGTCACACTGGCTGTGTCTCTGGAAGAACTATTATGAACCATTTTTTGTACGCAGATGATTTAGTCGTGTTTAGTCCAAGTACGGCTGGTTTACAGCAGCTCCTTAATATCTGCTCAACTTATGGTCTGGAACATGATATTAAGTACAATAGTTCGAAGAGTGTGGTTATGATTTCTAAAACCAAGGAAGATAAGAACCTGACATTTCCTAACTTTTGTTTGTGTAATGATGTTTTGCATGTTGTCACCAAAATCAAGTACCTCGGGCACATCATCACTGAGGACATGTCTGATGATGATGACATTTACAGACAATGCAGAGTGTTGTATGCCCAGGCTAATACCCTGGCACGGAAGTTTGGCTGTTGTACAGAGAGAGTGAAGCTAACGTTATTTAAAGCGTACTGTACTCCCTTATACACAGCTCATCTCTGGTCTCATTATAAGAAAGCCAGCATGCGTAAGCTCCAGGTGGCCTATAATGATGCTTTGCGTGTGCTTTTGAAAAAGCCGAGATGGTCAAGTGCCACAGAAATGTTTGTTAATGCCAGAGTGAACACTTTACAGGCCGTGCTACGAACTTTGATGTACAGCTTTATGTGTCGATTGAACACGTCTGAAAATGAAATAATAGTGTCCCTCACGAATATAAAATGGAGTGCGACACGGTATCAATCTGACTTGTGGAAACATTGGCATGGTTGTCTTTTTAAAATGCCATTTTAATTGTCTGTCTTGTGCTTTATTTTTTATTTTATTTAATTGTATTGGACTGTGAGTCCGGAATAAAGTTGAATTGAATTGAAACCATCATTTTGGGTTGTTTTTTTTCGTTTAAAAATATATATGTATTTTTTTGTTATATTTCACGTTTAATTTTACTTTGAATTTATCATTTTATTTTGAAAATCCACTCCGGAAACCACAATAATTATTGCTGCCGTCCAGTTCATATATATATATCCTCCTTTTTCAAGTTTTCCGTCCCTTGCTCTCATTTTTATTGACCTTCATGTATTATATTTGACCTAAATAGCATTTATAAAACAATGTTAAAGGGACTTTTATATTGAACACATGAAAATGATCTGATATCGATAAGGAAGGACTTTACGTTTTTGGATTTGAGCTTAACCGGGGAAAGTAGGAAGCACGTTGTGGACTGATCGTTGTTATTATAGATCCACGGGACAGATCAGCACGGAGGTGTGAAGATATACTTGTAACTACGTATATTATTATTGTCTCAAAAATTTGGTTAATGTAGTGTTTCAGGGCTGAAGTTAAGGTGCCATCAGTGAACTAGCTTACTTAACTTAGACATACATTCCTAAACGTTACAGTAGTAGCTGCAGTGTTTAAACAAATATATTAATATTTACAGTCTATGGTTTTAACCTAGCTACCTTTTGAATGCCAATGTACTTTACCTTTCTTATCAGAGATTGTCTTGTCTGGTGTTGTATGCTAAACCAAAAAAAAAGAATTATTCGCTTTTTATTTTTATTTTTTTACAATTCTTCTTATTTTCATGTCTTTCTTCTAGTACATGGATGTATGTATTAACGTCTAGAATAGGTCTTTCCATTATAACGTGCCCTAAATAATCCTAATTTTGCATGTTGTCCAGCAGGATCAGCCATGATACCCCAGTTTGTGTACAACCATGAAGATTTCCTCACCCATGTGCAGAGAAGGAGTGAGACAACTACACAGACACTAACACCATTTGACGCCGTTATTCAAGATGGATGGACAGAGAGAATGGACAAGGGTCTATTCCGCTACAAACTGAATGACTTGGAAACACACATTATCCCCGGCAACTATGGCTACGTGGCCCAGCTCAATATCCAGAGGGGTACAGAGCGACGAAAACCACAAGAGATTTTGAGCATTCAGCAAGAGTTCAATAGAAATCAGTTTAATTTCAACAAAATCAATCCAGAGGAGGTTATATGCGAGATGGCAAAGCGGACAAAATCAACGCATGCTTTAAATATGTCTAAAATGTTAGTGCTGGTCAATGTTAGTCCACTAGAATTTGGTCACTGTCTTTTTGTTCCTGATCCGTTACGATGTCATTCCCAAATCCTTACAAAGTTCGCAATTGAAGTTGGTATAGAAAGTGTATTTCTGAGTTCTCATCCTGGATTTCGAGTCGGTTTCAACAGCCTCGGAGCATTTGCATCTGTCAATCACCTCCACCTCCACGGCTATTACCTTGATCACGAACTTGCTTTGGAATCCATTTTAGTAGAATCGCTGCTTCCGGAAAAAGACTTCTATCGCCTGGCTAACTTCCATGCTGGTTTTGTCTTTTATGCTGAAACTAAGGCTGTAGAACAAGTGGCTGAAAATGTATGCAAGGTTACAGACTTTCTTGTGAAGCGTAATATTGCTCATAATCTGTTTCTCACCAGAGGATGTCCACCCTTTGATCACAAACCCAGTGCGACAGAAATGAGTTTGAGGAGAGGTGTTCGCATTTTTGTTTGGCCCAGAAAATCCTGCTTTGGTGCAAAAGAGGAGTCTGCTCTTAATGTTGCCCTTTGTGAGCTGGCAGGACATTTGCCGTTCAAAAACAAGGCAGACTTTGAAAACGCAACAGAAGAAAATGTTACAGAATCTATAGAAAAGTACCTTCTTCCAAAGGAGGAGTTTCTCTGTTTAGAGGAGCATCTTGTAGACCATTTGAACAAGTCATAGAGTCTTGAACTTACTGTGTATGCTCTTTGATAATTAATAAAACGGATTAGATTTGGTGATGATGAAATTGTATCCATAACTTTTTTCCCCCACAGACATGGGGTTTAAGAATGAGAGAGTTACTTTTGAGGAGGGAAACACCTAGCTTTCTCAATCAAATATCTATCCAAGATCTTTAAAGTAAATTAATTAAATTTGAATAGAACAATGAATATTTAAAATGATATCTAATACACAATCTTTAATGGGTGGTTTTCAGATTCTAGATGTTTTCCCTATTATTTTCATTGCATTACCAAAAGACATGATCCAAGAAGCCGAATTCACAATATTTGGATTGGACTCTAAAACTCAGGGTATGACTATGTTACTATGAATATGTTAATTTCAGCTGTCCTCATCTCTATTTTAATGATTACCTTTTTGGATGTTGTGATTATTATTATTTTTTTGACATTTGTAAAGTTATTATTAAAAAATAACCATGTTTTCTAATCTTTGAAGCAGCCTTATTGTAACTATAGGAACACACCAGGGTTTCATGAAGACTAAACTTTGAAGACTCAGATCTGAACTAAACCAGGACAAGTAGCACCTGGCACATTATCTGCTGCACTGAGGTCACCAGGGTGAGTATCAATATGAGTATTTTTAATGAAGTCTGAATTGGGAGTCATTGTACCAGTACACAATGCTTTTATATCCACCTGCTGCACAAACAAACCTGGATGCCTTTTGATCTTTGATCTCGATGAATGTCCCCGTCTCTATAATACTGGAACCATATAAAATACCATGACACTGTTTGATGGTGGCTTAAAAAAGTTACTACCTGTGTATTTTATTACTGTTTACACATTTAGTGGCGCCTATGGTTCTACTTAAAGCTAAGGTAGCAACAAAAAAAAAAAAATTCTCTGACTTTTCATCTGACTTTCATGATACTGTTACAACCACCTACCCCAATAGCTTTAAAGTAAAACCAGTGAAACCATCAAAACATTTAATTGTGACTGTAACTTTTTTTTTTTCAAGAGTTTCAGCTTGACATTCTTCTGATTCTTTCTGTTTGTGTTTTTGCAGAGGTGAAGTCGTCCTTAAGGGCATGTGGGAAAAGGACATGCAGGTATAGAGGAGGCATGAACATCCATAAATGAATAACAGCAGAAAACGGACACGTGAGAGAAAAATCCAGAGAAAAATATACCACTGTTAATGTAAAGTATTTCGTCTTTGTCAATTATGAGTCCAAAAATAGCAGTTTTTGTTCAACTCATCAGTCAGCAGCAATGTGGACATAATGCTTTCACTCACACCCACAGTGTTCAGGGTGGAGATAATTGCGTGTGTTTTACAAGATTTTAAACTGTTTTTTTAGTAAGTAGTTTAGATTAAATTGAAGTATAACATGATATTCTTTTCCCTTTTAGTCCTTGAGAGTCTTGGTTTAGTAACGTGGAGGTGTGTCTTGGGGAGGGTCATCCAAGTAAAGCAGCCTCTCCTCTCAGCTCATCCCCAATTGTGCACCGAAATATGTCAGTTGAAGTTGTGTCTTCTCCTGAAATTATTTAGAAAATGGGTTGTATTCAGAGCTTCAGAGAATTGTGTGACCGGCCGAAGAATACTAACGTGCGGATTAGTCTCCCAGCGGTGTGCTTTGTGTGGCAAATATCGATGATTATTCTTTTTGGAGTTTTTATACGATACGATGAGGAGTCGGATACTCACTGGATAGAACACAAGAAAGCCAAGAATATTTCAAGCGATATCGAGAATGACTTCTACTTCAGATATCCAAGTAAGTTTTATGTATCATGGTTTTATGATGGGTGAAAATGTCAAGTTAAAAAGTTATGTTTCCGAAAATGAGGGCCTCCCTCACTTACTGGGTTTTTGAGCTGTTCCTTTCTGATGCAGGACGGTCTAAGTAAGAGCGGAGGTGATGATCCAGGACATTCATTCATAGAGATGTGTTAACATTACCTTATTATTTAGACATTTCCTGTGTTTGAACTGCATGTTGATGAATTGACTACTTAGTAAAGTACTGAGACGACTTCTGTTATGATTTAGGGATATACAAGAATAAATTGAATTGAAACGAAAAGCAACAAGTGGGATGAGAGATTGTGTCTTAATGATATACCAGTCTAGACACACATTTAAAATATATATGAAGGAATAACTTTGTCTGAGACATCATCTCGAATTGTCAATCTTACATTAACTTTACCCACATCTCCAAAATCTTGCATAATAAATTAATAATGAGTAGTGCATATGAATTGCTGATAGAGCTTTGCAGATGCATCCACTTTTCCCTATGGAATCTTCGAGCAATAACTTCCACTCCATCTCATATGCGCCTAACCAAAACAAATGCCTAGTAGTACGCATGAATGACCTTGTTATATTTTCTTTTACACAAACTGTAGAAAAGCTCACTAATTCGTGGCATGGGTGCGGTTCTGTATCCACACCACATCTCGTGGTGTCAGTGTCCACATTATCAAGAAGCCATCTTGGTTATGGTGTTAAATGTCTCATGATAAATGTTGGACTTGACGTGGTCTGTTGTCTGCTGAGCATTGTCTATGAGATCATGCTTGAGTTACTCTCTTTTATCCTCCTTGTACAATGGAAAGGAATGCATGCGGACAATTGTCTAAACATATGGTGGGACCAGCCAGCAGTTACATGACAATGTGTAGAATAACTGTGTGTTCTACTGATGTGTCGAGATCAGTGTTCCCCAACCTATTTGAGCCTTGGCACACCTTTTACTGGAACTGATACCGAAATGAAAATCTGCAGCCTTTATGAACAACAGTTATATATAGAAAATCAAAAGGGGTTAGAGTCTTTCTAATCTTACACACTATACACTATATACAGTGTATTGGACCATTTCCAGAGGTACACCAAACAACATCTCACGGCACACAACATACCACAGCATACTAATTAAAAAACACTGTTCTAAATAATAAACATGAATCATTTGAAATATTATCCAATGTCCGGCAGGTTCCCAGCAATTCTCAATGTTGTTGCTCAAGTAAAAGTTAGCTATCACACTGAAAAATTCAAAGTATTTGTACCCATATGAAATATCAGCTGTGTATGTAAATGCACTCTTATGTCTAAAAATGTAAATATTGTGAAAAAGCACTGTGTTAATGCATTGATACCGTAATTCATGCAAAGCTGGATGTATCGTCGTTTTTGATTGAAAATAATATAATTTATATTGAGACATAATCACAGGGTTTTTACAAGAAATGAAATAATGAAGTATGTCAGTCTGTGCCAGTTTTGTTTGCTGAAATATCTGACAAGACATGTTTGAACTTTGTGAGATGTACTATATAGAGTCAAAATAATTGTAAATTGTGTGTATTTGAATCATCTTGGTAGAGGACTTGGCATATTAGCATTATCAATTGAACATGAGTTACCATTTTTTCTCTTAACACCTAAAACCGTCTCATTCATGCCACTTTCTCGCTAGGAATGTGGCATAAAAAAACATTAAACCATTTCAAAGGTACTCTTTAGTTGAAATACAAAGGCCTAACATGTTGGTAAATGTCAGATCCATTGAAACAACATTCCAACTCTACCTACTGTAAGTTTAATCTTGATCTCAGCTTGTGCCATGTAAACATATTCATGACTGCAGGCAGGTAGCAGTGACTTCAGCAATGGAGACTTTGAGATCCACCTCATTCTCTTTAGGTAAATGTTTAGAAAAATTCCATCTAAAGTTTCCCATGTTTGTCCCACAGGTTTCCAGGACGTCCATGTGATGATATTTGTTGGTTTCGGTTTCTTGATGACCTTCCTGAAGCGCTACAGCTTTGGGGCAGTGGGTTTTAACTTCCTAATCGCGGCGTTCGGGCTCCAGTGGGCGCTCCTGATGCAGGGCTGGTTCCACTCTCTGGACTACACCGACGGAAAGATCAAAATTGGGATAGAGAGGTGGGTGTTTCTGCATGACTGTTTTTGCATTACTTTTAAAAGCTGATCATTGTGTGGCATTTCAGAAATGTCAGGATTATTTGGTGAATCAATGTTGTGATTTTACTGGTAACAATAGTAGAAATTACAAAAATTGACACCAGAGATACTCAAAAGTTTTTGCCACGGCGGAGACCAAACCTTTGAATATGATTTTGAAAAGATCTGTCTATATGTCTATTTTGGTCCTTTACTGTCTTTCACATCTTCTCAGTGATCTCCAGAACCAGTTTTCACCTCCGGCCTTTCATTTTTGCTGAAAATACAAAGAACTGGTATTAGCTTCGAACCAGCTACATACTAAATACTGCGGTCAGACACTATTTAGCACTTAAATTCCTAATTCATATGATTTTTCTTATACCAGTGCTTTGAGCATTGGGTGGCAGCTCTCATTGCAACCCCCCCCCAACCCAGAAATTGAGTATCCATCCATCCATCCATTTTCTTCCCTTTAATCCATTTCTGGGTCAGGGGGGTGGCAGAAAGAGATGCCACCCAAGTCTCATAGCACCAGCCCCTCACTGACCCTCTGCAGGTGGTGAGTCCACAGGAGGACGGCTGCTCTCTGAGTGTGAGCATAGCCTTGATCTTTCAGTGGGGGCTTTGGGCAAAGTGGGGTTAAGTGTCTGTGTGCAGAGGTGGGAATTGAACCCACGACCTTCTGGCCTTAAGGCCAATGCTCTACCAACTGAGCTACTGTCGCCCTAGAAATTGAGTAATAAAGGGAAATGAATGAATGTTTTTTAGTTCCTATTGTAAAATGTATACAATCTGAAAATCATGTGACCTAATATCTAAATGTTAATAATGATGAAATTAACTACTACTACTATGTACATCTCCCCATTGTGAGATCGATACAGTTTATCTTACATTAGGTAGATCTATTGGCGAACTCATTACATGTTTGATTGGTACACACAACCCAAAGTCATATGGGTCAAAACAGCAGATTAATTGAATTGCCTTTTTTCTTTTTATGAAATTGCATTGTATTACTATTTTTGTTTTAGTGGCAAATTAATTAGGTTATCCAAAGTATACTTTGGATAACCTATATATCAATAATCACTCAGGCTTGTGCCACTTTTCTACTTGGGGAAAAACTATTGGATTTGCTGATGTTTCCACCTGCATCTGTTCCTGAGACAAGAATACACAGAGGTGGAGAAACCTGTCGGACGTCTCCTGCTCTGATATTGACTGTAATGAGACAGTTTGAGGCAGTTTGTATTGTAAATAAAAAAGTCATCCTCCTGTGAAATGAATCCACTGAAGCCTGCCAACTCTGCGGGAATATCACACATCTAGTTATGTAACAAAAGGGATAGAAAAGTGGATACTGTTACACTGCAAAAAACAAAAACAAATTAGGACAAAAATGTTGATGTTATCTATACATTTCATTATTCTTTGTGGTATCACCATAGACTGGATATGGATGGACAATGCTAATCCCCTTTTAGATATCCAAGAAATATCAACAGACAAGTATTGTATCTCCCAGAATATGTAACTTTGTACCTTTGTGACAGTTTAGTATTATTATAGATGACTTTTCAGGTGGCTTGATAATGGAGTTTTACACTGAGGAAGCCACAGTTTGAGAAAATGTTGCCTTGTATAAGTAAAAGGTGAAAAAACAGACCACAATATGCTATTATCAAAGCTAGCTAGTGCCACATTAACCATACTGGGACTCTGAGGAGCACAGGGACTGGCCTCCTGCTGGGGCCCAGAGTCAGAACTAAACATGGGGAGGCAACGTTTCAGATGAATGCTGCTGAAATCTTGAACAGTCTTCCTGAAAATGTGAGGCAGTGTCCTTGTCTGACAATGTTCAAATCCAGGTTGAAATGTTAATGTACCACTGTGATGATGAATGATATTAATGCCTTGTTCGATTGTCTCTATATGGTTCTGTTAAGCACTTTGAGTTGTGTATGAACTGTGCTATACAAAAAAACCTTGATTTCATGGATAAGGAAACTAGGTACCCCAGCTTTTAGGTAAAGAGAAAAAACATTGTATAATCACTAGGTGTATCTCCAGCTCAAATGTCCCATATAATGTCTTTTTGCAGCTTGATCAACGCAGACTTTTGTGTGGCTGGCTGTCTGATCGCCTACGGGGCCGTGCTGGGTAAAGTCAGTCCAGTCCAGCTCATGGTTCTCACCTTGTTTGGAATCACTCTGTTTGCAGTCGAAGAATACATCATCCTCACTCTCATCCATGTAAGGGTCGCTGTAGCTGTATAACTGCTCTACACATTTTACACTTTTATTCATTTACAGAATTTCCAAAGGCGAGACCAAGAAAGCAGTTTTTTCTATATTTTACATGTTCAACTTAACTAACTAACTTAACTTAAATCATTCAATTGTGATACGAGCCCAAGTTGAAATGCTATTAGATATTTATTTGTTATTAGTTTTTTTGTATATCCATTTTAGACTTATACATGACATATTATAATTATATTTCAAATAATTACAGTTTCAAATACAGTTTAATGCTGACACTATTTGCATAATGTGGCAATTGTTATTATTATTATTTATTTTATCCTCCCCTTTCCCTTTCTCTACTTCATAAAATCTAATAAATATTTCAGTCATAAAACAAAACAAATCGTATCAAACTACAATATTCTTGTGTAATTTAGGCCAGAGATGCCGGAGGCTCCATGGTCATCCACACTTTTGGAGCTTATTATGGACTCGCCATCTCGTGGATGCTCTACCGACCGAACTTGGACCAGAGCTGTCGACTGCATGGCTCCGTCTACCACTCTGACGTCTTCGCCATGATTGGTATGTTTGAGTTTAGTTATTCATAATCGAAAAGGAAGCGATCAAACACAGGGATTGTTTTTTTTTTTTAAATGGACTGCTAGGATCTAATTTGAATAGATTCTTGCAAGTTTGAGTAATCTTGTACTTTTGAGGTTTCAGAGTACCCCCTCTCCCTGCCCTTATTATAACAAATTATTATTTTTTTTCATTTAATTTTCAACCCCTTTGTCCATTTCTGGGTCGGGGGGGTGGCAATGAGAGCTGCCACCCAACGCTCATAGCACCAGTCCCTCGCTGATCTTCTGCAGGGGGTGAGTCCACAGGAAGATGGCTGCTCCATCAGTTGAGAAACAGCCTTGATCTTTCAGCGGGGGGCTTCAGGCAATGTGGGGTTAAGTGTCTTGCCCAAGGACACAACGACAGCAGTCATCAGTGTGAGCAGTTGGAGTAGGTCCCATGGTGGGAATCGAACTCACGACCTCCAGGCCCAAAGGCCAATGCTCTACCAACTGAGCTACTGTCGCCCTTATAACAAATTAAATACTGTAAATTAATGCATACACAGAGGATTTTCATTACAGCAGTCCTGAACTAGACAATAAACCTGTTCAGCTGTTTTAACTGGAAAATGCTGTTTGTATTGTCCAACATTTGAAATAATTGCATATAATCTAAAAGAAAACCTAATGCATCTACTTTAAAACTGTATTGCAGGTACTTTGTTCTTGTGGATGTTCTGGCCCAGCTTTAACTCGGCCATCACAGACCACGGAGACGGCCAGCACAGAGCCGTCATCAACACGTACTTAGCTTTAGCCTCCACAGTTCTCACCACGATGGCCATCTCCAGCCTCTTCCAGAGGCACGGCAAACTAGACATGGTAAGTGCACCGGATTTTTTACTTCATTAATACCTGACATAAATATAGAAACTAATAGATTTACAACAATCAAGCTGCAGTTTATGAAGAAATGTTAAATGTTCTCAAGACATCGTATTGGGAGAAGGGAGAATTTTTGACAGTTTCAACACAGTGTGATCTCATTAGTTTGGACTCATCTCAAGGGGTTTACTTTATAATGTCCGCTATAAACTGTTAGGAATTATAATGTAACAATTAAATGACTTCAAAACTACATTTTAATCAAAGGAGTCATTAATCTACAATTCAATTCAATTTATTTTTAAACACAGGAAATACATTAATAACAAACACATAGAAGCCATTGCTCCCTTTCACAAATGATCCATAGACAATTTAGTGCAATACAATTTTCTTTTTCCAGAAACTGTTCCCATGTTTTGCAGTTGAGCACGATTAGCTCTTTTTCAATGGAGATATGTGAAAACTGGTGTTAAAAATACATCATTTTCTGTTTTTTGATCATTTTATATCTTTTCTAAGACTAAGTGAGATTTCACGATTCGCAGGTTCACATCCAGAACTCGACTCTTGCTGGAGGCGTGGCAGTGGGAACGGCTGCTGAGTTCATGCTGATGCCCTACGGCTCCCTGATTGTGGGCTTCTGCTGCGGGATCATCTCCACGCTGGGATACATCTACCTCACTGTAAGAACAACCCCGCTGAACACAGCTCCGTTTAAAGTCTGTCTGGAAAAGATCCACAAGTCCTAAACCCAGTGTGGTCTGTCTTAAAAATAGCTGTATCTGCATAGGTCTTTGATTTGGTCCTGAATTTACAGAAATATCATACGCTCTTTCTTTGCTGTACGTTTTCTCAAAAGGAGACACAAATAAAAAATTGATATTCTGTTTGAGTTTATCAATTATTGTTGATAATATATATTTATTTATATTACTAAAATATTGTGAAAATGTTTCAGAGTGATACAATGAAGTGCTTGATATATTTCAAACTAACGAACAGAAAGTTTATACAGAAAATGTATAATTTATAGGGAGAAAAAGTATATTGAATGAACAGTCATATCTAAATTTTTTCAGTGAGCTTATGATGGCATTTTTGTACATTTACTGTAAAACTGTGTTGAAAAGTTGACTCATGGCCGTAATGGTTGGACCCCATTTGAGTAAGTACCTATTTTTAAGTGCCACATAATTATTATTTGCACTTTTTTTTAGCCGTTCATGGAAAAGTACCTGAAAATTCAAGACACGTGTGGAATCCATAACCTCCACGCCATGCCTGGACTCATCGGTGGAATAGTGGGCGCCATCACAGCCGCGGCGGCCACTGAGTCCGTCTACGGCCACGAAGGGTCAGACATGAAAAATGCTGGATTCTATTTCTTTGTTTTACTTCAGACAATTAAGTAGAAAGGATGACGCAATTACCATGACATGTTTTGACTGTCAACATCTCTCTATGACAGCTGACCGACACGCATTTGGTAAAACAAGAAGTATAGTTGACTGGGCAGATATTGACTTTAAGGTTTTCCTCTGATACAGTATGTACTTAGTCCAATACTCCACAGGATGATTTAGTCATTTCATCAAACTATAGCTAGAGCAGCTAGTTACTGCTTTGAAAATGTATTCATCATGATTGCCAGTAACTGAAAACAAATTATAACTTTAAACAGCAGTAAAAAGTTGTATTTTACACAGGAAAAAAGTCAAAGTCTAGGATAACATTTGCATGAATCCTTTGAAAATGTAGGTAGTAGTCTATATCAGACGTGTCAAACTAGTTCCAGAAAGCCACAGTGGACTCACTTGAGGAAATGAGTGGGGTCTGGTGTGCTCCTGCTTGGTTAGAATGAAAACCTGTTGCCAAACTGGCCCTTTAAAGAGTTGTTTGGCACCCCTGGTCTATACTGAAAAACAAAAATATGATACTCTAAAAATAAAACTAGCCCAGCAGTCTTACTTCAAGAGCTTTTCTCATTCCTTGTGACAAATGATGTCGAGAGACTTTTTTTCCTTCAGTGTATATGTGTATGTGATAGTGACGTTTCCTTTTCTGCCTCAGACTCGTCAACACCTTTGACTTTGAGGGTGCGTTCAAAGACATGGTGCCGACTCAACAGGGAGGGCACCAGGCCGCGGGCATCTGTGTGGCTCTGTGCTTCGGTGTCGGAGGAGGAATCCTGGTTGGTAAGAAGCATGGCCAAACGGTTTGAACACATTAAATGCGATGACAAGAAACACACAGGAGCCATTGATGACAAAAAAAACTATTACAGTTTTACATGTCTGACCAACTTTAACTCTTTACATGAGGAGACCCCAGGAAGATTAGCCACTGCATCTCAGTGACTATTGGGGATCTTAATAAACTAAACTAAACATAACCAGAAAACAAAGTCGATGCTAGTAAGTTGTTAGTTAACGTTTTTTTCTGCCTTAAAACAAAATTAATCCAAATATTCTGCTAATTTGTACAGTATTTTCTATTTTTAGGTGTTTCCACATAAATCATATTAAATCATATTTGTTCGACCAAGATTCCATGACCAATTAATCCACACGCACACACACGCACACACACACACATAATCACAATACCACTCTTATTGGCAGGGTAAGTCCCGTATTTTATCTTTCCTTATGAGATACTGAAATTGGACTGTTTTTTTATTTTTTTTATTTTCAGCGATAATAAAACATGAAAGTAGTTGACTGTATTGATGTCACATGTTCCCAGGGTGTATCCTGCGTTTACCCATCTGGGCGGATCCTGCTGACGACAACTGCTTCGACGATGAGTCTTACTGGGAGGTAAGAGGCCTCTGCTCAGATAGTGCTGCTCAGTTTGTCCTTTGTCAAAAAAACTAACTGTATTTGCACATTATCTTTGTCATTTCTAATGTTATTTATACATTTATATCTGTAATAAAGATACGTTTCATTTGTTTATTGTATTTACTGAATTTCTCCTACAGGGATCAATAAAGTATCTATCTATCTGTATATATATCTGTAATTTTCCTTTTTGTGTGTCTACAGTTGCCAGAAGATGAAGAAAGCACTCCCCCCATCTTGCAGTACAACAACCACATGCGAAACAAGGATATGTAAGTGTACTTTTTCCTTTTGCTCATTTTACCACAAGGCAGAGAACCAAACTTCATTAGAAAATCACGTGTTGATTTGACACAACCTTAAAAGAGTCATGTATTACAGGCTGAAGGTTTTTGGGCCATATTTCAGATATTATGAACGATTTCGCACACTTTTTTTCAGCCATTGTTAGTGGTTGTGTGAAGCCATATACTGTCAAATAAGCATAATTTCTATTTTCAAATTATAATGTACTTGAACTGCTTTGGGGAGATTTCAAACATGCAGTTCGTGCAAGGCAGCCCGGGAAGTTACACAAACTACAGCCTATTTTGTCAAGCCAAGAATGGCTAACTTTAACCTCAGAGAAGACAAAATAACTGCATCCACAACTACCACAAAAGACTCCAAGAACTGGGGAGATGTATAATCCAAGTCATTTGAGTGGTTTCTATTGTTATTACAATTTAAAAATAGAAAACATGTTAATTTGACATTAAATAGCCTTAATTAATAATATTTAAAATCTACAAAATATGGCCTAAACAGTGACATTTCTTCCTGGGTGTGTAAACTTTCAAACACAACTGTAAAATCCCAGGGAGTGACTTATGTCTGTGATAGCAGTACCTCAATACATCCGCATGGTGGCAGCAGATCCTAAATAGTTCAGGCCCCAATTGGCTCATTGTTGTTAGGAATACAGGGAAGTAATTCTCCTCTTTCACCTCATTTAAGCCACTGTGTTTGTTCATAGGGGTTTTGGCATTGTTCATGTGACATCAACCATAAACACTAAACTAAAAATAAAGCACACAGCAGACATACGGACGATTCATAAAATGATTTAATATCGCAGCATTTTAAGTCAATGTATTAACCTAGTATTTATTATTGTATCTATTTTGATGGTGGTAGTGACTTTTCTCTCTGTCTTTCTTTCAGAGTTGAGTCAAATTTTAGCATGGAGCAGAACTGACACACGACAAAAGGGAATTTCAGTATTTACTCAAATTTGGGACGCTCTTTTTGATTTTAATAATCTTGTAAATAAAAAAAAGGACAGTTCTTAATTGGCGATCGGGATATGTTGTCTCTTTGCATACTTTTTGCAGTACAGAGATGTTAAGATAAGTTTTTATGCACTTTTTTTTCTCTTTACCCATCTAGCTTTTGTATTGATGATGTATAGACATGGCAAGGCAGGTAAAGTTTAATTGTACAGCACATTTAACACAGACACAGTGATTATTGGGAGACGTTCGCTGTCATTTGGAAGTGTGTGATTTTCATTGTAATCAGACATTTGTGTTAGATAGTGGAAATGTGAAATATATTTATGGATTTTGCTAATTACATTTCATTCATTCGTTCCATGATGACAATAAAAAGAAGCGATTACGATTTTCCCACTGTCGGTGTCTCTGTCGCCCTCTGAGATGAGTTCAGACCAGGGATAAAAGTCACTCCCTTATTTCTCTCTGCTCACTCACAACAAACAAGTCCCTCAGTGGAAACACAGATTACATATTACTGGTGTTTACACAAAACAGGATTACAGGATTTTAATGAAACGGATGATATCAATCGGATGTTTTCAAACACACAATAAAATGCATGAGGTGGAATAAAGTCAAAGTTTGGTCAAATGTCTCTTAATAAAATAGTCTCAGAATCACGTGCTTTGGTGGAAGGAAGACAGCATTTGGGAAACTTGAGGAAAGAGGCTAAAAAACGCTTGGAAAAAAAGTTGGAATTTGAGCTTTGAAAAAAGACAGCAGTGAGAAAAATGATAGTATAACAGGACTGACCTTGTAAACTATCATTTAAAAAATCATTGGTTTTTGATTTGTTCTCTGGTGGATTCATTTTTTTGTATATATATATAAGTACAACATTGCTACTCTGTTATAGGTATACATTTGTTGAACAAGTCTGTTTTCATCCTGTGTCTTTAATTCTTTGAAATCAAACTGCACACAGGCAAGAGGCAGTTTGGTCAAATAATGGTGTATTGGTGTTATTTTTTTTACTTATGATGTATCTTTTTTGACAGTTACAGTATGTGATCCCTTCATTAATGATTGATGAAGTATGATTATTTATTTTACAAAGTAACAGGAAAGGGATTGATGTCACACTATGGAGTCTCAAAATTCAACTAATAAAAAAAAGAAAAAATCAAATTAAAAGTGATGTTCATTGTAAGAGCTACTGCCCAGAGAAAAATGAAATTAAAGTTGGGGTACTTAATTGTTTTTTTTTAATTATCCCTTTTGTTTTCCCCACCCTAAGTTAAAGTAAAATGTAGTAAACAAATCAGATGCTTTCATTTTATCGGAAAACATTTCTGAATGAACTTTTCTGTTTGTGTATTGGTATGTAAAGCCTAACTTGTAAATATCATAAATGTGTTATTTTCAGTGCTTTTGCAAGACACAGAAAATGTCTTGTAAAAGCAAATGGTTGTTACTCCAGCATGCTGTCTTTATTTTAAGAGACAACCTTAATTCTGCATATTTTGAAATAACCCTTAGAGTCACTTCTGATCGACTTGTGACAGAGTCCTGACATTGGCAAACTTACCAAACCTGTGAGCCACTTATTGACGGTTTGGACTGAGGGAAGGTGTCTCTATTTTCATCTTTCTTTATTTTATCTCAAAAAGACAATTTAATAATGTCATAGAAACCAACCAAAAAAATCATACAAAAAATCTAATTCTCGAACCCAACTGTTTTTGACCAAGGGAGAAGTCACATGGATTTCATTACTGCAATAAAACATTTACATTAATTATTGCGGGTAAAAATGGAACATAAATTCATAACTATTAATGTTTTTTGACGACGACGACGACGACGACGATGATCATGATGATGGTAAAAATCAGGAAATCAGGAATATCATGTGAAAATCTGTAGCATTGATAAATGGGGAAGGCACATACAAGCTTTTTGCCTTTTTTCTTTTGAGCTTTGTTCCTTAAAATTATATGTACCTGTAAACATTGTAAAACTGTAAAACTGTAAAACATTGTCAAATCCGTTTATAGCCGGAGTCTTACATGCTTCCCACACATGTCTCCTTCTCCTCCTTCTCTCTTGGAACAAAAGGTGGCTTAGCGCTGTTTTCTTTTGTCATCAGCAACGTGTTTGAGTAAAGGGAGGTAATGGTGCCACAAGTGCTCCAATTAAACGCGATGCTGCCCCGCTGTGAGGGAGGCAGCCCAGGGACCCCCAATAGCCCCCTTCCCATGGGCCTTCCCGCTCTCTCCACACACTGTACTCATGTTTATGCATCAGACACTTCAAGAACCCACGCCTTTTCAACCAAATCAAACACGTCTTAAATTATAACTCTCCCTCTCATGGCTTTGGCTCTACAAAAATGTATTTCATAAGCTGCAGAGTGTTGCATTAGTGATTGGGGAATACTTTGAAACTCCACGTAGTTACGGAAAACCGGATTACTAACGAAATATGGGTTTTATCATGTATTGTGGTATTTGTGTTGTATTCAAGCAGGAAGTTAACTTTATTGTAACTTTCAATATTTTTTTTATTAACTGTAGCACAGCAATAATAATGAGCTTCTTCATCAGAAAGTGTAAATTCAAGTGTATGGAAAAGCAGCAGCTGCATTAGTTCACATACAGCATATAATCGAATTAATCTCTTGTGAATATGTAAATGAGCTCCTAAAGCTCCTATGAATCTGGAAAAACCAAATATGTATGTACTTGTCTGTAGGGACTGTTGCAAATGTAATCCAATTTGGTTTGACTGCAAATGGCAAATAAAATGAATCTGAATCTATAGTTGTGAAATTGTATTAGAAAAAATGAGAGTTGGGGTTTTTTTTAGATTTAAAAAATACATGTATAGTTTTGTCTCCCACATATTGGTGTAGTATTGTTGACTTCAGACTTAACTTAACCTTGAAGTTTGGCAAAAAAGGGAGAGCATTTCTCAACCATTTCATTTTGTTTCCAGGATGTTTTAATGAAGAGCATTTTACGAATAATTTGAATAAATATGAGCCGCTTTTTATTGTTTTGAAAGAAAACTTTTTGGGAAATTCAAAGCAGAGAAATAGAGCTGAGCTGACCAGAGACTTCTGACTTGAAAAACAAAGAGTTGGTTCCACATGTGTCAAATGTGTTCTCTATTGATTGGTATAGAGCCTAACTTGTACATTCACTACATCATTCATGTTTTACGCCCCAACAGAAAGAGTATCGTAAAAATAAAATGTTGTGAATAAACAAGACCTCAATGCTGTTTTATTACAAAACCTTACATTTTGCATACTTGTAATAAAGAGCCCTGTGAGTCATATACTTTATGGGCTGAGATTTTTGACGTACAATTTTGGGAATAACAGAGAATATAATGACAAATCTGAGTCAAGCAAAAGTGAGGAGAAGTGAGGAGATCCCAACTCAAAGAGGCAGAAGGAGAAGGCAAAATCCAACACCATCCCAGGACCCAAAGAGATAGAAGAAGACAAATCCAACCCCAACCCAAGGAAGCAGTAGGAGAAGGCAAAATCCAACCCCAACCCAAGGAGGCAATAGGAGAAGGCAAAATCCAACCCCAAGGAGGCAGTAAGAGAAGGCAAAATCCAACCCCGACCCAAAGAGATAGAAGAAGACAAAATCCAACCTCAACCCAAGGAGGCAGAAGGAGAAGGCAAAATTGACCAAAAAAAAACTCAAGGAGGCAACAGGGCTTGAATGAGGGGCCGAGCGGGCACAAAATGAGGCCTCACTTCTGTGCTGCGACTGCCATTGCGGCTCAATCATGACGCGTGATTGACAGTTCCAGGAAAAGCCGAGGGTGGGAACGTGGGTGCAGCCGAATAGAAAACGGCACAATGCAGCCGCGTTCCATGCAGGGGCCAGTGGGTGACGCTCATTGATAAACCCATAAAGAACACACCAGCAATAGCATGTTGTCCCTGAACGCCGTTTCGACTTCCAGACAAGTTAGTAATCTCCAGTGTGGAAATGTACAAATAAAGAATTGTTCTAATGCAACGTGGGAGGTAGAGGGATGACTTTTGCGTCCTGTTGTGTTGCTTTGTGTTCCGAATTCGCCCCAGAAATCCACATTGTGCAGCCTTCCCCTGGGTAAACCCGATTTCATTGCCTCATGTTCGGTCCTTTAACAGAGCAATAAAGGTTTTTACTGAAGGCAGCCCAGTCCACAAAACAGTTCATGAACAACTGAGTCTAGGGCCTGCAGGATGTCCCAAAGGTCACCTCCAGCTGAGCAAAGTTTATGAGGATTTTGGGGATAAACTTCCAAGGATTAACCATTTTAATGTATTCCTTTGTTTTAAATCACAACTAACTAACCCCTTTTTATTTACCCATTAATCCATCAATTTATATTTTCACATCACGGATGACAAAATATATTACATTTTTTTGTGCATATCTTTGTGACACTTGTTTTTTCATTTTTTCTTTTATCAAGGCTAATGAGAAGAAATATGATTGTGTTATATGAACAGTTTTATGGTGTGTCTGAAATGTCCCATTGCGTTTCATTGCGCTGTAAAATCCCATAGAGCAGAGGTCTCAAACTCAGTCTAGCACAAGGTCGAGTTTGGGTGAAGCTGGGCCGTATAAATGGGTAAATATATATCTGACAGGTTTGTGTGTGTGCAAACATTTTTTAGAACGAATGGATCAATGCACGTAAAGTTAAATAACTGAAATTGCACATGCCATTTTAACACCAGGATTGATACAAAGACCCCTATTTGATCAATCGTAAAGGCCCCATCTTCTCATTCTGTAATAATAACAGTGGAGAAAGTAAACGTTTGTAGTCGTTGAACTTCAAGAGACAAAAAACAGAGAAACCAAGGGGTCATGCGTTGGCGGAGAGTTTATTATATAGCTCATCGTTTGCATCTGTGACTTTATCATGAAGGTATTTTTGACCATATAATTATTAGACTGAAGAATTCATAGAGATTTGTGTTTTTGAATAAGAGCTAGACAGCATGTTATGGTTAATATTGAAACCAAGATTTACTCTTTCTGTTGGGACAAACAATGTGCATTATTTACAATCGATAAAAGTTAGGAACCCCAGCTTTACTCAGTTATAGTTGTGTTCCTAGAGAGATGATTTTATGAATGGGACTTTACATTATGAATTTGTAACAGGTTAAGTTCATCTTCTAGACTTCTATTTCAGTCACAGGGCAGGTGTCAATTCATCTCTACAGGAAAGAAGCAATTTTTTTGAGAAATTTAAAATAAGAAAATGCCATGCCCCTCCTGTGGTACTGCTGCTTACTCCCTCCCCTCCAACTTTTGTCACTTACATAATATATATAGTGAGATTCTTGTGTAACTTGTGCTGGTGGTCCGCAATCAACCTCCATCTTGGTGATCTGTGTCTGCCTACATTTTCGCCTCAGCTTTCATCTGGACGCTGACTGCCCCCAAACCATCCACTGGAATAAATTCTCTTAAGTTTGCACACTGTCTTGAGTCGCTTCTGGCTCCACAGAAAAAATCCAACTATTTTAGACATTTAAAAAGGTCATTTTTATAGATTCTCAAATCCGCCACATTCTTCCTATGTCTGAATGTCCTTTCTAATGGCACACATCATGCATATGTATTTGAACATTGTCCCCACTTCTAGACACCTTTATGAGAGAATAATTAGACCTCAGTTGATATGTACTGACAGATATGATGTGGCACTTTATGGCAGTTTTTTGTGTGCATTGACCTAAGAATTACAGAGAAGTCAGCAACAAACTAACTCTGACAGTTACCATAGTTATTAGGAAAGTCTTATCTTCCATCCTGCACAACTTTAAACTACTGTATATGCTCTTTGCAATGCTGTGATGTCACACAAACACTATCTATTTAGGGCTATATTTTTGTATAGCTCTAAATCACAACAGTAGTTATCTCAGAGGACTTTTCAAAGCTGTTTTATTCTCTGATTCACACATCAGAGAATCAAACAGTTCAAAAACGCAACAATAACAAAACACATAGAGCTATTGGTCCATAAGAAGTGGATTACCGATGTTCATAAATGTTCACTGATGTCCATAAATGTCGTTAAACATCCTGGATCATCACCACTGTCCTTACCAACTCCTGGATCAAGAAACAAAAAACAGAGGGGAAAAAATGAAAAATGCACTCCCCACTGTCAGCTCTTCACTTTTACATTCCCATCCCAGCCCTTGCATCTGCAGGTATCACACATATACATACACAGGACCCTCCCCGCTCTCCCCCTTTGACTCCTCTGTCCGGACGGAGGCTAGGGGCCCGCCTCGAGTGTCGCATTCGGACCACAGCGGTGAGGAACAGCAGATTAGCCATGATCCTATCCGTTCCCCGCGCGCCCCTTCATACGCTCTGTTACACCGGCATTTACCAAGAGGAGGGGACGCCATTCAGGATCGTGATATGAATCCCAGAGGCACGGACCTGAACAGAACTTACACCTCGGCCAAAGAAAAGACCCCTTTGGCACCCTCTAATTCTGGTTGCTATGGGGCTGCTAGGCTGGAAGGGGGGCTCAATGCTGCTCTCCTGTTGTGACGGGACAAAGCCTCTCAGTCATGGCCGGGACCGTTGCTAGGGGAGACAGAATGTATGGGGAGGGATAGAAGTGTCCCAGAAGAAATGTCTCTCTTAAAAAACGGGTGAGGTGTCGGTGATTGACAGGTGGCTACACGCTTCAGTGCGGTTCGCCAGCCCGGGAGGTCCCATCATGGCCTTTCAGATGATGTGTGTATGTTTGTATGCATGTATGATTGTGTGTCTGTGTGTGTGTGTGTGTGTGTAATGTGTATGTGCAGGTTTGTGGTTGTGGGGTGGGAGGGGACACATGGCACAGAGCAGGGGTCCCAAGCATGGAGAAATTTCATGTTGAAGGCTGTAATGGGAAAGGGTTGATTGTCTCCTATAGGGGGAGCTGCTTATGTGTCTGGCAGGTGGTCACTAATAATGGTAGAGAATAATGGTGGAGAACTGACTTTAGGGTTTTTGTAATAATAAAAAAAAACATCTCAAACTTGATTTTTGTTTTACTGTGCTGCGGTACTTGACTTTTAAGTTGGCTACACTCATAAAGACACGCCACACTCATGAATAACAAGTGTATGCCTGTCCTAACAAACTGAGTCTTGTAAAAGTAAAATGGTGTGAACAAATCAGACCGCAAAGATATTAATGATAAATATATATTGGCATTGCACTTTTCAAAAACAGTGTTTACAAAGTGCTGCAGAGTCAGCAGAAAGCAACAAAAACAGTCCTATTCATGTAAAGAGCTTTATACTGCATAGCAAAGCTTGTTTCAACAATAGTAGTTTCTTCACAGTGTTATCAGCCCTTTTAGACCTTTTTCTGATGTAAACCAAAGCCATAATTTACTCTTTTTCTTTTACATTTTCACATCTTGATGCATATTTCAAATACTGTAACCATGTTTTAATTAAGGCTTTAACATACTTGTATAAATACCATAGTGTTTTGCTTTGTTTCTCTAAGTATATGCTGGTTTTGAAGGTTTTAAAGACTTTAAAATATTAGGGTTAGTGTTGTACCTCTGCAGCGCTCCTTACTCTATTTCTGGATTTGGCTTCTAAAAAAAGGTGGTTTGATGACATCTATAATGTTGTTTTGAGGACAACATTCTAATATTCTTTCTTTCAGTGCTCTCCATTCCCACTAATATGGTCTGTCTGGTCACTATGTTATGAAATAATGTCTAAAGATGCCTTTTGTGATTTCATGTGTCCACAAATATAATCTATAGTCAGTGTGATTAGGAGTTCATGTAATTTATATGTCTCTGACTATTGCTTCTTTTTTACATAAATAAAGGTGATATATGTCAGGAATGAAGCAGACAGAGACGGATCGTGGTGCACCAAACTCTGGAAGTTTATTTAAGTTTCTCTCAAGTTCCAGTGGTTTCCATTGTTTCTTTCTCTCAGACAAAATAAAGGCAGTACATTTCATTTCATTTCATTTTCAACCCCTTTGTCCATTTCTGGGTCGGGGGGGTGGCAATGAGAGCTGCCACCCAACGCTCATAGCACCAGTCCCTCGCTGATCTTCTGCAGGGGGTGAGTCCACAGGAAGATGGCTGCTCCGTCAGTTGAGAAACCGCCTTGATCTTTCAGCGGGGGGCTTCAGGCAACGTGGGGTTAAGTGTCTTGCCCAAGGACACAACGACAGGCAGTACACAGTTTATATAATCATTGTCACGTCACACATCGAAAGACATACGTGTCACACAGAGAGAGTCACATCATAGTCAAAACATGGAGTCATCATCAGAGTCCTTGTACAGTCCTGCACGTAGGCCATATTGCTATCTAATACTAACATATATATACAGTATATAGATAGAGATTTCTTACTTACTTACTTTAACATACCCTTGCATCTGGATCCTTTCTCTTTGTTGAACAATAATGCATAAAGAGGATTTCACAGTCTATATTTGATTCGCTTTTTTTTACTATGAATAGTGTGAGTGGTAAAATATTATTGGCATTTAAAATACTGGCCATTATAAAATGTTTCACAAACGTAACCCAAGCCTGCATTACATGATGCTAAAATAAAAACTATTGACCCATAATACTTCAAAGGTCTATGATAAGACTACAAATAATGAGTCCATAAATAAAGTTATACTGAATACCACAAGGACTAGATTCACCAGCAAAAGTATCATAAATGGATCCCTCAATCTTGCCGATTGTTGCAGTAATGAGAGTGTTCGTTAGTAGTTCAAAAAGTAATCAAACACATTCAAGTGAAGGCAGACATATCCTCGTTTTCAGATTAGTATGAACATTTGCATATGTAGATTTGCTGTTTCAGACTCTGGGAACCTTCACGCAGACTGTTCCTAGACTGGACTGGGCCTCATTCAAACAGCTGAGGACCACTGAGGTGCACTGGAACAACACAGTTCTCTCCCCTCACCGCTGTCTGCTCGTCTGGGACCGTCTGGCTCCTGCTCTCCCAGACGGCCTCCCTCCATCCCCCTGCTTCCCCTTGACCTTGACTCTGTGCTGGGGAGACCCTCCGCACGGTCTGGGGCAGAGGTTAAAGCAGCAGTCACACATCAGACGGGCTGTCGGGGCCGCTCAATGGAGGACCAGTCCGGTGGAATGTGACTTTGCATTCCTACAGACACACAGGGAGAAGAGGGGAAATATAAATGGTTTGAGTTGTTTCAAAAAGTCATCAGTCATTCTTGTAAACAATGTGAAAGGGGACATTTGTTTTAACATATGTCTTTTGATTCCAGTCAGTTTCATAGTAAAACAAAATTTCATGTTTCAAGTCAAAATGAAATGTATCTTTTTAGAGGTCAATAGTACTAAAAGTGCACTGAACAAATTAGTCTAATTTCAAGATTCAAGATTAATTTATAATGTCCCATAGGAATTTTTTTTTGATTCACAGGCTGCTATTGAAATAAGACAGAAGTAAAACACAACACAGTACCACAAACCATCACTGCTCTGCTCGATATTTATAGTTAGTCTAGAAATGTGGTCAAAAATAATGGATTTTGGGTCATTGTTATGAATATAAGAAATATATAGGACATTTTGACTTCAAAATCAAAATCAGAATTATTCTTTCTATTGTCATAGTAAGTAACAGGAAGTCACAAACTAGGCTTTTGGTATAAGTTGTAAAAAAGTAGAAACACACATTTCTGAATATCATCTGACTTTTAACTAATCATAAAAATCCATCAGCTAAATACAATAAAGACATTAATTATATATTTTTTGTACACATGGTAAAAAGATGAATAGTATTTTAATGATGCCAATAATCAAGGCCCATGAGCGGAAACTTCTTAAAAATACAGAATTTCAGAACATCATCAGAAGTTAAATAAGCGGCTGCTTAATCTAACCCCTTCCCATTCTTCAATTTTTTTCTGTGTCTGTTATGTTTATGTAAAATTGTATGCAAGTTTGAAATAAATACATGAATTTGTTTAAAAATACATGTTGTCTATCTATTAATCATGTAAAAAGGTTGTTGTTGTTTGGATGCTGAAGCCACCGGGGAGACAACTTGAACAGTGATCTAAATCTAACAGAGCTAATAGATCAGTGCTTCTCAAAGTGTGGTCCAGGCCTCTTTGGGTGCATGGACTCAGAGGATCTTCAGGGGCCTCTGCGTATGGATGTCCGTACAATATGCAATTCAGAATTAAATCACATGTGCAAATATTTGGAAAGAATTACTACAATAACCCTAACCCCAGTCTTTTTAGATTTCAAAGGAAAACAGATTAGAGCATGGACTTTTATTGGTGGGGCCTTAGTGCATTCTGGGGACTTTGAAAATGTCTGGAATAGATGAATGTTAAGAAAATGGTCCATAAATTAATTGCTATTTTCTACATGGGATTATTCATTCCATGTGTTCTGAAGAGACTATTGAGACCCTGATGTCTGTAAATTAGTAAAACACCAGCTCCTTTATGCATCAGCTTGTATGTTGTGAGAATGTAGAAGTAGAAGTCAGCAAGAAAATGATTTATTCTGCACAAATCCTGCCTTCATAATTAAAAAAAAAAACAGCCTGCTTGTGCCACCATCATGTCAATCTCAGCGTATATGGATAACATGTTGAATCCAGCGTTTACCTTTGTTCTTGTGCCTGACATAAATAGATCCACACAGCGACTCAAAGAACAGGTTGTTCAGTCAGAGCGTCTGCACGTGGTCTGAGGACGTCACCCTGAGCATGCGCCACACGCCTTTCTCCATCTTCCTCCAGGCTCCACTTTGTCATCTGCCTGACATTTAAAGGAAGCCTGTATCATTAGGCTAAAGGCTTTCACTGCTAAAACTGACAATATGCAAAGCTGTCTATTATAGCATCCTTGATTTATTTTCCTGCATGAGAATATATTTCCGTAGGTATTTTCCAGCCCATAGAATAATACATCTTTAGTCATTGAAGCTTGGTCCTCTGTTCTTCTGAATTGTTTGAGGCTGAACAAACAGAATCTATAGTGTGTGCTCCAGCCCTCGTCCTGATATTATTCCAGTCCTTTTGAGGAGCTTCTCGAGACTATAGCGTTTTTGTTGCTTTGTCCAAGGGAGTTCTTATACACGATGTACGTTTAGTGACCTCCTTTCTCTGTAACGGTTGCTTAAAATACATTAGTATGAGCCGGAGAGGAGATTCTGTGCAGAGGATGTGGGACTTGGCTCTGGAGCTCATGGGCCTCCTGTTGTTTCAGAGCAGCTCCTGAACCTGGCCAAAGAGCAGGGCCTATAGAGCTGTGTGCCTGCAGTAAACAGCACTAAGGACCTGGGATACATTAAATCAGTGTGATTAGGAGTTTAGGCAAGGCCAAGGCTCAGTCCAAGAGAAAAGACGGCACGCCATTCACATCCAGAGAGAGGTCAGAGTCAGAGGAGTTCACAGGCCCCATCACTATTCTTATGCTAAAGGGTCATGAACACATCCACTCATTCAGCGCCTCAGAATGCATAAACAGCTCCACACTTTCCCTCCAAAATGTGAGGAATCTGCTACATTCTTGCTCTAATACCACTGCATGCTTTTACTTGAACTTTACAGGTGGGAAAAAACCTGAAATTTTCTTTTACGCAACAGTCACGATAAACTTATCCACTTGAAATGCCACTTTTATATGTATTTAAGGGCTTTGTGTCTATTAGTCTTTTCTTTCCCTCTTTCTTATCCTTTGCATTCTGTATATTATTCAATGCTGTGGGTCTGTGCATTGTAATCATTGTTGCTTTTTACTGCACGCATTCTCACTAAGAATGCCATTGAAAAGGAGATCATTCATCTCAATAATACAATTTAGAAATATATATGGATCAACTAAACGTTTGTATTTTTCTAATGTGAATAAATATGGAATATGTGGCAATAATTACTCAATTAATTAACCTTCCCAATTATACATTTTCACACTTTATTCACTCATTTGACTCTCATTATGTTTTATGGTCATTGCAAAGTGCTTAACACCTCTGTGAAGATGTCAGCTGTGTTAATTGATTTGCTGTTTTTTTTATGGACTTCCTCTGCAGTGACCGTGTGCCCTGTCCGTGCACTGGTCACTGGGGAATAAGAGGAAATGGCCACTTAATTGTCCACTCTTGACCTTTAGCTCCTGATCCCGACCTGGGCTGGTTTTTATCGCCCTCAGGGACTGCCCGAGTCATGACCTGCACGGGGGGACTATAAACTACACAGGCCCAAAACACGCTGGTAAAAAAAAAAAGAGGAATATACAGCCAATATATAGAGATGAGGAAAACTGTTTGTAACATGAAAAATGCTCTAGACTAAAAGGTATAGCTTATGAATAAAAATGTTTAGCGGCATTTGGGCTTTGGTTCCAGGCTGCACACAGGCTGATTCCACTAATTGCTTTGCATTCAAGCAGAGAGGAGAACTAATCACTAAAATACAGCTGCTATACTGACGAATGGTAAAAGATGCAAATGTTTGTATTTTCTGATGAGAATGCCAATGTAATGTTTAGATTTGAGTCAACATGGTTTATGGTATCCTTTTTATTGTATATGTTTTCGTCATAAAGTATGGTGAAAAAAAATAATACAAGGGGAAATGCCAATCCCAAAATCCAACCCTTATGTTATGCGCCTAGAATAAATGCATAGACTAACCAAATAAACAAATTGTCACTCAAAATGTATAATAATGTATGAGCGTCATACAGACTGACTCAAAAATAACGTGAAAATGAAAATGAAATACAATTTTTGAATTTTAAAACTTTTAAACAAAAGACGAAACGAAACTGGGCCTGCTTCTGGTGGTGCCAGCTTATACATGACATTAAAATCATATATTCACCCTGTTATTGCTCCATAATTATAATAGATTCTATTTATCATACCGGGTTTTAAAAAGTAATTTGGCAAAACTGACCAATTAGGCGTTCAAAGCGTGTGCGTAATTTGGCCAAGTAAGTTTTTACGCACAGGCCCCAGTACAGCCATGCATTTTTTTTTACCCCCCCATATCATTCAATTCTATTTTGTGTACAAGATCTCACTCTCTGGCACAAGGTTCCCATGTGTCACTTTTTTAAAACAGTTTGACTTGTTTTGATGAGGTGTTTGCGTGGCCGAAGGAGACAACATTAATCCCTCGCTGACCCCACGTGCGCATCTGTTGTTTGACTGGACACGCGATCCACTGGACACTGTTAAGTCCCGCTCCAGGCACTTTCGGATCAGTCTAAATCTGACTACCATTACATTATTAGGATTCATCCCCAAAAATAATCAGGAAAAGTCACCCATATGATTTTTCATTTCTCCGTAATTCCCCAAATATATGTATTTCTTATCGTTACGCGCTCGCTCCACTGCTCCATTGTAACCACGTTTTAACTCAACCTCTCCATCTAATATTATAAATCAAAAACGCGCCATATTCGTAATGTCTCGCGTTATATATTAATGAGGTCTGGTGCTGAGGCCTGTGGCTGCAGATCACCGCAGATTCAACACACGTCCTGTCTCATAATTAAAACTTAATGTGGGTCGTTTAGCCTCGCGCGCACTCCTCACGCACACTAACCTTTTTACATTTCCAGGACAGAATATATTTATTACCACACAAGATTTTAATTTAAAACATCTTATTTATTTATTCACAGCAGAGTTGCATATGTCAATAATAGAAGATGAATTCAACATTTGCGTTATTTCAAGTTTGGGTTTTTTATATTTTGTCTGATTAGCAAAGCATCACACATCATTCATTCATAGAAGGTAAATGATACAGTTTATAATGCATATAATAGCTTACACATATTTGGTAATAGGCCTAGGTTTGACACATCTTGAAATAAAATTCATTTGAGTCCAGTTCAAAGCAGAACAAACAAGTGAATAAATAATACATTGGAACTGCATGGCCTTATCACAATTACATCAAATAAAACAACAGAATCACAGCTTTCCAGTGTCTAAATTATGGCTGAACTTGAACTTCTTGTGTCCTTTGAGTCCACGCAGTCCTTTATGACCGTTCACAGCTCCTATAAGAAAACAATAAGCAGAAAAGAATTAGTGCTATTCAACCAAATGGACATAAACACAACAGATCTGAATGTCAAAATGAATTTAATTATTTTTCAAAGGGCAAATCGAGTCACAAGTTGTGTGTTCTCCTTTCTATGTGACGATGCGTGCTTGTTGTTTGTGTAAAATCGTCAGTCTTTGATAAAAACAAACTTGCTTTTTATGTGGTGCAAAGTAGGCCTCTGTGCTCAGTGTGTTGTTCTTCTCTCCCATTTTCTGCCTGTATGCATAGAGGGATGTTAAGGCTTTTATCCCCACAGGGAACCAACCCCAACTCTTTCTCTGTCAATTTTCACCCACTCCCCATTTCAGACAAGCCTTTTCTGCACCAGGCCCACAATGAAGGATTTGTCCTCCTTCTCTTTGTCCACCTCTGATATCTTTTTTCTTTTTTTTTTTTTGGACTGCTCCCTCCCTGCAGACTGCATGCAGCGTATGCAAATACTGGCTCTTTTATTCAGCAGACCCCTCCCCTGAATGAATGCATCCGTAAATGAGGCCACACTCGCTCACAGTTACAGGGGGGGGGGGGGGGGGGAGGAAACGTGCACATTTTACAATCACTGGATTTGCATGCTCACTCTGACACATGGTCACTCAAGCATCTTACGAACACCGACTATTGGAAAATGATCAGATTCATGCCCCAAATATGTTTATATTTACATAACTCAGCAAATACATGTGGCACAACAGTAAGCCAGAGAAAATGTAGTTCCATGTGGAATGCATACTGATAAAATATAGACAGCATTTCTTAGAGGAGAGGACATATTCATTCAGATGGAAAAAAAATGTTATAAGATTTGTATAAAGTAATCCATATATTGCTTTTCTTTTCCCCTTTTTCCCACAGCAAATCATCTGGCTCCAATTAGCACAGCCATTTTCCTGATGATTAGTCTACATTTGTTCACATACATCATGATGTCTGGGCCAACTATAAATAAAGGGACCCCCTGTGAGCAAACCATTTATTTTAATATGGTACAAAGCCTATACGCTGTGTGTCCTGTATACAGTAATGCCAGATCTGGACAAACAAAAACACACTTATTCACATATATAATGCAATATTGTTTTCTTTACTGAAATTCTATGAGGATTAATGACAATTCTATATATAGTTATTTGCATTCTCACAACATATTTCTGCAAACACGCGGTGCATCATTAGCTATGGGATCATACTAACTCCTCATCAGTGACATTATTCTCAACACGTTACTACAACTTTGCGGCAGAAACATTTGCTGTCTGACCTGCGCCGTATGTGCGTGGGTTTACACTGCCAGCGCTGACAGCTCTGACAGTTCAGCCTTTTCACTGGCACATTTCTGAGTCGATCGGCCCCTTTCCCGTAGCAACCGAACAGGGGCCAAAGTCTACCCCCCTCCACCCCCAACCCAAAAGCCCCCAGCAGCAGCAGCACATCAGTCTTGTGGTCTGGAGCTCCAGGCCCAGACACCAGACACCCTGCAGACGACGGGTGCACCCATGAACTTGAACTTGACTTAGGGTCTAAATGGAGCGATGCAGTGAAGTATTTGAAAGAGCAATTCTCCTCAGTCTTTATGATAAAACCACAGTCATAGAATCGGCCTCCTGCTTCATGCAACATTTATCCGCTTTTCAGTATGCTCTTTCCCCACACAGATGGTCCCTTTAAGCTCAAAGTCTTGTCTTGTAAAATATTGGCATTTTAAAATATTCTAGTATATGTTTAAATAACTTTCACCGTATCCCCTATACACATTCGAATGTATAATACGATTTTGTTTCTCATGTATATTTTAATACATACATAAATCTAATTGACCAAACTAGCAACATAATGGTTAAACTGTATTATCATATATTTGGTTGGGCATTGATAATCACAAATAGATCAAGCATTCTGAAACTCATGGAGAAAATGTCTGCATATATTATACATTAAAACTATGACAACAATGACAATAAATATCAAACTCTAAATCTTGTTGGACCTTTTTAAATAAGGGGATAAAACCACCAGGAATGCATTTCAGGAATAATAGTTCATGCTTATAGTTATTTATAGTAAATGATTGGATTATTTGTCATCTTAAATTCTTCACAATGATTTAAAACAAATAAATACACGTTTTTTTCTTGTCCTGTCGATTTTCAGTCTCTAAAGTCAAACCAATCCTCCAAAAAGAATCGAGGTCACCTAGTTGCTTCCCCTTTCGTCTCATCACCCCATAACCTCCTCCACGGCCTCCAATGATTACAAAGAGCTCTGTATTAAGAGCTCAGTCTTGTAATTCAGGACCCCAACTCTGGCTCTAGTCACGAATCTAATCTGAAAAGCCTATATGTAGAAACTTCTCTCCATCTAAGATACTTAACATCCAGCTTGGTGCTAGATTAGTCTCAGCCAAAGTTGTTTGAAAGAGGCCTGATGAGTCTCGCCTGACCCACATTTGGCCCTGATCCAAGACGAGAGTTTGGTTTTTCATATATCTCAGCCGTTAAAACATTAATGATGTCCACATTGGCGAGGAGGAAACCGAGAAGCCACGCAGTATTAACATTTTATCAGGACCGCACACCCGCACATAACGGACACTAAAGTATATACGTTCGTAGGGAGTCACACTCAATGTCATTTAATAGTCCACAGTTAAATCAATCTCTGCCACGATAAATAATTAATAACTGGGAGACACTGCAAAGGAAATGTAATCATCTCTATTCAAGCATGTTCTTTGTATGAATTGTATTTTGAATCCAGACTTCTCTAGACAAATGGACCTGTTCTTAAAGCGGAGATATTCCCAAAATCCGACTGAGCCTTGATTCCACTGACCACTGGCCTCAGACAGACTGGATTGATCAGTCTTTTGTTTTAGGGCAGATTAAAGACAGGATAAGCAGCTAAACGATGGCGGTAGATCACCCCAAAGTCGCTCTCTAATCTGTTATTTGGAGCATTCCCTCCTCTGTTAATGTGTCTGCACAAGCTGAGCGGCATCTGTTGTAAATATTGTATACAATAGCTTAAGCGTATGAAACCACTAAGCTTGCACCAGCGCCAATAGTAAAGAGCAGCTTTTTTTGCATAATGTAATGTAATACTTTCCACTGACTTAGAATTGAGATTTGCAACTCAGAATATTTTCCATTCACCTTGCTCCTCTCCAGTGTCAAATCCGCCTGCAGCAGTTCACTGTATATCACACATGAACAGTGCAAATGCAATTATAGAGACAGCTGAGACTCCTTTATGTGAATGAAGAGAGTGAATAATCTTTGACGTGTGAGCTGCACATGCCACGGGGACGTACAGCCTACAGTACGAGCCTCATTGAAAGTCATTATTCGTAGGTTACATTATTCAGCTTGTTAGGCACACCCATATCTGAGCTGAGTCATTCATCTACTCTGTCCTACCACGTAAAATAGTTACGAGGTTTGTCCATGCATGGATGGCAGGTGCAGCTTTAAGAGCCGATGACATAATACAGGGATGGTTGTGCATGTAACAGTGCTGCTGTGTTAAGATGAGTCCTCTGCATCCTTCACATATGAAGACATCTGACAGTAAACGTCCTGACAGAGGCCTGCACGGCCATGGCTCTCAGACATGCAGAGGGCTGCACACTCTAATGAACAGTCAGGTGGTACTTTGGGCCTCAAAAGCAGCCCCCTCATCACGCACATATCAAACATGCATACACATTAAAACTCGGGCTCACCCGACCTCTGTGATCCGCACCACAGTCTAATGTCTAAGGCAGTGTCTCCCAAAGTGGGGTCCGCGGACCCCTGGTGGGCCGCGAGGGTACTGCAGGGGGGCCGCGGGAGGTCATAAAAAAAATAAAAAAATAATATAATTATTTAATGTTAAATTTATAATGTTTTGTTTGTAATATTAAAATATTTGTGTTCATTATTTGACTTGAATAATCAACTGTAATCATTTTTGTATTACAATGTTTGTAGCAGAGGCTATTTCCCCAAAATAAAATAACCAGAAGAGCCTATTCTTAATGTTGTCTTCTTGGTTATAATTTTGGGGGGGGCCACACAGACCCGACAGATTTTTAAGGGGGCCTCGGTGTTACTGAGTTTGGGAATGGCTGGTCTAAGGCATCTGCTCATGTCTCGTCTGGAAGGTCTTTCCCACCCTGCCCCCAACTCCGGCCCGCTATAACACCAGCTCCACAATGGTGGGAAAGCAGGCTTTTTAGCGAGGCTAGAGGGAGGAGGGAGGAGACTAAATAGCTATTGATGGGAGAGAGTGAGGGCGAGTGGGGCTGAATGATAATGTGAAAATGCACCGTGCTGTTCATTAACACACAAGCGCTGCAGCTGCACATGGCGGCCTAGACACACACTCACTCTGTCGCTCTGCATCAGGTTGCTGCCAGAGCTGTGGGGGGCACAGGCCAGTGTTGTGTCGGCACAACAAACAAACTTCAGTATAAACTGCTATTGCCAGGAAGTCCAAGTTCAAGTGTTTCAACTTTCCCTGTCTGAGCTGTTAATTGTGGCAGTTAGTATTGTTTGTTTAACGGAAGTGGATGTAGAGTTTAATACAAATTAATCTCTGAACTGAAACAGGAGAAACGATGGTGTACACCTGTTCCTGGAGCAGCAGTGAAGGACCTTCATAACAAGAGAAGATGGCAGCTTCCCTTCAACTGGTGCCAGCTCATTAGTTTTGTTTGCTCCCAGCCCCCTCACATCAGCTTTAACTGCTAATTAGCAGGAGCAGAAGATAGAGGGACAAGGGAGAGGCCATGTGTAACTGAAGGAAGAGGAACAGGACGTGTTCTTCCCCCAATCCTGCCCCACATTGACCGACCCACATCTCGACCTCTGTACCCAGCACAAGATGCAGCTCACCTTATGCCAATCCAGCCATTTTAGATGTGGAAGCAGAAGCGCCCAAAATGGCTCCTGAGCGCGCCAAAACTGGAGCGTTGGTGGGGTCTTTGTCTCTCTCTTGGCACACGATGTTGGCACCGCAGATGGCATTACATGGGGGGGGGGGGGGGGGGTGGCAGCCATGCTCCCTCCAAAACTTGATGTGTCAAGCCTGTAAAACAAGTTCAGAAACCATTCGTGATGGAGACAAAGTTTTGATCATTTTATAAACAACTAGAGTGTAGTATTCTTTTTAACAAGGTAGGCGTATGTTGCCAATATTCTGAGAATAAAAATGGGACTTTGGCCTTTTCACATATCCAATATGTCCCTGTGAAACGAAGCAATTAGCCTGGTTTGACAACAAGCTCTGCAGCAGTAAGTAGTTAGCAGAGTGAAAGAAAACTCATCTCACTTGGAGCTCTTTAGGCTTTTGAGGCGTTCTCCAGGAGCAGAGTGGCTCTGAAGGACCACGCTGAACAGTTCCTCTGTTGTCTACAGGACGACCATGCCCTTCTTATTGAGGCGGGACATTGTGTCCCAAAGGGTCTAGGATTCACTCTCATTTTAAATAAGAGCACCAAGTGTTTTTCTAACTTTGAGCCTCAAGAATTTCTCCACTCCAAAACATTATCCCAGGTCTTAAAGATAAGTTGTAATAGATCCATCTATTTTAATTTAAGAACACAAAGGAGATATTTTAAATTCAGTTAATATTGGTCTTACCTTTAGTGTCTTGAAATGTGTCACTCGCTCGAGGCTACATTTGAAGTCATTTCTACATTCGGTTATCTAGCTTTATGCCAGTGATTAGACTCATACAGCTAGATAACCAAAGACAGAAACAGACCTCACCATCGCTCTTCAACTGGACAGGATGCTCTCAGTGCTCTACAAAAAGTGAAAGTTTGATTTAAACCTTGAACAACATTTCAAATCCATGGACTGTAAAAAGACTGTAATTGAAAGAACAGAAGAAAAGATCATGGTAGAAGTGAATATGGCCTGCTGTATGTTCACGGCCTGAAGCCCTTTGCTCTTGATCATCGTCAGAAAAATGATTTCATTCAACATTACTTTGTATTTCACTTAAATTCACAAAACTGTATGGCTTAAACACATTTAGGTCTTATAACATTACATCCCACTCAATCTTAAGTAGCCCAATCTATTGTTACGAGCATGTATGCTATTTTAATGAGGCCTAGTTAGTAGCAGTACAAGCCTTGATATCTCTCTATGAGTGAAAGTGCGTTAAAAATGACAACAAAATAAAATAATTACTTTTAAAAATCTTTATGAACCCAATTTAAACCAAAATATTGATTCTTGATAAACTAGACTAATTTGTAAAGGCCTTTATCTCATCCTTGGCTGTGGAAGCCTGGTATAATTTCTCACATTTTCAGTACAAAGTAACAAGAACTGATATCCATGCATTGCTAAAGAAAGCAAAGCAACACAATACGTTCAATAAACTCGACTACACATAAGTTAGAATAGGATTTATGATTGGCCAACTTCTGATCGCTTGTAATTGGAATATTTCAAACAACCCAGAGGATCCAATGCATATTTTAGATTTCAATTATCCCTCATACCAAACCATTTCAATACTACAATTGACGACACGTTTCTGCAATCCAACTTAAAGGCATTGCTTGAAGGTTATTGGCTTGCAAAGCGTTCATTTCTGAAAGCACATCCAATTCTGCCTGCGGTATTAGTAAAAGTGCATGCGATAAAAAATAAAACAAAAACACATAAGGCAACGCGCTTAAAACTAAAATTTCTCACGTATTATCTGCACAAAAAATGTCCACACCAGAATAGAGTCATGCTAATGCTTTTGCAGCCCACGCGTTCCCATCTGCAGCAATAGTAGAAAGAGACGTACCTTTGTGCGCAGTGATAGAAGGAAGAGTGGAGTGCGTAATGAAATCCCGACATGGTTCTTTTTTGGAGATGACAGGTCGAGCCCTGGCTGGTCGTAGTGGTCACCTGTGTCCCGCCGGAGCTGAGGTTGAGGATGGAGACTGTAGTTTTCCTCCGACTGCTGCTGCGTCTGCGCCTCTTCCTCACTGAACGCGCACTGACGCCACGCGCTGGTTCATAGGGAGCGCTGGACCAATCAGAGCGCGCTATATCACTGCGCCTCCAAGTTCACACTCACATCACTCCTCCTCCTCCTCCTCTTCCTCCTCCTCTGCATCTCTTACCACCTCTAACCGCCTCGTCCACTACTACATTATGTGACATTTAAACAGTTGGGTAAAAAAAATAACAAAATTCATATTGTATCAACTCATAAACAGGCCTAATTTTGCATAAAGACTAATGATGAATTAGAATAATCCTTAGAAAGGAGCGACAGTGTGACTTAAATGAAGATGTTTGAGGTTTAAATGATTTATATGGGTTTATCGCACAGACCAGTCAGTCTATACGACCCTATCTGACCAGAAACCATGTTGGTTTTAGCTGCATGGGCTCATGTGTTTCTGAGAAGTATTGCAGTATAGATAAGCTCCTCGCCAGCATAATTGTCATTTTTGTTTTTGTATAATCTGATTAAAAATATAGTCTATTGAAGCTTTTCTGTGTATCAAGAATCCCCCCCATTCCACCAAACCATAGGCCCATCTATACTTTTATAAAGAAATACGTTCTCATTATTCTGAAACCCAGATGAATAATAGTTGAACTTATAATTTTAAGTTATCAAGGATAATCATCTGCTGTTGTTTAAATGTATCTCTGCCAAAAACTGATATTTAAATGGTTTACTTGTCTTTTATAAATAAAAACATGTTTTAAAAAAAATATATATATATGTATATATATTTTATATATTTTGATAGGGAGACACGATGAATGGGCAATAAGGGAGGGTGCAGCTGCGGGGGTTATTATATTTCAGCATTTGGCTGTGATAATATGATCTGATTTGGCTGCCTGGGTCTAGTATTTTCTTTAGAATATCCTACAATCCACTTTATGGATTTCAGCTATACAGCAACCGAGCAGATAGAAATTGAAAACATTATTTTAATTATAGCCTACTTTGTTTGTATAATTTGTAAAGGTAACGTTACAAAGGTAATTCTGAAATTTAGACACAAACTTCTCCAAGTCTTGTGTGAAACCAGCACTGCAAATATGAAACCTAAACGATACAGTGAAATTATGAATATAGAAGCGTCTGAACTTGCCGTGGTTTAAATTTGGTGTGAATTTGCCCAGTCTGCTGTAAATATTGTGTTGAAGATGAACTGCCAAAGATGTTTGAGATTAAGATTAAGAGTTCCTTTATTCATCCCGCAGTGGGGAAATGTCACTGTTGCATCACCAGTTACAAACAGAAGGAATGAGGAGCACTCAGTGAACATAACTCCATACTAAAAGAAAATATCTAACATAATGAAAGTTTGGTTTAACTTATATATTTTGCAACATTCTAACATTTTTCCATTCAAAGTACTGTTTTCACCATAGCAACAGCCCCAAAATCCTCATCACAGTGAACTTTTAAAATCACAAAGTAATGTTTAGAAAAAAAAAAAGAAAGCCAAAATTTCGACCGCGGCAGGACTCGAACCTGCAATCTTCTGATCCGAAGTCAGACGCCTTATCCATTAGGCCACGCGGCCGTCATATCAACCCGAGAAATAACATACAATTTTAAAGGCAAAACTGCTATGTATGATTCGGATTATACTTGTATTTTACTGAAATAGACGAGCAGACGTACATAAAGCCGTTTTTTGTTGCTTTTTACGTAAAATTAAAAACACGCCACGCACATCCGGGTCACAAGGCGGCGCTCCTTCCCTTCCTCACGCTGACAGGAAGCCACATGGCGCGTCTTGTGGTAAACAAACACATGCCGGAGTCATTTGAAATCCCGTTGTTATTATTATTACCGGGGGCTTAATATCTCGTCAGTTGTTTGTTGTAATGCAGAAACATTACCTTCCCGTTCGCTTTCTGTCTGTGAATGCTCAATGAGAGGATGCTGCATGTTCTCAGAGAATCTCACCTGTCTCGTCCTGTCTGTCTAACATGGCTTCGTCTCCTTTCAACTCGATATTCGACCCAACCTGTACAAGGGGAAGACACCACCCAGATCCGTATGAACCCCCTTAATATTCAAATGCTGTCCAAAAGTCTACATGATCAGATCTTTCGAGGCGTGGAACCAGATTACAAGCGAGAAGCAGTGGATAGGAGCATTCGGCACTTACAGCAGCACAATCTATGGGACAAGGAAACTTCCCTGCTGCCTGATGTGGATCTCAAGCTGCCCCAGATGTATGGTGACAATATCGACGAGCACTTTCGCATATTGGCCCAAAAACAGACCCTTCCATACCTCGAAGGGGCAATCCAGCTGCAGCAGGCTGACCTTCCTCCCATGCCAAAGCAGTGGACTTGGGCAGCTGGGTGGACATGTTACGAAAGCAATGGAGAAAGCAAGAAGGTTGATTTTCCAGATGAAGCTGCACTAGTATTTGATGTTGAGGTTTGCATAACAGAGGGTCAGTGTCCTACTCTGGCTGTTGCTCTGTCACCCACCAAATGGTCAGTAAAATACAATACTATTCAAACGTATGTATGAATACTCTCTAGTCTACTGTGTGTGTGTGTGTGTATTTTTTTTTAAGGTATTCCTGGTGCAGTAAACGCCTGATTGAAGAGCGCTACTCCTGGTCAAATCAGCTGACGTTGGCTGACCTTATTCCACTGGAAACTCCCATTAACTCTGTAAGACCTCCAGGAGGACAGTGGAAGGACAGGCTTGTGGTGGGGCACAATGTCAGTTTCGACCGCACTTACATTAAGGAGCAGTACTTACTAAAGGTATGATTTTTGTGAAGAGTTTTCCTGTCTCAACGTTTTTGTGTATTTTTGCAGGTACTCTGACATGAACCTTTGCAGATTTGTAATGTTCATTACTACAAACATATAATCACTGACAACATGCAACATATAATCTGCAATCACAAGCTATTTTTGCTGTAAGACTCTCCAAGCCCTGCACATCTAGAGACTGAACGCTTTTCTCTTTTATCTTTACAAAAAAGTCCGGTATTTTTTTAGAATTAGGTCTAAACTATGACTGGAGCATTCTAATACATGGCCACCTTGTGGTTCTAAAAAGTTTGTTCTCAAAAAAATGTTCACATCACTAATTATACATAGCTTTAGAATACCCAAGTTTTTGTGTGTGTTTAAATCATTTCAAACAGCACAACAATAAAATAACTTGTGATAATTACTCAGGTGATAATAATCTGAAAAAAGCAAGATTATTTTTTTTGGAACTGCAGAAAGGTGTAAATCATTAGTTTAATCCATTTTTAGATTGAGATACATGTATGGAAAATTTGTTGAACATTTGCTTAACATGTATTTTGTATGTCGTTAATAACTTTTTTTTTTACCTTGTATCCAGTGTGTATCTTGTCATTCTAAGATTTTCATCTGATTTAACATAATCTCTTTCCCAAGGGTTCTAAGGTGCGATTCATGGACACGATGAGTCTTCACATGGCGATTTCTGGACTGACTGGATTCCAAAGAACGCTGTGGATGGCAAACAAACTGGGCAAGAGAAGAGGTCTTCAAGAAGTAAAGGAACATATCAAGAAAACTGGGAAGAAAAAAGATGGTCCAATGGTAACAGTTGTTTAGATCAAATTGTCATGCGTTATGCGTTTTTGCAATAATGTTTCCCTTCTCAGATTGGCTCTTGGGATTGGGTGAATATTAGTAGCATCAATAATCTGGTGGACGTCCATGCTCTCTATGTGGGTGGGCCTCCGCTACAAAAAGAAGCAAGAGATATTTTTGTGAAAGGAAGCATGAGGGACGTGAGAAGCAACTTTCAGGTTTGTCGAACACATTGTATTTCTGCTCGTCATTGTTGCCACTAGAGTTTAATTTTAAAACATTTCAATTAAAGCTACCAAACTTTCAAACCACAAAACTGGAACAACCTTATTTGCATGAAAGAATCTTTGGCCCCAGTCACATTTTTCAATCGGTCTTTTCACAAGAGATGACCCGCTGATATGTCGTTGAACAATAAGATGAAGAAACATAATTGAACTTATTGAAAGACTATTTTCGTTAGAACAAAGACAAAATATTACTTTAAAAAGTTAGGTCCCACAACTTGAACACAATCAATCAAATGACCCGAAATCCCGTTTTTTTGGGTAATCCTAGCCTGGTCATATAATTTCCCTACAATGAAATTAGTACGATGGTACGGCAGGCTACGGCAAGGTAATCCAGAGCTCCTTTATATATTCCAAAATGGCAAAACTCTCTATATTTACCGTAATAAAGAAACAAAGTATAAAAAGTGTACACACAAACCTGTATACTCTAGTACAAAGAAATATATGTTTGTATATATAAAACTATAAATAAATCTGTAATATACTCGTGCAAGAATATTGAAGTAATAAGTATTTTTCTCTGTGGGTTAAAATATAAAGCTAGTGTCCTGTTTTTCTTAGTTTGTTATGGTTATGGTGTAATACAGCTATCTTCTTTCCATTCCCCCTTTTCTACTATTTGAGTTTGGTTTGAGACGCTCTGCACGTGCCCTTCAGTTCTTCAAATCTTGTAAACGTGCTTCTGCTGCCCTCTGCAGGAACTGATGCAGTACTGCGCCTTGGACGTGCAGGCGACTCACCAAGTGTTTGTTGAGCAATTACCTCTATTCATGGAAAGGTTGTTCTCTCATTATTCACTTCACCAACACATTGAAATGTTTAAAAGGCACTTAAACTGTTTTATTTTTTGTAGATGTCCTCATCCAGTGACCTTAGCTGGGATGTTGGAAATGGGCGTGAGCTATCTACCCGTCAATCAGAACTGGGACCGGTATCTGGAGGACTCCCAGGACACGTACGAAGAGCTCCAGCGAGAGATGAAGAAATCCTTGATGACTTTAGCTGACGACGCGTGCCAACTCCTGCAAAACGAAAGGTCTCAAATGCCACCACGACTTATTACCACACCGCAAGTGCTAACCGTGATATTTTCTTCTGCGACAAAGATATAAGGAAGATCCATGGCTTTGGGATCTTGAGTGGGACGTCCAAGAATTCAAGCAGAAGAAAGTGACGAGTAAAAAGAAAAAGGCCAAACCTGCTACAGCGGCTGCTCCTCTCACAAACTTGGCTGATGGTGAGCCAGCTATTGCATACTTTCGAAGTTTGTGAATTGTGTTTTTGGCATTTTCGTTGCGCTTTCATAATGTTAGATGAGGCTCCTCCACCTGAAGAAGACGACGACTGTGTTAGCCCGAGTAGACAAGCATTAGAGGCGTTAAAAGGCACAGTGGACCGCCTTCCCAAGAGGAGGCAACACCTCCCAGGACATCCAGGGTATTCCATTTGTTTCTAAAGGCATATCAATTGAAATTTGATTGATTAAAGGTGTGATTTTTGTATGGTCAGATGGTATCGGAAGCTGTGTGAAAAGATGTCCGTGAGTGGCTGGTCGCCCGGGGCAAGTCTCATCAGCCTCCAGATGAGAGTGACTCCAAAGCTCATGGGTCTGACGTGGGACGGCTTCCCCCTGCATTACACAGACAAACACGGCTGGGGCTACCTGGTGCCTGGACGCAAAGATAACCTGAGACCTTCTGAAGACGATACTGAAGAAGAGACAGAAGCCGTATGCCCGCACCGGTATTCAATTCAGTTCAATTCAATTCAATTTATTCTTGTATATATCACAACAGTAGTTATTTCGGAGGATTTACCGTTGATTTGCCAACACAGATCAGAGAATCAAAAAGTTCAAACACAAGAAAAGCAATGAGGAAAAACACATAGTAGTCCATAAGTGGCAGATGACCAATGTCCATAAAATGCTTAGTGTCATGGGTCAAATCTGTTATAAAATAAGATAATTATTTTATTATGTTTTTATTTTCCTTTTTTACTTCAGTCATTAATCAATAAACAAACTGTTAAAAATATATAATTATATATCCAGTATTGACTGACTGAAAGGTTATGCTAAAAAAAAAAAAAACGATATTAGGTTAATGAAAATAAGCAAGTTACACAAAATGAGGAAACATTACACTTCCAATTAATTTCTTAACTTTGTAACTTAACAATAAGATGAGTATCTACTCAATAAATATACACACATACAAGGAAGTACATACATATCAATGCTTTGTCTTTATTCAATACCCATGGACATGCTAAGCTTTATACCAAGTGGTGCTGTAGTTTTATTATGGTACAATATTTGTATGAACAAAAACAGTTATTATTGAAACAACAAAAGCCTTTATCATTATTAATACAAATAGGCTTATATACCCTCTGTGTTCTGTAGAGCTATTGAAAGAGTGTACAGAGAGTACCTTGAACGGAGCCAAAAGGAGACCCCAGGGCCGGACTCTGGCAGCGTCCCTGAAGACCTCGTGTTGACAGATACATCAGTCTGGGCAAAGGTAAATAGTTTGATATTTTCTCCTGTCCATTGTCATTTACTGAAATCAGAACATTTATAGGTGGAGGAAATTAGCTCTCGTGAACAACTCCCCGAGGAAAGTGAAAAAAACCCTCACGACAGGATGAATGGGAAATTTAATAAAACGGTATTTTTGCTTGTGTAATATCTTATATAACGTATTGATTGCTGTTTCATTGTTGTCACACGTTCTGTTTTAATATTTCAGCAACAAGAGTCACATGAGCAGAGTCAGTGCCACTACCACAGTGGGAATGGCCCCTATAATGATGTAGACATCCCCGGCTGTTGGTTTTTTAAATTACCTCACAAGGTAAAGACATTTGTTGTACATCAGGGGATTGTGTATTCAGTGAATAATGTGGCCTTTCTGTTTTCAGGATGGTAATCAAAACAACGTAGGAAGCCCCTTTACTAAAGACTTCTTGCCTAAGATGGAGGATGGTACTCTCAGGGCTGAAAGCGGTGGGGCTAATGCGACTCGTGCTCTGGAGATCAATAAAATGATGTCCTTTTGGCGGAACGCACATAAACGTATAAGGTAGGAGGATGTTCAGGATTTGGCATGTTCAGTATTTGTTCATACTCACATGGATTGTTTAGTTCTCAGATGGTTGTGTGGCTGAGGAAAGGAGAACTGCCTCGCAGTGTCAGCAGGTGTGAACCATTGGACGATTTTCTTTTATGAATCAAAATACAAATGTGAACAATGTTCTTGTGAAGGCACAAAGACTTTGAAGATGAAGGCCTGTATGGAGCGATATTACCCCAAGTCATCACTGCAGGGACGGTGACACGCAGATCTGTGGAGCCCACATGGCTGACGGCGAGTAATGCTCGGGTAAGAGAGGCTCTAAACTTTATCAGGTGAATGGTTTGTGGAGGAACAGTGTGTTTGTCTGCAGAGGGACCGTGTGGGCAGCGAGCTCAAGGCCATGGTCCAGGTTCCTCCTGGATACCACTTGGTCGGAGCAGATGTGGACTCTCAAGAGCTATGGATCGCTGCTGTGCTGGGAGAAGCTCATGTTGCAGGAATACACGGTTAGAAAACGCTCAAATCTAAATATATTCTGTATGAATATTTTTTGCTACATTTTGCCCGAACTGCAGGTTCCACTGCGTTCGGCTGGATGACCCTTCAGGGCAAAAAGAGCCAGGGCACAGACCTGCACAGCCGCACAGCAGACGCAGTGGGCATCAGCAGAGAACACGCCAAGGTTTTTAACTATGGACGCATTTATGGAGCAGGACAGCCCTTTGCAGAGAGATTACTTCTGCAATTCAATCACCGCCTTGGACAAACTGAAGCTGCCAGCAAAGCCAGGCAGATGTATGCACTCACCAAAGGAATACGCAGGTGGTTACATTTCTCCTGCATTCAACACAAATATATCAGATCATTTGTAATCAGGAGTCATGTGGCTTTAATGATGTTATTACACAGATATCATTTATCAGAAGAAGGAGAATGGTTGGTCAACGAACTGGACATGGAGGTGGAGAGGGAGGTAGACGGAAGCGTGTCTTTGGAAGAGCTGCGCAAGATTACGAGACTGGCTTCACAAATGTAAGAAAACAATGATCAGAAGAGACCTTCACTGCATTTAGGCGTTTCCTATCCTCTTTAGGTCCCGGCGTAAACGATGGGAGATAGTGGAAAAGCGTGTCTGGTTTGGAGGCACAGAGTCCGACATGTTCAATAAACTGGAGAGTATCGCACACTCGCCTCTTCCAGCCACTCCGGTGCTGGGGTGCAGGATCAGCAGAGCACTGGAGCCCGGGGCAGTTAAAGACGAGGTGGAAACTCTAGCTCAACATGTTATTGCTGCACAGAGGACGTCATATTTTTACTGCTTTATCATTTTTATTTGCAGTTCATCACCAGCAGGGTCAACTGGGTGGTGCAGAGTTCAGCGGTGGACTATCTTCATCTCATGCTCGTAGCTATGAAGTGGCTTTTCGAGGAGCACGACATCGACGGTCGATTCTGTATCAGCATTCACGACGAAGTGCGTTACCTGGTGCGCAGCGAGGACAGATACAGAGCAGCGCTGGCACTTCAAATCACCAACCTCCTCACCAGGTCTGATTCCATTTCCAGCGTCTCATCCCATCTCCAGTGACTTTATTTTGTTGTATTTGATATTTAGAAGCATCTTTGCTCATGCGCTGGGCATGCAAGACCTCCCGCAGTCCGTGGCCTTCTTCAGCGCAGTGGATATTGACCAATGTTTGAGAAAAGAGGTGACAATGGACTGTGTGACTCCTTCTAATCCCACAGGCCTAGAGCGGAGATACAACCTGCCCACAGGCAAGTCAACACAGCCTTATCCTTTAAACAGGGGTGTCAAACTAATTCTGGTCACGGGCCAAGATAAAAAAAAAACATAAGAACTCTATGGAGCCAAAAGTATAAAAGTGATATACTTCTTTCATTGTTATTATATTATTGTAGATTGACAAATTTGTTTTGACAGGAGTTTATCTTCTGGTAGGTTTGGATTCAACCACAACTGGGCCAAATACATGTTTTGATAATTGAAGATTCATAGTTAAATATGAAAAAATCTAATCTCTAATTAGAGGACAACATTTTATAATAGATTTAATTACATGGAGGTTTTCCTGAGACTACAGGCTTTAAAATTAAGTAAAACATGCCATAGTGTCCCATTACCATCAATGCTGCAAGTTACTGTAAAGATTATCATTAAAAATTATTTCAGGGGCCACTAAAAATGGTCCTTTTATTTAATTCAAATACAATGCAACTTCTAACAAATGTTTACTTTCAACAGGTGAGGCTGTGGACATATATGAAGTCATTGGAATAACAAAAGGCTCTCTGGCTAAAGGCAGATGATAATAAATAAACAAATAAGACATCCAGCAAGAAGAACGGCCGCTTATCGCCTCCTCTTCTTCTTCTCCGCGGGCTCCTGTGGCTCCTGCTCGTCTCCCTGCGACACCGTGGTCTAACAAAGACACCAGATGTTCATAAAGGTCATGGTAACAAGTGCCTGTGTGGGAGGAGCCGGCGTTTACCTGCTGACTGCTGTCCTGATCCTGAAGCGCCGCGTCCAGAGTGGCTGCGTTTATGCGGAAGTCTCTGGACGTGCTCAGTTTCATGTACTGCATGAGGTTCACCTGTAGGGGGAGCACCAGAGCAGTCAGGAGACAATCACTTCAATGGTTTGCGTTTGGTTTTTACCTTTGACTTTTTGGACAGCGTGATCAGGAACTTCTCGTACTGTTCGATGCTGAAGATCAAATCGGGAATGGTCTTTGTTTCACGCAACAGTTTTGCCTGCAACAACAAGAGTTCGTTTGGGCGATGCTATTGGTTAGAATCCAATCCAGTTTTTTTTATATAGCACATTTTATAAAACACGTTTACAAAGTGCTACACAGATAAAAGTAACAATTAACATAAACAAGTCTGCCAGCTTTAAATACAATCAATAACGATAAAATAAAATCAATTCAAATAATAAAAACAATTATCTATATACATAAATAAACATATGTAGAATATATCTGGAATCTTACAGAAGCAGCTATGTTGGGTTCATTCTTTTTCTTTTTCTTCTTGTCGTCTGTACCGCCACTGGTTTCCCCGCTCTGAAACGACGAGTGATAGTTTTTTTTAATACACATGTAAAAACAACCTGTGTGTATTAAACAAATTCTAAACCTGTGCGTATGTAATGAAGCTGTAACAGTGGGGGGTGCAGCGGGAGCCGGACAGTTTGACCTGCAGGAAATACCAAAAGTGTGAATAATAGATCAAAACTAAATACATTGTGATTTTACAGTTACTCACCAACTTCTCAAACCGCGGAGGTAATGTCCCATGATTTGAGCAAACGTGGATGTACTGGAAGATTTACATATATGCAGTTATGGGATTAGGTAACTTAAACTGTGATGGCGGTTAGATCTGGACTCACGTATTTGACCTGTGTCGTGAGGATGGTGTAGGTTCTGCTCATGGCTCGGAGCAGAGTGATGGTCCAGGTTCCGGGTGTAAGTGATGTCTGCACCAGCTCGATGAGGGCGTTTAGCAGAGTCCCCAGCTGCAGGGTCACTGCTTTTTCAATGGGATCTTGTTGTCCTGCGTTCTGTGTGGCTTCACCTACAAAAACACATTATCACAACATTACTCAGTTTCACATTCCTGTTTAAAGAAGCACTATACATTTTTGTCATGGAGTTGTGACATCATACTACTTGGTCTGGAATAGCGTCACAATACTGCTACTTCACTCTTATTCTGATACAAATACTTGAAACCAATTTTGTAAATGCTTTTTAAAGATATTTTTCACTCAGGCCACAAAATTAAAGTTGTTTTGTTATAGCTGGATTTCTTTTATTTGTTCCTTGCTGATGCAGGAGGGTCTAAGGGCCGTGATGATCCTGGAGTTTTATGCACATTTATTGACATTGGTTATTCCACTTCCTATGGACCAAGGTCTGTGTTTATTATTATTGCATTTCCTGTGTTTGATTCTCTGATCCGTTGTTGGTGAATCGACAGCTTTGGAAAGTCCTCCGAGATGACTGCTTTTGTGATTTAGGGCTATACAAAAAATCCATTGAAATACAGTTTTCTTTCAGTGTTACTAAAAATGATAGTCAGATTTTCCACAACCCTCGTCTAGAATTTCCCACCAGCCGAATTTAAAGGACAACTCACCCTCAAATCCACTTTTTTTGCTGATAAACGGTATAAATGAGTGTCCAATAGTGTTGTCTACATATCCTGGTCATAATTTTGTCACTTTGGTGAAAATTAGTTGAAAGTTAAACTTTCTGCCTAAAACCGTCTGTGAGGCGCCATCTGCTGGCGACCTGTATTACTACATTTTAATTTTGAATCTGGCGCCAACATTGGCGTGCCAGCAAGACCTGACGTCTGAAGCAAGACCTGACGTCAGCAGCCCCCCGCCCAGAGCTATATAAACGGCCCAGTCTCGTTCACGCCCCCTTTAGTCCTCCAGGCTACGCCCATTTAGAGGAAGATTTGAACAGGAAATGTGATTGACGTAAGCTCCGAGGAGCGGGGGTGAGAACCACTTTAAGTTCAATGCCATATCATATTGATAGGGTATAGGTCACACTAGCCTCTTTGCTTCTGTCTACTCCATTTGAGCTCTTCTATACATGTTATTTTCCTAGTAAACCTCTCTATTACGTGCTCAAAGAAATTCAATATTTGAGGCAAACAATAGCATCCCCTTGGAAAACAGCTCTCTCACCATTTCCTACTTTTTCACTGGTGGTTTGGTTTTTCTTTTTAGCAATAAGCCAATCCACTTCATCCAGCACTCTGTCAACTTGAGACAACACCAGCATCTGTGAATTAAAATATTAGTCGATTCATTAGTTGAGAAATTAACAATATGAAGAAATGTGTGTAACAAAACTCACTGCTACAGTTGATGCCGTCTTCACGTTGACGATGGCAAAGTGCGATGTTTTCTCCACCACCACATCCTGATTTTAGGTTGGATAAAGCGTGGGGGAGAAAACATTAATTGTATTTACATTTTGGTACATAAGTTACACTAAAACATCCAAGGAAGACAAACACGCCAAAAGAAGACTTTTACATCAGATTCATGCCAAACAAAAGCAAAGATTTTTCTAATAATCTGAATTTATTTTCATTAAGAAACAATTTTCCCCAACTCTTTTCCTTTTTACGTGATTCAAATTAACATTCTTCTAAATTGTGAGAGTGCTCAACAGTATTTAAAGATCTTTCACTGCTTGACTTAAATATGAAATGCTTCCCTATAAAGAACTAAATAATTTACAATATCTTTATATTTTATGTGTTAAAAGAAACCTAATAGTATTGGCAAAGGATATGGTTACATTTTGGATTTTAATTTGAGAAATTTTAACCAAAACGCTGCCATTTTTTGTAATTCTTTTTTGTATCTTTTTTAACAAATTAACACACCTGATCAATATCCCCGAGCTGGCTGTGTATATCCTGACAGAGTTCCAACAAAAGGCTCATTGGACTTTTGTAGAGGACATGAAGACTGAAGAGCAGCGAGAGCAGTCCTTTGGCAAACGGCGAATCCTCTGAAGCGAGAAAAACACATCAGTCATTATGACGACTGAAATCAAACCATCAATACAAGATTCTTCATTCACCAAAACTAGTCTCCTTGCAGAGTTTTACGGTCCACGTGATCATCTGAACAAACTGAAACAAAAACACGACTGGTCAGATAGTGTCTTTAGCGTACACAGTAGGATTAGGATTTTTCTCAAACCTCCTGGGAAGAAGGCTTGAGCTGTCTCGAAAGCACACTCAGAATGTTGACAATCAGCTGAGCCTCTTTGCTGTTGAATTCGTCCTCTTCTCCGCTTAGTTGAGCAAATAGCACCCTCTGGTGGAAAGAAGTAAGAAATTATTTACAACATGATCTTCAAGGAAACTGGAAACTTCACACTTATTGGTCCGTTTCACTTTAACTAGTCAAAGTCTGGTTAAAAACTAAACTATTTCGAATGATGCGAACTAACTTAAAACTGAGGTACATAACTTTTAGACCACATATTATGAAACGTAATATAGCCTATGTAACTAGTTCCTTACCCAAAAAACAGTTTGGTTCTCTCACTGATTCTCACATTCATTGTGGGGGGGGGGGTTTAAGTGACTAGCGGACGTTGGTTAACTTGTTTGGGAGGTTTTATACATTTTTCGCCCCAAGTAAATCAGAATGCATCCATTTAAATTGCCATCAAACTGAACGAGATTCACCTGAAACTGTCGGATGTAAAAGTAGTTTAACTGAGTGACATTGCCTTCATCCAGCTCATCTTCGGACTCTGAGAAAAACAAAATGCATACATACTTAAAAAGCTGTTCTCTATGTCGTAATGTTAAGTGTGTGTGTGTGGAGCCAAACCGACCCATGGCAGAGAGGAGCTGAGCCATTCTCTCTGGGAAGCGCTGCTGACATGTGGTGAAGATTCTGAGCAGTCCTTCCAGACACAGCAGAGACAAAGTAGTTCGCTTCTCCTTCTTACCAGCGTCCTCCACCGCACTGGGGATGTTTGTGTAACGCCACATGAGGACACTATCCAAACAGGATCGAACAAGACATTTATACAATGTTTGGTTTTTAGTCACATCATAAAACACATCGGCTGCTCCTCATCTTCAGGCTAAAAAAAACTAAATCTGAAAAATGGGCAATTAATACAGTAAATGAATATTATAACAGATAGTAATGTATTTGTGTTCAGGTAACATAAGGCTGCGGTACCCAACTTATTGTTTAGTAGTGAGTCCGAACAGAAAGTCTTGTAAAAGTTAAATGTTGTGAATCAATCAGACCACAACATGTTACAGTTTGCAGAAAAGAAAGTGCATTATGAGTCACAATTTGATGCTTTGGGCTGAGAGCTGATTGGCCGAGGGAAGGTGGTTCTCTCTTTTTCACTTTTCTGTCTGAAAAAACTAAAAATGTGACTAGGCTAAAAACACACATGTGAGAACTAGTGATAGAACCAACCGGTTTGAGGGCGAGGAACTTGTTTCTTACATAGTTCCATAGTTTATTGTTTTAAATGTAGGTACTCCAGCTTTAACTATAACACAGCATGTCATTAACTTCTGAGAATTGCCAGTTTCCTTGCTGAAGACAAACGCTTTAAACACCAATATAGTAATAATCGTAATAATTTTACCTTTTCATTCTTTCTATTTTAGAAAATACTATCCTTTAGAAATGTTTTATTATGCCTTATTCTTCCCTACTTTTGACTTGTTTACACCGACAGCCAAAGCAATTTCCTAGTCTGTGATTTCTTGTTACTTACTTGGCAATAAAAATGATTCTGATTCTGACCAATGAAAAAAGTAAGTTGGGTTTAAAGTGACCAGCATCACAAACAACATCTCCAGGGTAAAATGTCTTTGAACTGCTAGCTTATAAAAAAGCTAGCCAAACATAAATCCGATGAGTAGCCATAGACCTCACCTGGTCATGTCACACAGGAATCTAAAGGCTTTGTCAGCGTTCGTTCCGTCTGGGCCGTCAGCGTGTCCAGTCTCCTCCACTTGCTGTATTTTCTGAATGGCCACACAGAGCGAATACCTCACGAACTCTCCGTTAGCGCGCAGAACGGACAGCGCCTCCTCTCTGCTCTGAGTGCTGTCTCTGCGAGCAAAACATCACAAACGATAAACATCATAAAGAAACCGCTTACGTCCATGTTATTGATGCTGCTTACCTGAAAAGTGCAGGCAGAAGAATTGAAATATAATTCATGGACAGCAGACTTCGGGGTGTCTTGTTTGAAGCCACCCGGCCTTTTCCAGCTTTCTCCTTCAGAATCTCGGAAATCTTGTGATAGCGATTAAATAACTCTATTATTCCTTCAAAGCAAGTTTTACTACAAGATTGGAAACATGTAATTAGAATATATGCGTTTAAGTGATTAAACTTTATATATATATATATATATATATATATAACAGTGGTGCCCAATCCTTTTAGTGAGAGGGCCACTTTAGTCTATCAGAGTTGTTTGGGGGCTGACAACATTGATTGAAAAACTCTGACTCTGGTCTGAGAGGTCTTTTTAAGTAAAGATTACTTACTACTTACTGAAAGACAAATGTTTACCATCTCACCAGATACATTAGCAATATCTACATCTTTTTGTGACTCAAAAACAATTGTCAGTATACTCAAACAAAGTCATTTGCTGAATTCAAGAGGTTCTGGGCCACGATTGGTCCGCGGGCCTTAGTTTGGACACCACTGGTATATAGTTGCTGAAAGAATTGATTGCACAAACTTGTAATTGGCCTTGTGGAAGTTGTACTCGATGAGGATTTCATACACCCCCATCACCAGAACGGCATAAATGTTATTCTTCAGTCCCACACTGGAGTTCATGGAAAACTCTGCCGACTTGTCCTGCAAAGTGTAGAGCGATGTATCAGAGGAGACTGCAGTACAGAATTATTGAATGAACTGTTTAAAGATGTTACAACTATGATGCCTCGTCAGAAGATAAGATAGACTTTATTGATCTCACACTGGAGAAATGTTATCTTTCTTAACAGTAGAACTCTACTCAGCCAATTCAAGAGCTTTTAGTTTTGGGAAGTTTCTTAGATCGTGTACCTTTTTGGTCTTCATAATTTCTGTATCTATATGTAGTATTAGAAGGGGCTGGTGCTCTGTGAATTGGGTGGCAGCTCTGATTGCCACATCTCAGAGACCCAGAGATGGATTAAGGGGAAGAAAATGGATGGATGGATATGTAATGTTTCTGTGTCAAATTATCATTTATTTTTTAAATGTGAGTAGTTCTGCCTTTAGCCCTGTTAAGTAAATGTAAAATTCAAACATTGCCATTTTTGGTTGCTTGATAACCAATTTTCTCTGGCAGACACAACTTTTCTCTGATTCTGAGCCGAGTTTGGTCAGTTTGGTGTTCTACCAGAAAAGAGCAAGTGCTAGTTACTACAGAATTGTTTCGGTTCTTATCAGAGCAGTCAAAATGTCGGCTCTGGGAGTTTGAGTAGTTTCATAATTGTCTATTGACGCCTTAATGATAACCAATAATAATGTCATTCAGAAGACAGAAAGAAGCAGAGTACCAGTTCAAAGTCCTCCAGCTCGCTCTTGATCATGCGTCTGGTCAAACTCTCCAGGACGGCGAGCAGCTCAGCCTGGTAACCTTCCTCCTCCTCCTCCTCCTCATCGTCATCATCATCATCGCTGTCCCCCCCAGTGGCAGCTTTGTGTATGTTCTGAAGCCACAGCAGACAGTGGATGGTGCAGCTCAGCAGATGGCCCTAAGATGGACACGTGCATCAAAACAAATATGTATAGTGAATAATATTAGTAAAACAACAGTGAGGTTTGTCTACTACCAGAGGCTCCTGCAGGAAAACTTGATCCCCATGAGCCGAGATGCACGGCTCCAACTTAACAGGAGGAAGTAGGTCTTGCTCCGGCTCGTAGTAACGCTTCAGCTGGAATGGGCACAGGTTTATGTTAATTGTTGAATTATACATTATTGTTATTCACAACTGAAATACTTAAAAAACATAGTACTTGTGATAAAAGAGTCTGCATGATGGAGCTGGACAGCTGAGAGTTGCGCCGAAGAACATCAAAAAACCCCTAAAATGCAAAAGTTAGTTAAAAATGTAATCGTATAATATGTAAATACTGTAAATTGCAATAATAGATTCTTGTTTATAATTTTTAAATATGTGTTTTTTTCTTGTCTATGTAGTCCACTTAGGGTACCTGACTTCAAAGCAGCTCACATAGCGGTGCATACTATTTTTCACATACATTTATTTCTTGACCTGTGTCACATCAGCTTTTTTGGACCAACACAGATCAGAGAATCAAACCGTTCAAACACAAGAAATGCAATGATAGAAAACACAGAGCCAATGTCCATAAATTTCACTTACAAAGCCCCTCATACCTCATAAAGCATAAGTCGCACATCCGCCTGCTGACCCAGACAGCGTTTCAGGCTGCTCAGGATTTCCAGGCAGAAAGCTTCATTGGCGGCGGAGTTGTAGCGTGAATGAATATCCACTTGGACCTGCAGAATTTAAGTGAGTACCGTAAAACATAATACCAAAATCTTTACAAAGATATAAAGCTTTACCTGACTAGAGGAGATACTCTGGCTGCATTGACTTGAAGACAAACTACCCAACACTTTGAAGTTCCTCAGGAGCAGAAGGAAACCTGTAACTGCCGACTTTCTGCCATCGAGTTGACTGATGACAATTAGAAATACAGAAGTGAATGTATATATATGACAAACTTTGTATACTTCAGCGTATAAATTAAAAAGCACAATATATTTTCCGGAGCTTCCTAGTTACTTACAGTGCCTTGCAAAAGTATTCGCCCCCCTTGAACCTTTCAACATTTCGCCACATTTCAGGCTTCAAACATAAAGCTATAAAAATTACACTTTTTGTCAAGAATCAACAACAAGTGGGACACAATCGTGAAGTGGAACAAAATTTATTGGATAATTTAAACTTTTTTAACAAATAAAAAACTGAAAAGTGGGGCGTGCAATATTATTTGGCCCCCTTGCGCTAATACTTTGTAGCGCCACCTTTTGCTGCAATTACAGCTGCAAGTCGCTTGGGGTATGTCTCTATCAGTTTTGCACATCGAGAGACTGGAATTCTTGCCCATTCTTCCTTGCAAAATAGCTCGAGCTCAGTGAGGTTGGATGGAGAGCGTTTGTGAACAGCAGTCTTCAGCTCTTTCCACAGATTCTCGATTGGATTCAGGTCTGGACTTTGACTTGGCCATTCTAACACCTGGATACGTCTATTTGTGAACCATTCCATTGTAGATTTGGCTTTATGTTTTGGATCATTGTCCTGTTGGAAGATAAATCTCTGTCCCAGTCTCAGGTCTTTTGCAGACTCCAACAGTTTTTCTTCCAGAATGGTCCTGTATTTGGCTCCATCCATCTTCCCATCAATTTTAGCCATCTTCTCTGTCCCTGCTGAAGAAAAGCAGGCCCAAACCATGATGCTGCCACCACCATGTTTGACAGCGGGGATGGTGTGTTCAGGGTGATGAGCTGTGTTGCTTTTACGCGAAACATATCGTTTTGCATTGTGGCCAAAAAGTTCGATTTTGGTTTCATCTGACCAGAGCACCTTCTTCCACATGTTTGGTGTGTCTCCCAGGTGGCTTTGTGGCAAACTTTAAACAGGACTTTTTATGGATATCTTTGAGAAATGGCTTTCTTCTTGCCACTCTTCCATAAAGGCCAGATTTGTGCAGTGCACGACTGATTGTTGTCCTATGGACAGACTCTCCCACCTCAGCTGTAGTTATCTGCAGTTCATCCAGAGTGATCATGGGCCTCTTGGCTGCATCTCTGATCAGTCTTCTCCTTGTTTGAGATGAAAGTTTGGAGGGACGGCCGGGTCTTGGTAGATTTGCAGTGGTCTGATACTCCTTCCATTTCAATATAATTGCTTGCACAGCGCTCCTTGAGATGTTTAAAGCTTGGGAAATCTTTTTGTATCCAAATCCGGCTTTAAACTTCTCCACAACAGTATCTCGGACCTGCCTGGTGTGTTCCTTTGTCTTCATGGTTCTCTCTGCGCTTTAAACAGAACCCTGAGACTATCAAAGAGCAGGTGCATTTATACGGAGACTTGATTACACACAGGTACATTCTATTTATCATCATCAGTCATTTAGGACAACATTGGATCATTCAAAGATCCTCACTGAACTTCTGGAGTGAGTTTGCTGCACTGAAAGTAAAGGGGCCGAATAATATTGCACGCCCCACTTTTCAGTTTTCTATTTGTTTAAAAAGTTTAAATTATCCAATAAATGTCGTTCCACTTCACGATTGTGTCCCACTTGTTGTTGATTCATGACAAAAAAATAAAATTTTATATCTTTATGTTTGAAGCCTGAAATGTGGCAAAATGTTGAATGACATTGTTTGTCACGCTTGAACTCTCTGACCCGGCTTGGATTGGCCCCTGTGTACGGGGTTTGAGGGCGCCGCAATTCGGTTTAATTGGATTTAATAGAATATCTGCCTGTTTTTGACTGCTAGAATGCATACTAGATTGTCCCTTGTTACAGGAAGATGTGTTTTTCTCCTTGCTGTGTCTTCGCTCCTCTCTTATCTCACATTCCTCGGGCCAAGGCCATCATAATAAATCTGGTCTCTACAAAAATTTCACACTCTTTCAGTCTTCCAGTTTGGATCCCGCTCCCCTCGCCTCCCTCTGATCTCTCCCTCCCCTCCCCTCCTCATTGTGTTTCCGACTCACCCCCTCCCTGACCCCGCCCCCCTCTGACAGCCACATTGGACCGGCAGCCAGAGGTGCTCATCCCGAGAAAAAAATCCGTGGTTTATAAAAAGCACAATGTTTTCTATCCAACTGTCTGTTGTAACCTGTATGTTATTGCTCTCTGCTGTTTATTCTACTGTTTGTCGCATGGCGCCGGAAAAATGGCGCTGTGGCAAGAGCTCTGGTGTGTGTCGTCTCTGTCTGGCGCACACCGGGGTAGTCTTGCACAGTTTTTCCAATGTGGTTTTACTGCAAATGTCAAATAAATGAATCTGATCTGATCTGGGGGTTCAAGGGGGCCGAATACTTTCGCAAGGCACTGTACTTACTTACTTATTGGTTACAGAAGCAAATTCCCCATTCAAAAAAGCCTTCAGAGTTTTGAAATATCCAAATATCAAGAGATTAATGATGGAGGCTAAATATTTACCTGGCAAATACTATTTACTATTATAACTTTGTAACAATTTAAACAAAAAAACATAATTCCATCCAATAATACCATCAGGTTCATTGCTCACCAGACAGCGGATCTTTGACAACAATTCTTTTTAAAAATCCTTGTTGGGATTCTGAATAGGGAATTTTACTTCCTGAACCCAAATATAAAGCTTTGCCCACTTCACACTCCATGATAAATCTTTGACAAAGCACAGCAGCAATTACCTTGAAAACATTGATTTGCGTAGGACTAAAATCAGCGCATCTTTCAGCGACATACTGACTTTGAGTAAAGGCTAGAAACAAAACAAAAAAGAGGAATAAACAACACAATTCTTCTTCAAGAGACGTACAGTGTATTTGTCAGATAGTGGACTGACCTGGACAGCCTTCAGCAGACCTTGCACTGTTGTTAGGGGCAAATACGACAGCTGGTCAAACGTCTCAATGACTTTGGATGAAGATTCCAGGAGGATCATGGGAGCTGACACCACGATATCAGTAAACAGGTCTGTCGAAAGAAAAATATTACTAAGATAAGAATGAAATAAAAAGCTATTCTCAATCTCTTAACGGCAATACCCAAATAATGAGTGACGGGTGAAGCGGTTTTTGTGACCAGCCGATTGAGGACCTGCTCGAGTATTTCACCTCGGAGCGGCTCGTGCGTCTGCGGGTGACAGAGAATAAACTTCAATAAAAATAACACCACTCTTAAAAACTGACCTGATTTTTAATATGTTACAACCTTGAAGCCCAGCAAAAGGACCTGCCCCCCCAGCTTGCACGCCAGCTGATTGGGCGTCCTGGCTAAAGCCGTAGAGCTTTCCGCTGCTTTCCCAAACGGCCCAGGCTTCGGTCCAAATGTGTCCATGAGAAAGAAGCCCAGCTGAACCAGGCCCTGGGTTACATGATCCCAACCGAACACACTGCATGAGGAGAGAGACAAGTATTAGACTATCATTTTAAAGAGGTGGGGGTAACTAAAGCCTTTTTTCATACATATTTTTGTTTATGTCCAAACAGAAAGACTCAACAGAAAACAAATCAGATGAAAAAATTCTATCTTGTGTTTATCCGTGTCACTATTTGATGATTTGGGTTGAGATTGTCCGAGTGAAGGGTATAGCCCTCTCTATTTAAGTTTTTTTTGGCTCAAAAAGTTGATATAAACATGTGACAAAGGCCAAAAAATATATATTCATGTCTGTACCAAACCATCTTAAGAGCAAGGAACTTGTTTTGTTTTTTCTACATACACTGCAAAAAATTATAAAACATTAGGTAATGTATGCTTAAATTCATATTTGCCAATGGGACGAGCCATTTTATCATGAATCAAGAACTGTTGCATTTTATTTCTCATTCCAAGGGAGACATTTCTTTTTAAAACAAGATCATTTTGCCTCGACCATTGGCAAATTTTGTTTAAAGGCAGTCAAAACGTGCTCAACTTAAAATATATTTTGCCACATTTTAGCAATCTATCATCACTTTTTGCAGTGTACCGGTGGTTATTTGTTGTGGTTTGAAAGTTAGGCACCCCAGCTTTAATGAAACAATAAGGACGGACCTGTTCTTGACGGTGTCCAGGATCATCTGGGAAACACTGCGATGTTTTGGCAAAAGATCCTGTAGAATCTTTGAGCCTTGCTGCAGCTGCTCGTCTTTGAAGCTTTTGATAACTGCGCTTTTCAACATATCGAAAACCTGAACACAAAGATGAGTTCAAACCGTGGATCATAAACGAGAGGATTTCATTTCAATATTTTAACCAATTGTAGTTTGTTAATTGTATACTGTAATTATTGCATTGTTTTTCGCGGGCCTTTTACACCTTGCCAAGAGACTACAGTTGGAAACCAGCTGTGGAGCCAATACTGCCACATTTACAGTAATGTTGATAACTGTACTGTCCCCATTTGAGCAAACTATAAAATAAAACATAAAATAAATGAAATATCACCTGTTCCTCATAGCGCTGAATACGAGCGACCGACAGCAGCAGAGCCACGCTGAAGGGGCACATGTCTGCATAGGACGTCTGAGGAAGAAAGTGAGTTATTCATATGAAACAGTGCTGAATCCAAACAACTACACCACTCACTTTAAAGGTTTTGAGGAAATCTCTCCCCAATTCATGGTCGAGTCGAATAGCGAAGACAATATGGAGGATAACGGTGCCTTCCACGTGTCTTAACTGGTCGTGGGGAATAGACTCAAACTCTAGGTCAAGGCTCCTAAAAAAATAAAAAAAAAACATACATTTGATTAAACATTGTAAATATTTAGTCATCAGAGCTGGGGAACCAAACTTTTTTTTAAACAAATAAATGTATTGCTGCTGATGATCCAGACCTATTTGTAAAGAGTTTGCATGTTCTCCCTGTGTCTCCATAGGTTTCCTCCAGGTCCCCTGGTTTCTCCTACCTCTAAAGTCCTTATACAATAGTCCCCCCCGTAAAACCTTCTCCGACTCCACTCCTGCCCTCTCTCTCCCCTGAAAAATAGATTCTGAAATCTCAGTGGGACTTTCCAAGATAAAAAAAGGTAAATCTAAAAAAATATGTTTTGCATGCGAGTCAGAAAAAGCCTTAAGTGAGAAAAAGTCTTGAGATTTTATTTTCTTTTGGCTGAGAGCTGATTGGCTGAGTGAAGGAAAAAAGCTCATCTAAAAGATGTGACAGAGGCAAAATATAAGATAAGAAAAATGGTGATACAACCAACGGAAGGAACAAGTTTGATACACTTTATGATAAAATACATCTTTCTGTGGTTTGGAAAATTCAGTACCTCGGCTTTAACTGAAAACGTTGCTTCATGTGGTGTAAACTTACTGCCCGCGCCGTTGCTCTTCTTCAAGGCATTGGTCTTGTTCTTTAAAATAACCCACAATTCCATCTAGGATCTGTTTTTTACATCCCTGTTGCGGACACAAACAGTCACGGCTCGACGACAGCAAAAAAATACATGGATGCATTTTCTGAAAAGCCACAAACCTTTGCAGATAACAAGAGGAGCTGGTAAACGAGTGGAGGGACTTCTTGTAAATCGAGTTTACTGAACATTCGCAACACTTTCTCCGCCACAAACCGCAGTTCTTCGGGTGACAATGGGACATCTCTGTAGAGGGGAAATATAGACAAAAAGTAAATCTTTATTTATATAGCGCATTTTCTACAGACCAAGGTCACCCAAAGCGCTTTACAATGTTCAGAGTTCAGATATTTGCAGAGATATACTTGATTGACTTGCAACGGTTGTGCAAAACTGTTTCGTCTTTACCTAAAAATGGTCGTCAGGTGAATCACGCACTGCGGGTCCCATCTGTAGTTAAAGGCATATTTTTATATACAAATAGAGCTGAGAGGAATTGGCAAACATCCAGACAAAAAAATGAAAAATACTCTAGATAAAAAACATTATTGATCTACTTAAAGCTGTTAAATACATGCTGTTTAGTCGTGTACAATAGAGTATTTTTTGTTCGTTACTGTACTGTTACAGGATGAAAAACTATCAAATAACATTGTGAGGGAATTATTTTTATATTCAGTCGCTTCATTTTTCTAGTTCTGAGTTATCGACACAAATTAAAAGCCAAAGCATCAAGTTCAGTGTATTGTGAAAAAGCCGGATCAGTGAATCCAAAAGTGTTGTAGAAATAAATATTGGATTTATAACTTTATATCTCTCCTGACATTAAAGAAGAATGATAAATTCACACATATACACACACACACCTGCTCGAACAAAGGCTGTTGATCAGTTGCTTTTTGAACTCTTCTCCGCTTAGTTCACCTAAATGTTCACAATGTCAGAACAAAACAGACATGAAGATTATAGTAAATCGCATCACCAGACTTTACATGCGATAATTGTTACCTTTGCCATAAGCTACAGCTTCACATGCTGCCAGAGCCGTTAGGACGGTGGGGAAAAGCTCCAACGACTTCCCGCTGCTCATCTTTCCCACTTTGATGGCGTCAACAAAGTGGTTGGCAAGCTGCACGAGGGAGGGGCCAGGAAGCAAGTGTGTCTGAAAATGAAAAGTTAAAAAAAAATATTACTAATTAAGAAAAGACAAATCTTAGTATGCTTTCACAGGGTTTTGAGGGTTGAGATCCATTATGATAGAAAAAGCCATAGAAAAGCAGACAAACTTGAATATACAAAGTGAAAAATTATAACTAATTATTTAGATACATTTATAAAGAATTACAGACTTATTACCTCCAACATGAGCAGTCCCATCACATCAGCTGCCACCTCAGTCTGTAGGTCCCCAGACTCACACAGAGTAATGCAGTGTTGGTACAGCAGAAGTCTTCTTTTGGACCCCTCAGTGGAAGTGGGAGGGGAGCCTACGAAGAGGAGACAGTAAATTATATATTATATATATATATATATAATATATATAATAAATATATATAATATATACTGTAAAATTATTGGCACACGCCTAATGCTATTTATGAAACGGCATTAAGTGGATTTATGCATACAAATCCATCTAGTTCCCGAGTCTTTCAAAAACTGCTCAGCCAATTTACCTCTCAGCCCAAAGAGTAATATAACTCAAAAGGCACAGTCTTAAAAGATTGCAAATTGTTAAATGTTTTGAAATAAGATGAAGAAAACATGTTATGGACCGATTTGCATAAAGATTTTTTACTTTCTATATATTTCCAGGCTCTGTTTGTGTGAACATTCCATGGACTATTTATTAAACAACAAAGTTAAGTAACCTAGCTTTAAAGGACATAGACAAAATAGAAGGCATCACGTAATAAAATATAATAATAATATTAAACTGCATTAAAACTCAATCAAAGCTGTTCCTTACCTTTAAATATACTTTTGATCATAGTTCCAACCATCTTCCCTTTCAGTGCGCTGTTGGTGATCACTGTCATTAACTAGGAGGGAAACGTCATAAGCGTTAATTACACAATAGATACAAAGTTTTTAATTGTCATTAGTAACACACACCTGGTCATCCACAAGCGAAGAAAGATACTTCTGGAGCTCAGGAATACTGTCTTTATCCGACAGAGACACAATTTTGTCCACATCAGCCTTCATGTTGATCCTGGGACTCTGCGCAGGCGAAACTAAAGGTAAATTCTGTGTAGATTAAAGGATTATGTTTTCTAGAAGGCAGGAAACGTAAGTCCAACGTGGGTTTTGGAAAAGACGAAAACTATCTGCAAAGCTAAAGCAGAAACTGTAGATATTAGGCTAAAGCAGAGAACATTGGACTGAAGTCAAAACATAAACATGAATTACCCGCCACATCACACTTCCGGTTTCGAGGTTGCCAGGTTTGTTCTAATCTACGGATTTGTCTCACATACTTTATTACGGCTGGATTATATCACATTTAATATTTACACTTTATGATCTGTATACGGCTAACGAAGACTTTACAATAATGTTATATATATCCATGGAATGTTTTAGCACGAAAGCTTCAACAATAAGCCACATTTTAAAAAAAGCTCTTGTGTCATGCATGTGACACATACAGTGAATAGATCCATGGGTTAAACACAAGTCTGTTCCCTAGAAGCTGAGGTTTTTACTCTTGTTGTTATGGTCTTGATTGGGCCAAAAGAATGTAGGAATGCATTTTTATTTGGTTGTTTCTTAAGTGTCAATTACGGCATATGTTTTGTTCATACTAATAGTGAAATGGTAAAATTAAGTCGCATTAATACCTCCCATATCTCCCGAGCAGTTCGAGAGATAAAACTGTAATAAAATTGACCATTCTATATTTCTAAATCATGTCCAGTTTGTTTCAACAGATTCAAGCTTTTATTCATTGAATGCTTTTAGATCCAGATTGAGAGCACTTGACACATCCTCATTGGAATGTAACTGTTTTTTATAATCCGTAATGTTATGAAATAGTATGTGACTGTTTTTATAATATGTATGTGACTGTTTTTATAATATGTATGTCACTATTTTTATAATATGTATGTAACTGTTTTATAATCTGTAATGTATGTAACTGTATGCAACTTTCGTCGAGGACTCCCTTGAAAAAGAGGTTACTAATCTCAATGGGTTAAATAAAGGTGAAGTAAATAAAATTCACAAACTTTGTCTGTATTGGTGCAAAACTGTAATCTAAATGGGTAGTCCATATAAAAAAGGAAAAAAATAGTTAGTGTTTTTTTTTTTTTACTATTATTTTTTTATTACTATATGCAGAAACGGCTCCCCCTGTGGTTGACTGGTCGCATTGCAGTCACTGTATTTCATTTGCACGACCGTTGTTTTGGTATAAATGTGTGTTTATCCGATACATTTTTCAATCACAGTGCAGATGATACTTTCAATGGGGATCCGAGTGTAAACAAATATTGTTCTGAGTTGAGGCCATATGACGCAGCCGCACAGAGACGTGCCTTTATGGACGTGACGTGAGGACACTGCTGTTTCTGCTCATGCTCAGCTCGGGGACAGAGCTTTTTCTGCAGCTGATACATTTGTCCACATGATGTAACGCCGAATCGCCTGCTGACTCTGTAGTACTACCACACATACGGATGGCTGTCTGCGCGCGTCTCTGCGGAGTGGGGCAATCCCGGAGGTGTCGCAGGCGTCAGCGACAGAACCAGCAGGACCAGTGCAGCGACTCGGACATGGAGGAAGAGGAGGAAGAGGAGCGGATCGTGGCGAAGCTGCAAAGCGACGTGTGCGGAGGGGGAGGCCTGGAGAGCGGTCATCATGGCACCGGAGCAGAGCGCACGGGATCCAGCGCGCGTCCGCAAGCTTTGTCCGATCTACCGCCCGAACTGCTGGTGGAAATCTTCTCCATTCTCCCCGGGACAATATTACCAAATGTCGCCCTCGTCTGTAAGAAATTCAGGCAGATTCTCAACACAGAAACCATTTGGAGAAGGCGGTGCGTGGAAGGTAAATACAGGGTTACGCATCGACAGTGGTGGGACATGACCACAAGCAGGCAGCTGTCAAAAGCGCTGATCGCGTAACAAGAGGAAATGAATCTTCTTAAAAGCCCTTTATCGATTCCAAGCTGCAAGGAGGAGTACATTATAATTACAAGCTTAAATAACTGTTGGATTCGTGACAAAAATACACACACTGAATCCATTTGTGTAGAATGTGGCCTGGGTAACTTATTGCTTTTCTGAAGGCCTTGAACAATGTTTGGTGAAAACAACTCCCCCCCCCCCCCCTCCCACTGTTGCCCCTCACACTATGGGCCTATATCATTGGCTTATGGAACCTTATCAGTAGAGTGTCTTAGGGCAAAAGTGGGCTATAAATAACCCGTGTAGTAAGGCCTAATAATAACCATAACATAACATTTGATAATGGGCATTTGGCTTCTCTTATTGATCCTCAAAGGGAATTATTAAGAGCTCACTATTTACAATTAGTTACAAACAACAAAATGCAGGCCCCTGCACTGTAATAGCCACTGTATATAGGCTTATCTGAAGTGTGTTTATGATTATTCTGTATATTATTTTTTTTATGGAACTGACTTATGTGCTATTTTTATTACTATATGTTTTTAATTGTGAAGCGCTTTGTGATCCTGGTCTGTGAAAGGTGCTAAATAAACTATTTTTACTTACTTACTATTGTTGAAATTAAATACTATTGCTTTTTCACTTCATTACAGAGTTTGGAATGAAGGAGGATCTGCGAAAAATGGAAGTGGGTGCCGTGTCCAGCAGAGATCTTTATGTTAAACGTAAGATGCATCTTCTACAACTTTTGGCAGTGGAATTCATGCTTGCTTCATTCTGTAGTTATGATAGAGCAGCCATCACAAGTAGTAAAGATAACATCACTGTACACTTTGATACAATACTGGGATATTGGGACATTTATTTGGACATCGGTAGAAAAGAAAATGCATAAAGTGAGTTAACTATTGTTTAACTTAACTCTAATCCAATCCTTTTGATGGTTGTACTAATACATATATCGGCTATGTTTTAACATTATATCTCGGTGTATCCCACTATCGCAGGAATCTATGATCAATGTGTTTTTCTTTTTTCTATAGGATGTAACATGAAACCATTTATCTCCCTCCATTTTCCATTCTGCACTCACTCAGCATTTCAGTGACATCCTTCCACATTTTCAGTGTGGAAGTAATTTGATTCATTCATTATTTATCAAAACAGCAGCGTTCAACTATCTTTACTTGCTGTCCTCTTGTCATCCAATTTCCCTCGAATATGAACCCCCCTAAGACAAAGCATAATTTTTCCTCCAGGACCTTATTGTGTAAAATTGACTCAGCTGACTGAGATTGTTGGTTGTAGGCTGTGAAGAATCTCATACTGTAAAACATTATTTATCGATCAAGAGATGTAAAAAGGGGGCGGGCCCGCACACGCTAACTGCTTCTGCCAATCCTTTGCTCTGCTTTTCATTTTTCCTCCTCTCAAGCATGACATAGAATTTCTCATTTATAGAATTAGACAACATAAAAAGTCTAGTAAAACCAAAACCTGAAATATTATTAAAATCAATTCCATTTATTCTTGTATAGCCCTAAATCACAACAGTAGCTATCTCGGAGGACTCTACAAAACCCTTGAATTCACCAACACAGATCAGAGAATCAAACATAGAAAATATAATGATAAAACATAGAGCCATATTGGTCCATAAGAAGCAGATGACCAATGTCCTTAAATGTTGATAAATGTCCTTGAACTTTGTTGAATGTTGAGTGTCCTGGATCCTCACCACTGTCCTTATTAAATAATTCACCTTACGAATACTAATACTACACTGAATGGACCAATTTCTGGAAAGTTTCTCTTCCAATGCGCGTGTACTTGTGCAGGTGTGAATCCGCGGGTGAAGTCTGGGCGCTTTATGAAGCTGCTCCCGGACTACGAGCACATGGAATATAAAGACGTGTACGCACACTGTATGTACTGCTGCAGTGTGAGGGTGCTGTGTGTGAGAGGCCGTTTGGATTTAGAAGGACGGAATGTTTAACCAAGGAAAATGACCCCCCCCAAAAAACACATTTGGACTTGCGTTTTTGATTGCATCTGTGTGTTGGAGTTCACACAATGGATATTTCCTGTTCATTTACATTACTTTTCTCATTCACTTTGACACTAAAAACAATAGTTTGGCACAAAATCACTCATTTCCAGCCCCATAGCTCATACACACATTGGAAAGAAATGCAATAAATACTGTAGCATTTAAAAGACGGAAAAAAGAGAATATACTGAGATTACAGAGAATATGGTAAAAATCGTACACTCAAACCAACAGAATTAGTCTTATTGGTCCAAATCCCTCTGCCAATACAATTATACTTGTCACAGTCATTTTAGATTCTGCAAATATGATCATTGAGAAAAGTAAAGTAAAATAATCATGTGAAATATAGATTTTGTCATATATTGCTATGACCGAAAGTTGCTTACATGTTTCTGTCGTTTCAGTGCTTCATCCCAACAGGCATATCTTGGGCATCTGGCAGCCAGACATAGGACCTTATGGAGGACTCCTCAATGTGGTAGTAAGTGAACATTTTGCATCTAAAACAACACAAAGCAAACAATCTATTATAGCCAAAGGAAAAATAGTGTTTTTGGTAGAACTAATTGTAATGGGCTATATGCACGGGGAGGCGTGATGTCATTTCCGGTTAACAAAGGACAGCCCTTTCACTTCCTGCCTATGCTTTCCTATGGCTTTTAGGTGGGTTTTAGTGACGTTTTTTAGTAATTAGATCGATACATTCAGCTGTGAGACTGACCCATAAATGTCACTGGGCTTTCTCTCTGAGGTAGAGCTTGGACTGAGGCCACTCAGAGCGATTTGTAAACTTTATAAAAACACAATGACGGCACAATCAAAGAGCACTTTTGTGTCCCAAAAATGCCCAGTATCCTCATAGTATAATTTCCGTTTGAGCATTATTTGGGAAACTCGTGTAAACCACGGCTGAACTCCAGTGAAACTCAAGCCATTTCCAGCGAACCGGAAGTGAGGTGGGGCTTTAGCTAAAACGCGGAAGTGGTGCGTGCATAGAGCCCATAGACCTACTTTGTTTCTCCATATAGATACTTTTCTAAGAGTCCAGAACAACATACTGTACTGTACTAGAATTAATTTCTAAGGACTTTTAGTAAAAGTCCTAGGAAATTATGGTTACGCTTCTCCATCCATCCATCCATCCATTTTCTACCCTTTAATCCATTTCTGGGTCAGGGGGGTGGCAATCAGAGATGCCACCCAAGTCTCATAGCACCAGCCCCCGGTTACGCTTGTTTTTTCCCCTATTTTACTGTAAAAAAAAAAATAAAATGAATATGCAAAGAAACTTGTAATACTTTTCATATCTACTTCAAACACATACTGCATTTTGATAGGCGTTAAATTTTTTTTAATCTTTTGTGGTGCTTTTTGCGCATATTTAATTTATGTTGACGTTGTTGAAAAAAATTACAATTTCAGGTAGTTTGCCTGGACTCGTATAGTAAGTGGATATTGGACATATTTTCCCAGGTGGATGGACTGTTTATCATTGGCTGGATGTACTTGCCGCCGCATGACCCTCGAGTAGAAGACCCCATGAGAAGGCGGCCCCTCTTCCGCATCCACCTGTGGGAAAGTAAAAAGGCGACGGTGGAGTGTATGTACGGCCACAAAGGTCCCCACAAAGGAGACATTCAGGTGATCACACACTCTCAACCAAGGCTAATACAGCACAAAAGTGGGTCATTATCAAATATATGTGTCACTATTATTAGACTGTCAAGAAGGACGAGTTCTCCACAAAATGCAATCAGACAGATCATCACCGCATGCCTGGAGGCCGACAAGAGGTAGGTCGCAATATTTAACAAATTCTTTTGAACAAACGGCTTTCACAATAGACTCTTTGTGTTTGCTCGTGTGTAGGAGTTCAGGACGTGGCTGGAGGAAGAATGGGGCCGAACGCTGGAAGAAATCTTTCACGAGCACATGCAGGAGCTCATTTTAATGAAATTTATTTATACGAGTCAATATGAGTAAGTCAATGGTTACGTGTGAGTTGGTTGCCAAAAATATGATACGCAAATGTTATCGATATGTCTTTGGGATTGGCTCTTCAAACTTAAATAATAATCTCATTCTGGGGTACCTGACTTGAACTATGAAAAGCAGTCCATGGGTCTAGTTCCTCACTCTCATTACAGTTTGGTTTTATCACTAGTTTTCACTATTGCATTTTTGGCCTCTGTCGCTTGCTTGGATTGGCTTTTTCAGACAGAACAGTGAAAAGAGAAGACCATCCTCACTCAGCCAACCCACCCAAAGCATCAAATAATGACTCACAGGGCTCTTTATTACAAGTTTGCAAAAGATAACATGTTGACAGATGAAACTGAAACAGAATTTTAGAGGAAAAATTCTGTGTTTCGTCCACAGTGTGACCAATGACCGTCACGAATCGAACTTGGGACAAACGCAAGACACATTATTGAAGTATAGATATCCAAATCTGTTGTAGAAATGAGACTGAAATTGACCTGGCGTTAATTTTAATTTTTTCAGGAAGAGTCAGAGGTTACAGAGCTTGTTAACATGACAATCTGCATCATTTCAAGACGTACTGCCAAGATTGATACAGGTACACCGTGACCTTAAAGATCTAATCCCTAGAATATTGCGTCCCAAGTCCGATTCATGAAGGCCACCGTCCATGCCAGATTTGAAACGAATGATGTCCTAAAATTGTCTCACATAAATGATTTTGTAAGTGCTTTAACAACGTTCAGAGTCCAGAATCACATTAGTAACACAATCACATGTTTTATGTCCCATTATTACAAGAGCTGCTTTCACAACATACAGAGCATATTTTTTGTCAAAAACATCAGGGACAGGCTCTTCCGACATAATCATTTAAAAAAGTAATCATAGTTCATTTATGCAGAGCGTAAACTATTAATCTTCCTTTATTCTATGTGACCCAGTAATCAACCCATCAACTGACTCAGGAATTCTAAAGATAAACTATAAACCATATTATTTGAAATCTGAATGGTTAACGACATATTGTTAAAACATTGGAATTAGCAGATTCATGTTGACATTATCTGCAATGTTTTATTCTTTCCTTCTTAGTAACTGTCTCACATACCGGCGGATATATCTCCCTCCTCCGCTGCCGGCAGCCCTGCTCCAGCCAGGCCTCTTCAAAGGCACCTACGGCAGCCACGGCCTGGAGATTGTGATGCTAAGTTTTCACGAGACGTCGGCCAGAGCCACTAAGCTCACGGTACATTTTTCATCTGCCTTGTACCTGTGGTCTTTGGTTATTTGTGGAGCATGAATGTTACAGCCGTGGCTTTTGGAATCATGGCCAACCAACTGTGTCAGTTAATAAATATGTACTGTATATCAAAAGTATTTTGGCATTATCAAGTGTTCTTCCAAGTCTTCCTTCTGAAAAAACAGTACAAAATCACTTTTTAATAGTTATTAACTTGTAATTATCCATTATTTATTAAGATTACTTCATAATCATATCATATCATTATTCATATAGAATAAACTGAGTCATAATGGTTAAATCAATGCAATGTTAAAAATGAATCAATTACTAAACTACATTCAAAAAGAGACCAGTATGTTTTTGTTTTTGTTTTTTTTATGGTCCTCACTAATAGTTCAAAATCGAATGAAACCAATGGCTGATACTGTATTGATATGTGTTGATAGGGCTGATTTAGATGTCATTCTTTTAAAATTGTATACCTTTCACTTCCTGATAACTTACATCTTATCCACAACCCTCTTTTACAACAAGTCCCTACATGGCCTTAAACACACCAGAGAAAGCCTCCACTCTGTACCAAAAAACCACAAGGTTTAAGAAAAGCTATTGTAATGTAATGTTAATGTAATCTCTATATTTTAGTTTAATAAAGAAGCAAGTGTAAAATACTGCAAGAAATATATACTTTTATGTATACATCTGCGGATATATCAAGTAATCCTTTTGTCAAAAAAGGTAAAAAATCTCCACAGATGCACAAATTAGCTTTAACCCCTCCCCCGGGAGCTAGTATTTTCTAAATCCAGCCCCGACCAAAATGTGTTAACACCCCTGCTCTACATACAGTACATATTGTTTTCACATTTTGGTTTTCACATTTCGTCTCGTCCCACAGGGAGACCCCAACGTTCCTGCCGGACAGCTCACTTTAGACGTGGACCTGACCCGCCCGGTGCTTCTGCCCGATCTGGAGAGTCAGCGCAGCATCGAGGAGCTGTCCCGCCTGGTGCTGGGGATCCATGCCGAGGTGCAGAGAGACATAGAGCAGCAGGCCAAAGGGGCGTCTACTGCAGCCTCCAGCAGCGGCTCAGAGGAGGGCGCCCGTGGGGAGGCGGAGGGGCACAGTGCTGGGTCAGAACACGGTCAGCCAGAGTCCAGCGGCTGCATTAATCCTCCTGAACTCATGCCATTTGTTCTGCCTCTGGGGGTGATGGCGCGCAATGAAGTGTACCCACGCACCTGCAGGAAGTGGTGAGTGAACAATAAGTCTCTCTGCCTTACAACGTTTGGAAATTGAATTATTATTATCCTTAAACTAAATTAAAGTAAGAGCAAGAGGATATTAAATAGTCCAAATAGTTTGAAAGATAACTAACTTAGATTTCATTATGATTCTAAAAAAGTGTTGGTTGCACTCAATCTAAGTACTGCTTTTGATACAGTAGACCACATTATTCTTTTATCACGTCTTAAACATCTGGGCCTCTCTGGTGCTGTCCACAAATGTTTCACTTCTTGAGAGATCCTTCATGGTAAGTTTGGATTCCTGCTCCTCTCAGGTCCATAAAATCACATGCGGTGTGCCCCAGGGTTCCATTTTAGGTCCAGTCATTTTTAACTTGTACATGCTCCCTCTTGGGGGTGTCATTTGGAGTTATCATCATCATAATTTAAACAGCATATCCAGATTCCGTCCCATTCTTTCTCGGAACAACACGGAGAAGCTGATGCATGCTTGTATCAACAGTCTCATTGACTACTGTAATGCCCTACTCTCTCGTCTTCCCAAAAAGACAATATCAGGTTTACAATGACTCCAAAACTCGGCAGCCCGTCTCCTGACTAAGACCAGGGGGTGGGACCACATTACACCGGTTTTAAAATTGCTTCATTGGCTCCCCATGTGTTTCAGGAATCGAGTTTAAGGATATATTACTGGTTTTTAAATGTCTTCCTGTCTGCCTGGCCCCTGCGCTCTTCTGGTAGCGGGCTCCTAGTCATTCCCAAAGTCAGGACACACACTCACGGTGAGGCCTCTCTCCAGCAGTACGGCCCCTGCCTCTGGAACAACCTGCCGGAGGAGCTCAGGGCCGCAGAGAACATTCATGTTTTTAAAAGCGTATAAAGCATCTGTCTTAATCTTAAATGATCATATATTCCAAAACAGACTGTGTATTTACGGACCAGCCTTTTATCTTTCTTTCAGTTTTTACGGCACCGGCCTGATCGCTGGACATGGCTTCACGAGTCCAGAGCGCACCCCTGGCCTCTTCGTGCTTTTTGACCAGGACCGTTTTGGCTTCATCTGGCTGGAGCTCAAGTCCTTCAGCTTGTACAGCCGCCTCACGGACCACCTGTCCCACGCCCAGGCCCCGAACACGGAGCGCTTTGAGGCCATGCTGCGCAACATGCAGTCCTGGACGTCCTGATGCATCCGGTAGATCGGGCCGAAGACTGGGCACGCGTCACATCCGTCGTCCTTCGCTTGACATTTGCGATGACCGCTTTTGCTGTTGACCTTAAAGTGCATATGACTGGTTGGACTACGCATTTAACTATAACGTAATACACGTTTCTTTTTTCTTTTTAGATTTTTCTCGGGAAATTTGTAACATAGATCACAGAGTAAATAGCTAAATTGTGGACAGCCGTCTATGTATTGGGTAAAAGTAGCACAGAGAGAGAGAGAAATTTAAAGGAAACATATGCATTGTTTTTATGTGCTTTAAAATCTGTGAAATTACTGTACGGCAATATTGTTTTCTCAATTGACTGATGAGAGCAAACCAGCAACTACCTAATTTAGCACTTATAACATACAGTAGCTAGATATGCCATAGAAGCCACAAGGGCTAAAAGTCGTCAATTTTCAAAATAGTATAATTGACAAGAATAAATAACATGAGACTTTTATCTTGATAAATCAATATTATTGTGTTCTCATGCATTCATTTTCTCCCCGTTTCATATGAAATTGTGCATAAAGTGCATGCTCATTTCAGTAATCAACAACATATTTCTTAATCATATTTAATACTGTATCTGTTTTTATTTAATGAGCTGGTGCTGTAAGAATCAGGTGGCAGGTCTGATTGACACCCCCCAACCCAGAAATGAATTAAGGGGATGAATATGGATGGATGCATGGAAAACCTAATTTATATTCAATTATGTATTCAAACTACCTACTTTACACCACTTTTCCTTCAGCTTTATCTCTGTGTAGTTTCATATGAACTGTGTACTGCGTGCTCAACGACTTGAATCGCTAGTTTCAGCCTTAATTGAGTAGCTGGAAGATTGTATGGCTTTTTGTTTATTTTGTTTCCTCAACTTTTTGTCACAAACTTCCATTCAAAGGTACAGTATATCGGAGGATTTCCCCAAATGTTGTGAAAAGAACCGCCCTCTCCACTTTCACCAGAATGATTGACACCTTGGAGGACCAATAGTCTTGATGATCCACCCGGAAGTAGAAAATCCTCCTATATACCTTTAATGTAACTGCTACAAATGTACCACAAGTACGACCCCTTCCAATTAAAGTAATAACAAGGGAATGCTGTAATCTGTCATATGCTCTTTAAATCCCTTCTTACCACATTATTGGCTACATAACCATAACACGTTATTATACAGTTTTTCCTCAATAGCACTTTTGAATGGTCTCACGCATGGTCAGGTCACTATAGATATGTCTATTTATTCCCCGTCCGACAAAACTGAGCGAGCATTCTTATTGATAGAAGCGTATGTGCCTACAATAACAATCATGTCTGTACTTGACAGCGCTTGAAGGCCTCTAATGTATTCTACAATTATAGTAACAGTTATTTTGCATGTTTTTCATATGGGTTTATATCTCCCCCACTAACATCAATCACACAGCATTTCAGTTAACCAACACTAAATGGCTATTATTTTCATGTCATTGAACATCATTGAAAGACAAATATCTATGTAAATACAGTATAACGTAGAAGTATACTTTTCTACTCATGTAATATTGCCTAGTATTCGCGTAAAGTGGACTTTAGGATAACTTTTTTCTTGGCTGCACATTGAAATGATCTTTGGACCCTTCTGTAGTGAGATATACTTGACAATGACAACAGTTCTACCACGCCCGACACATTACACGGGTTAAAATGTACCGCAGTTTATTAGAGCCTAGATCTAGACATAAGCTGTATTTATTTATTGTATCAAAATATAACATTTATGTGATTTTTTTTTTTTTTGTCAAGGCGTCTCATGTATTGCTTTAGGTGTTTGTTTGAGATTTGGCTGACATAATGTTTGTATGGCTGCGCAGCTGTGTTCTTTGTCAATTTTTCCAAAAATGTAACTGCGAATATGCTCATCATTATTTGACAACCAATACTTACGTGCATCAAGTATTAAAGCAGCACTATGTCATTTTCCTAGTGATGGACACACCGCCATCTTGTCTCCATGTAAGTTATTGCTTTGGCTGACAGTATTATGTCATTACGATGGCTTGATTGGTTAAATGTTTTTTTTGTGTTATCATTTCAACACAGTTTTTGCTTTTCACCTATCTATCTATTCTATAACTGTAAACCATTTTCTCAGAGGAGGGAGATTGACTACAGGAAGAAGTTCCAGACCTAGACCCTCACCCCTCTCTACATCTTTGTCTGTTTTCCCCACATTTAGAAAGGTTTAAATAAGTTCTGTTTTTGACTGTGTTACACAAGACAAAACATAAATCTAAAAAAAATAGACAAGCAGCTTTTGTACTAAACCTACTGGTTCTAGTTGCTAAATATTTGCTAAGATAGATCTATAAGAAAGAGGAAATGGAAATGCTATTTTTTATTTTAAAAAAGTTGACCCTCTGAATATAGCTCTCTAGCTTTATTTTGGTCAAATTACGTAAAAACTCAAGCAATTGTTGCCAACTCATAGATTTTCACAACAATTCTTAATTACAACTTTTATTTGACAACACACCTATGTATTATTTTGTGTGTGTTTTTCTTGGTGTTCCAGACAATGCAATAACACATGAAGCCAAGCAGGTGGTGTGGAAGTCTGTGTGTCTCTTTATGGCCTGATGGGAACGCCCAGTAGCTTTTTACCTACTTCAAGTGCACTTTTCTGGGCTGTTAAACCACTCAGAACCACTGGCCTGCACTTGTAAACTGACAACAGCTTTACTAATTTATGTAAAAAATGTTCATCTGTTTAATTAATTTATTGGCTTTTAATTATGTTTTGTTGTACGTTGTATTTTGTGTGTGGCCTTGTGTGAACATTATGTACACAGCTTTCAGAATGATTTGCCTTTGATTGTCTAATTTAAGTGTAATGCTTTTCATGCCGAGTCTGAATTTGGTCCATTGAACTGCAAATGTCAAACTTCAGGGAGTTTTGAGCTGAAGCGTTATTCTCAGTAAATAAATTAGACAACAAGCTGTTTTTTACTCTTCATTTTAATCCAGCTTTTGTTCTCGCAGCGACATATGTATTTAAAGGGCCAGTGTAGTTTCAAAATAATGTCTACATCCAAATCTTTCCTAGCCTTTCCTTCTCATTTTATTGACCTTTTGTGGGAGAAAATGTGACCTAAGTGCCATCTAAAACATCTTAAAAATGAGCTAAATTTCACCTGACCAAATCTGGACCTGCCCCATTGTATAAAAGGTCAACTTTAAAGCACATAAAAGCATGAGGAAGAAGAAGGAAGGAGGGATTTTTGTTCAATTCTGTATGTACCGGGAGTAAAACATTGAGTTCAAGGTGCCCCTACTGGTTAAAGAAAGAAACTGCATGCACATCAAGAACAATGATTTATGAACAGGAAGATTCTCAGAACAAACAGCATCATGGCCCCTACCAGCCCAACTTGGCTCTAAATTTCTCCTCTGTGAGATAAATAAAGCAATCTTATCTTATCTTACTCTACCTGTTTGCGTTTTAGTATCTGGCACTAAATCCTTGCAACTGGGCCACAACAAATCAGGTGGGTCTGGGGAATTCCTTGGTAACCATTACTTCCGCTATCAGTAGTTAGTAAGGCTGGTGGAAACAGGGCTTGCAGGTCACAGGGCCAAAAACACATATTTTCACAAATTTGGCTCCTGTGAATATCCAATGAAAAAAACATGTATCTGATAGTGAAAAAGTGAGTGCTGGTAATATTTTTTTTATATAAAGCAGCTTGAAACTAGACAAACAAGATGAAAAAGAAAATCACAATTAGCCAAGAAGCAGTAGTACTGATTGCATTGTATTGCACAGTTGTTAACTTGGTCGTTCCTTTCTCTCAAAGGAAAACAAAAATGGTGCTAATAATAATAGGGTTATTTGTTTTACTGGCTCAAGTTTTTAAATGCAGGACAATACAAGATTATCAATCAAAATATAAAAAAAAAACAATGAGAGACATAGTTTCAATGTTGTTTCACACTTATAATTCTTGTACAGTTACTTTATAACTCCACATGATTTTTCTTGGCGAGCTCCTGCAGCGTTTTTGGAAGAGTCTCAGTCAGGAATACAAATCGGTCCTTCCTCAGCCCCTGACGGACTTCCTGCTGCATGTCTATAAACATGTAGTTCTCTTCTGGTCCGTACTGAGGCCAGTGCACCAGGCCATCCCCGTTTGGAGACCTGAAAGTGAGAAGGCCACTCTCTCCTTAGCTGCTCTTGGATGATGGAGGATTTCAGCAGTTACACTTACCCGGTGCGTGCAAAGTTTGCCCAGATTTTCATGATCCTGAGGCTGAGGTCCTCTTCTTCTTTTGAGCATTCTGCAGTAAGATTGAAATTTGTTTTAAATACAGTATATGTATGTAGCGCCAAAAAGGTAAAAATGCAACTTCTTATTTTGTATAGCTGGCCTGTCAAGATTATAAATCATAGCGCATGTTTGCTCTTACCCAGCATTGTGACATCCTGTGTTGTGAAGCAGAAACCAAAAACAGAAAAGAGATCGTCTCCGTGGTCTGACCCAACAAAATCTGGTCTAAGATTCCTGATCGACTGTGGGGTAAAGTTGTACTCATAAACATACACAGGAGCTCCCACATCTAGGGACAAAAGAAGAGTGGACAGTTCTCATAATACATCAGAAACCACAAGTTTACACAAAAAGACATTTCTATTGAAGGTGTCTCATTACCATATCCATGTGTTTATTCCTACAAAGTCTTAAGTTTAGATTTCATTAGTATTTGGGAAAATTGCATTGAAACTGCTATTTAATCCTGGGTCAAATGTTTTGGGTAGCCTTTCAAGAACACAACATTCTCATAATATTCTGGCCCATTATTTCTGACAGAATTGGATTTACAAAGTCAGGTTTGGGATTGAAATAAGCCTTTGTGATGCTGTTCCAACACATTGACTTGTATTTTATTGTCTTTAAACTCTTAATTCAAGGTTCGGATTAACGTTAAAATGTTTTTTTTGTCCATAAGTACAAAGTCAAACCTGTATGCGCGTTGATGGTTGTCACTCCAGGAATGGTGAAAATCAAATCCCCAAGAACTTCAGCGACAGTCTTCCGCAGTGTTATAGGATCCTCACTTTTTCCACTGTATTCATCTATGATCAGGTTTAATGCAACATATTTCGGCTTGAAGAGAAAAAACATAAGAATCACTTTAATGTATCTAAAATGTCGTGCCTTTGACTCTTACTTCTATGGGGTAGAAGATAGACAGTACTCCCATCACTTCTTCTCGGGTCATTCCCTCGGTCCAGTTTGGAGGTGCCATAAACTGTGAGAACAGAAATACAAATCTAATACATATAGTTTAGTTTTGACAATTTTTTTAAATGATTTTTGGATTTTGGTGAAATTTCAGGATTCAAGATCATTTGTAGTAAAACCACATTGGAATTACTGTGCAAGACTATCCCAATGTCCCCAATATGCATCAGACAGAGCAGATAGTACACTTTAGTACAATTATACAAAGTTAAAAGTGAATAAAAAGTGAATGTGTTTGACTGCTCCCGTGACCCGGCAACGGAAAAGCCGAAAATAGATGGGTGGCTGTGTTTGACCCCTGAACAATAAACCGACAAATAGATTTCCAGGTTCAAATACAATTCGTATCTGTGACATGTGACTAAAACATTTGGTAACTATCTTACTTACTTCAACTTTTTTGCAAACAGTGTTCAAATATTTTTTGAACTGAATATTCTTTGACTCTGGCTCGTCAGGCCAGTACACGTCAGGCAAGTACACGTCAGGCCAGTACACGTCAGGCAAGTACACGTCAGGCCAGTACACGTCAGGCAAGTACACGTCAGGCCAGTACACGTCAGGCCAGTACACGTCGGGAAAGTACACATCGGGCAAGCACACGTCAGGCAAGTACACGTCAGGCAAGTATACGTCAGGCAAGTACACGTCAGGCCAGTACACGTCAGGCCAGTACACGTTGGGCAAGTACACGTCAGGCAAGTACACGTCGGGCAAGTACACGTCAGGCAAGTACACGTCAGGCCAGTACACGTCAGGCAAGTACACGTCAGGCATGTACACGTCAGGCCAGTACACGTCAGGCCAGTACACATCGGGCAAGTACACGTCAGGCAAGTACACGTCAGGCAAGTACACGTCGGGCAAGTACACGTCAGGCAAGTACATGTCGGGCAAGTACACGTCAGGCAAGTACACGTCAGGCCAGTACACGTCAGGCAAGTACACGTCAGGCAAGTACACGTCAGGCCAGTACACGTCAGGCCAGTACACGTCAGGCAAGTACACGTCAGGCAAGTACACGTCGGGCAAGTACACGTCAGGCAAGTACACGTCAGGCAAGTACACATCAGGCCAGTACACGTCGGGCAAGTACACGTCAGGCAAGTACACGTCGGGCAAGTACACGTCAGGCAAGTACACGTCAGGCAAGTACACGTCAGGCAAGTACACGTCAGGCAAGTACACGTCAGGCAAGTACACGTCAGGCCAGTACACGTCGAGCAAGTAACACGTCAGGCAAGTACACGTCAAGCCAGTACACGTCGGGCAAGTACACGTCAGGCAAGTACACGTCAGGCAAGTACACGTCAGGCAAGTACACGTCAGGCCAGTACACGTTGGGCAAGTACACGTCAGGCAAGTACACGTCGGGCAAGTAAACGTCGGGCAAGTACACGTCAGGCAAGTACACGTCAGGCCAGTACACGTCGGGCAAGTACACGTCAGGCAAGTACACGTCAGGCAAGTACACGTCAGGCAAGTACACGTCAGGCAAGTACACATCAGGCCAGTACACGTCGGGCAAGTACACGTCAGGCAAGTACACGTCGGGCAAGTACACGTCAGGCAAGTACACGTCAGGCAAGTACACGTCGGGCCAGTACACGTCAGGCAAGTACACGTCAGGCAAGTACACGTCGGGCAAGTACACGTCGGGCAAGTACACGTCAGGCAAGTACACGTCAGGCAAGTACACGTCAGGCAAGTACACATCAGGCCAGTACACGTCGGGCAAGTACACGTCAGGCAAGTACACGTCGGGCAAGTACACGTCAGGCAAGTACACGTCAGGCAAGTACACGTCGGGCAAGTACACGTCAGGCAAGTACACGTCAGGCAAGTACACGTCAGGCCAGTACACGTCGAGCAAGTACACGTCAGGCAAGTACACGTCAAGCCAGTACACGTCGGGCAAGTACACGTCAGGCAAGTACACGTCAGGCAAGTACACGTCAGGCAAGTACACGTCAGGCCAGTACACGTTGGGCAAGTACACGTCAGGCAAGTACACGTCGGGCAAGTAAACGTCGGGCAAGTACACGTCAGGCAAGTACACGTCAGGCCAGTACACGTCGGGCAAGTACACGTCAGGCAAGTACACGTCAGGCAAGTACACGTCAGGCAAGTACACGTCAGGCAAGTACACATCAGGCCAGTACACGTCGGGCAAGTACACGTCAGGCAAGTACACGTCGGGCAAGTACACGTCAGGCAAGTACACGTCAGGCAAGTACACGTCGGGCCAGTACACGTCAGGCAAGTACACGTCAGGCAAGTACACGTCGGGCAAGTACACGTCGGGCAAGTACACGTCAGGCAAGTACACGTCAGGCAAGTACACGTCAGGCAAGTACACGTCAGGCAAGTACACATCAGGAAGTACACGCCACACTACTTACCGAGAGGAATAACCAGCCGCCTTCGTCGCTCGTTATTCCGGTCATAAATGGGACCTTTTGAACCTCGTGATTACGGTACAGATCGTTCACAGGTTTGGTCAGGAACTGTCCGTCTACTGTTATCGTGAATCTCAATTCCTGAATCTATAAAAGTGGAATGAAAAAAAGATACATGTTTTTATCTTTTCTGTTTTTCTTTTTCCAGTTTCTCTGGTTTCTGAATACAATCGGAAAAACATTTTACATTTAAAATGCGAAACAAATAATAGAAATGAGCTGACTACCGTGCTGCTAAGTCGTTACTGTTATTGTAAATTTAACTAACTTTTTAAATAGCCAGAAGCCAATCCGTTTAGACCAAATTGTATACTTTGCCAAGTTACAATGATGGTGATCAAAATTCTGTGTTTAATATCAAGCTAAAACAACATACCTCTGCGAGTTCCACCATTTTCTGGACGTCAAGATTTCTCATGCAGTCACTAATACTTTCTGTACTTTCAATGTTGCAGCCAGACATGTTTGCTGCCATCTGGAAAACAGTTTGATGATATGAGAGGTTCATTCATTGTTTTGGAAAGATTCAAAACAGCAGTCATACTATATTGTAAAAATACCAACCTGCGCACTGGTCATGGGATCCACATGCAGTAATTCAAAGATCGCAGCGGTACCACTTTGTGCAATTGCATGGTGGAACAATCCGTTTGTCATGGGCGAGAGGAGCTGCTCAATTATACACAGGTCAAATTATGTGATGTCATTCTAAATTTTGAATCATAAACAATCAAAGCAGATAACCTACCAGAAAAGACACGCTCATCCCTCCGGCAGACTCCCCGTATATAGTGACCAGATCTGGGTTCCCTCCAAAATTGTGGATGTGTTTTTGCACCCACTTCAGGGCCTCTACCTGATCCAAAAGACCGTAATTTCCAGCCATGTCTTTTTCTCCTGTGCTGAAAATCAAGGTGATAAATTATAACCTGGAAACCGTTCATTACATCTTCAAATCTTCATTACATTATCATAAAATATTCTTGAAATGTAAATAGCCAAAAACATCGACACAGAGCTCAAATTTGGACTCATGAGATTTTCCAATTAGTACACGGTAATAAAATGTTCACATTCAGATATGACTAATAGTAAGGCTTAAATTGCCTGGCATACACATGCTGGTAAGCGGTTTTATGACTAAGATAATTCTATATTTACTGCAGAATGAAATAAAAATGTGGTTACAACCTGTTTCAAATCAAACAACCCAATGTGTGTAACAAGTCCTGGAAACCCTGGAAACACCCAAATGATATGTTACCTACAGCTCATATGTTTTACCTGAATAATCCCAGAAGTCCTAAGCGATACTGTATCTGCACCACGACCACATCTTCGTAGGCAGCCATTGCAGAACCGTCATATGAAGAAGCCGCACCCATCACAAACGAACCGCCATGGATCCAGAACATGACCTGAGACGAGCCAGACCAAAGTCACATCCAATTACGCAGAAGATTAAGATTATGATTAAGATTAAGAAATCCTCTATTCGTCCCATAGTAGGGAAATTTTTTGCATCATCAGTTGAATAAGGAGCACACAGCACAAGTGAATGAGATAGATAGATACTTTTTGATCCCCTTTGGAGAACTCTATACTATAATAAAAAATAAAAAAATGAAATTTAGCATAATGAAGAGGCAAGTATAAAATCGTTGACTTCAGCATAATAAAGCTGGAAGTATAAAGTCTATATCTTTAGCCTAACAGAGAAGCAAGATTAAAATACAGTATGTTCTAGTGCACGAAACATATAGCTGTATGTATACATCTGCACATGTTAGCAGCATGAGTATATGGGACAAAGTGAAGGTGAAGAGACTGTTGACACATGTGGTTCTATATTGCACACTCTGACATTGTTCAAATTATTGCACACATGCACAACATGTATGATCCATATGATGCATGTTTTGCTGCTGCTTCTTACTGGTAATTTGGCATCAGGTGCTCTGGTGGCAGGAGTGTATATGTTGAGGTAGAGACAGTCCTCGGAAATGTCTTGGACTTTGACTTTCAATCCGATTTTAGCGTACAAGTCTTCTGTCAATGCCTTAACTTGAATACACCTGGGTCGAGAGAGAGAGAGAGAGACAGACAGTTAATGGAAAGTCTGTGTTGATTGCAGTTCCTGAAAATTGAATCTTGCATTGGAGGCTGTTGAGTGGCATCTCTCACTCCTTCCCATGATTCCACAGGCTGAGGTGGGGCCAGTCTGAGAGCCGGGCCCAAAGGCGGCTTGGCAAATGGAACGCCCAAAAAGGCATGTGCGCCAGTCTCTTTGCCCTTCACCGACACAAAATCACCTTTCAGACTGCCCAGGGCTGTTTTTACAACAAGATCTGTAAAGATATAACAGTGAAGAATAATATCAATTGCTTATTTTTAAGATAGTTTCTAGAAAAAGTGTTCACATTTTGTTTCATCAGGACCACAAACATGAAGATATTGTGATTAATAATTAACAAAGTGGCAGACAATTGCGATGTGAAAGCAAAAATGTTATTGCATTACATTCAAAAGTATTCAACCCCAGTGAGTCAAGAGATGTGATGGAAACGTCAATTTCTACAATTACAAGTGCATGTCTCCATAACCTTTGCATATCTAGGATTTTATTTTATTTTTTTCATTCTTTGTTGCAAGCTCAAACTCTGTCAGATTCGCTGGAGGATTATAGATTGAAGCTTGGAAAAATCTTTGTTTAACTGAACCTTTACTTCTCCAGCATTTCATCCTTGACCTGTATGATGTATTCTTTGGGATTTATGACACTGAGGTCATCACAGAACAACTATTATTAAACTGAGATTAGATTAACTTGGGTGCACTCGGAGGAAAGGTAATGAGTTAATTTACAAGCCACTATAGCTGAGGCCTGGGAGTATCTTTAAGGTGTCATTGTTGTTTCTGGATTGAGATGTTTTTCATCGATGGCCACAGACACCGCTGACACCTTATCGTTTTATTTGTTTGTTTGGATGGAACAGTGTGCATGAATGAACAGGATCCAGAAGCTGTAAATACACCAGGTTTTAGTCTTTTGAAGCTCATTGTAGTCCCACAGTCATTCTCCCTCCAGGCCTTCTCCAAACTTTCTCTGAGCCAAGGGTATTTATTCCATTCCTTTTCCCTGGTGTTGCCATCACTTGAGCTTTCCTCTGCTCTTTGTCAGCCAGTGCAACTCCTCTCTAAAGTCAAATGTTCTGTTCTCTATAACCCAACCCACCCTCTGTGTCAATTATTACAACTATATGGAACATAATACATCAGAAAGGAAGTGATATTCTCAAAGCCCTATGTTTACACATTACCTTCATCATCAATCTTGAAATGATCTCTCCAGTGTTTATTTAATTGTTCATAGACATGAACTAATTTAAAAAAGCCTTTTTTAAATTGTGTTGCCCTTACAATCACAAGATGGCCACCCATGGGCTATGACTGCATACTGTACCAAGGCCTCAGTCTAGCCAATCAAATATTATTTGTTTGGACCTTCTTTGTATTGTAACTTTTAAAATTATAGTTATGATGATGATGATGATGATGATTATTGTTATTATTATTATTATTATTTTAACTTGATATCCAGCAATGAATCAAAATGTGGCCGCTCGAACTGATGTTATTGAAAGGGACCAAGCTGATGTGTAATAAAGAAAGTTGAAAGAAGACGTTTTCTCTTTGTGTATTAATGTGGAGTAAACTATAACATAAATCTAATGGAAATACATTTATTTATAATCAAGTAAGCATTTTGATCTCTCGGTGCCTCTATATAATTATTATTCTTGACTTTGATTGTATTTATTCATCGGGACCATAAGCCTTACATAACACATTGCACAATACTAAAGCAAAAAAAAACAAAAACTCTCTCAAGTACAAACCCAGGAATTTGAAATCAATAACAGAACAACATTAGTATGAGATGAACAGAAGTACTCACCCAGCGGCTCTGTGACGTCACCGTGAGCGTGTAGAAACAGCCCCAGTGTTAAAGTAAGTGTCAGAGCTGTGCAGGGCGTCATGGTGTTGCTGGTGCTACTGTTACTCCTGGAGCAGAACCAGGAAGACTGTTGCCTGCGCCTCTCCTCTTTTTCAGGACCTGAATTAGATAGTCTACTCTACTAATTTTCTATAGACCTTTACCTCTGCCCCACAAGGCTGTTCGTGTGATTGGTCAAAGAAAGGAGTAGCAGAGGTCTTGCATAACTCTTTCTGGTCGTCATTAAAGCCACAGTGCGTAACTCTTTGGAGGTGTACATTATTCTATAGTCAAAACCTCCCCTTGAAACATCCTCTGTCATGGTGGAGAATAACAGCCAAAGTAAAAGCATGAGTCAAGTTTGAGCTCATAGTTAGAAAACAAATACATTGTATACTTTTATACATCTATACCTTTTTCAATTATTCTTTCATTTTCTTCCACTTTATCTGTTGCTGGGTCGCAGGGGCAGCCGTCTAATTGTTTATTTCACTAAGTTTAAAGTGCCAAATTGTTGTTGTGTCCTTAGGCAAGACAAGTCACCCACATTGCCTAGCACAGAGGTCAGGAACCTATGATTCGGGAGCCTGACGTGACCCATTTAATGTCTCCCTCTAAGACATATCTCAGCATTAATAATAAGAATGTTTTGCGCATAGATGTATTTAGTATTAAATTGCATCAAACAAAATAACACATTCTGAGACTAATATTTCACTCTAAATGTGTTGATCTTTTTTTAAAATATGACACAAATTCACATAAAAAAACAAATGGTTCCCTCAAAAATACATTTTAAAGTACAATACATTTGTGGCTCTCTTAGCTAAAAAGTTTGTCGGTGTGTCAGACAACAATTGTTGAATATAAGGTCACAGAGGCCCTGACTCATGAATGCATGCGCCACTATTGTGATAAACATGAAATGAGCATTAATGAAAAATCCAGGAAAGTCGAAGTCCATGCAGACAAACCACCCCAGTACATATTTATTTATATCACACTGGATTGTTTAGAAGTGCACTATGCTAGACATTGCAACAGTTAATAATCCATTATTATTTAGGCACACCGAGCTGTTTTCTTTATTGTGGCACTGGCAAAATGTTTTTAAACCTGGGCAACTACTTTTGACTGTTAAAAGACCTAAATATAACAAAAGCTACACAGCTGTAAAAGACACACCTTCTGTTGGCAGCTATAAATCAATAAATGACATCAAGGTGTTTTACCAGGTTTATTACAAGCTTATATCGTCTTACTGGCAGTTAGTAGTCCAATCTTGAAGAAAAGTCATCTAATGTTAAACAGAAAAACATTGGATACAATTTCTGCAAAGCTTTACATAACAAAACCTGGTTTCACAAACACAACAACTCAATGTTAAGATAATATTATTCAGCTTGGTGTAAAAACAAAATAAAAACGAATGTCTCTGTTAAATATTGTCACATTACCTCTCACTCTCTTTAAATATAAAATATCCATTCCAACTTTTCAGAATGCGTTTTGTTCTGACAGTAATACTTATTAAAATAGAAATAAAGACATACATAAATACAATGTCAGTCCTGTATCCTCCCAATCATCTTCATCAGATACATAAAGTCACAGCCAAAAGTCCAGCATGGCTCGAAAAGCTCCACTCAATTGACGCTCATAAAAAAAATCAATAATTCTTTGTTTTGTCCAGTAGGGGGCAGAAGCACATCACACTTGTTTGTAGCTCAATCTTTTTCAAACCTGGTTCGTTTAGCTTCCTGAGCCTTGACAAAATCAGCCTGTACAACGTATCTGTGTCCTCTTCATCTCTCTGTTAATGTGTCCTTCACGATTCAACAGTGTCTGTGTTTTTTGTGCAAACTTCCACAATAGAGGGGAAATAGTTTGTTAAAAGTATGTTAAAAGTAACTCTGAAAGCGTGGTACTCCTCACACTCTGGAGGTGACATAAAGCAGGTGAAGTCGCTGAGCCAGGGTACTCTCCATTTCATCCAGGGGGCAGTCTGCTCTGTGGCTGTGAGCCGGAGTGGGGGAGGAGCCGTTCCCCTGACGAGGGCCCAGCAGTAGGTTCCTGAAGCCCTCTCTCTCCAACATGGCCGGCATCTGTTGCAGGAAGTAGCCTTCACAGAATGAACGCAGCTCTGACAAACCGTGGGCCTGGAAGAATGAAGAAGACAGAGGTTAATGTACGTACAGGACATATACAAATGCATATATATATTTATTTATTTGAATTTATTGTACAGGACATATTAATCAATGTGTCAGCAATTAACACAATAGCATCCATTGTTCTAAGGCAGGTAGAGAAAAAAAAGAACCACACACACACACACATACACACACCCGTACACACATTTGGACAACACATTAGACAATAGACAAAAAGTAACACGCCAAGTACAAACTAAAAACAAAGAGAGAGAGAGCTATTGTTTAAGGTAATTAACCTTTCTGCTTAATGCTAGGGTTCCTAACTGTGTTCAAAAATAATATGATTTTTTTTTTCCAACAGGAAGGCTAAAAAAACATGCTATCTTTGGCAAACTTGTCCTTCCCTTGCCCTGTGAATCACTATTTGATGCTTTGGACTGAGTGAGTGTGGTCCTCTCTTTTTGAATTATATCTGAAAAGGCTGATTGACCCCAGCTTTAAACGTATCCAGGTAAAAGAGAATGAACACAAGATATAGTGTGTAGACAATGTAGACAAAGATACATAACACATGGCTCATCACGTCATCAGAGGAGACACAGTAACATTTCCGTTCAGTCTTACTTTGGCAGTTTTGTAAATGTTGACTGCATTGTCCAGATGGATGTGCTTAGAGCAGATCACTTCACAATGTCTCTGCAGAGTTCCCAACTTGAATAAACAAGCAGCTGACAGCAACTGAGCAGAAACAAGCAATGTTAGCACAAGATATTTGGAGACATGACTAAAAAATATCATAATAAAGTGCATTTCATTACCTCCAACAAGTCAGGCACATTACTTTTAAGAGCGTCCGTTCCTCCGCAGTACAAGTATGACATCAACATCTGTGGGGAGAGAAAGTTCATAAGAAACTGGGAGGTTGAGCAGCTGAATGGAATTATAAAAATGACTGTATTCTTCTACACAAATTTGAAGTAATTGTGTTTTTGGAAATCTTACCTGGAATGTGTTGTACTTGACATCATTGATATAGATTTCCTTACTGGGACTTCCATCGGAGCTCGGTGACGCCAACAGGGACCGGAATCTGAGAGAACATAGATAATTGTTTGAGAAATGTCATAAAGGAAACATCACAGTACCAAATCTGATGGAATAGCGTGTACCTTTCAGAGGCAGTGATTAAAAGAACTTTGTGGCCGTAGAATGGTTTCCCCTCGACAATAAACGTCACATCAGACATGTCCGGGTTGTTGAGAAAAAGAGGATCTGTTTTGGAAATAGAAGGAAAAAATTGCCATTGGTAATAGTTGATTCAAGATTCAATCATTCATTGTCATTGTCACAAAAACAACAAAATTACATTGTGAGCATCATCGTAATAATACAGCGTGTATAGTGCAGAAGTTGGCAAAAACCACAACTGCAAAAATACGCTAGTATCGAGAGCTTAGGCCACCATCTTATTGAGAATTACAGATAAATTACTACTGATATTTACGGATCCTTTATATTGAGAATTTTAGGTCATTTACTATTGTGATTTCCAGTTAATTTACTCTTGAGATTTACAGATCATGTGAATAATAAAAGTTGTGTTTCTGTACCTAGTTGAGCAGAGAGTGTGGCCTTTATGGCAGCGATGGATGGGAGAGGAGCCGAACCATAGCAGTGACTAAAGATAGATGCAGACTGATGGATAATAGTGTCATTCTGTAAAAAAACAAAAAAAGGTTCAAGATTGAATACAATTGCTGCATGCACACAAGTCAGAACAGTGTCAGAGGTGTTGGATTGAACCTACCTTGGTCGTCCGGAAAATGTTGAACATGAGGGGCAGGCCTTTAGTGACCAGCTCCTCACAGTAGTCTTCTTCTTTGATGGTGGTGAACTCTCTGAGAAGAGACAGAGTGACCCCTGCACGGGACTGCTGCTGGGCACAACGCAGAGACTCCAGCCATACATGCAGTTTCCATGGCACCCCTGGAAAACATATGCTATTAATGTACATGAAGAGGGATGTTCTCAGAGGGAGGACTAACTGTGTACTTTCAGACCTCATTCAAATTTAATATCTGCCCCGGTTCTCTAAGTTCTAAGCCTTCCCTTCTCTACAGGACACTTCATTATCAAGGAGCTCAAAAAATTATCTTCAGGACTTATTTTCTGCACTATTAACACACTCAGATTAAAGACTTTTCAATATGTTCTCTGTGACTGTAATTACGGCAATTATTGTTCTGCACTTTATGGTCCATATATTTTGGTAAAAGTAAACATGCAAGTAAGAATTCACTCGTACAGTTAGAAATATACACGTATGACTATATACTTATTTGATACATTGAGAGAGCCAGCCCCAGCTGTAAGAGCCTAAGATAAGTTTAACATTTTTAAAATCAGAGGATACAGGGCAAGGCTCCAGACAAAAACTTTTTGATGTTGTAAAATCAACCGTCACTTAAAATCTTTTGTCCCAACCGCTATTAGTCTGCTGAAGTATCTGTAGCTCATTGGTCGTATGGACTGTTTGATCTTGTATTGTTGTATTGTGTTCATCTGTTTGTTTGGGCTCCGCTTCATATCACCTTTGTTATTGTTTGACTTTTCTTTGTGCGTTTTCTTTTATGCCCTATGCTGCTCAAATAATGGCCCCTGGTGGAATCTGGTGCACCTATCTTTTTCATTTTCCTGAGTCTCAGAACTAACCAGCCATCTGATCTACAGTATGTCATTTCCTTGTACTTGAAAATACAATGACGAGAATTTACCTATTTTTATTGTACACCTTCCATTTCAATTCAAATTATTTTTGTATAGCCCTAAGATCCAACAGTAGTTAGTAGATACAAAGCTGTGAATTCACCAACACAGATCAGAGAATCATACAGTTCCAACACAAAAAAATGCAATGATAAAAAAAACACATAGACCCATTGGTCCATAAGGGGCAGATGACCAATGTCCATTAATGTTGATGAAGTTCATACATGCACATTTGAGCTGTTGCTTTCATGCAGCACTTTGTAAACAGTTTATAAAAAACGTGTATTGTGTGAGAGTCTGTGTGAATCACCACCGTACCCATAGCACGCAGCTCCATGGTGACATCCAGGTATCCATGCTCCGCGCTGTAGTAGCTGGCCTCTTGCAGCGCCTTCATCCGTGCCTTACAGAGCTTTGGGACGCCGCCCTCGGGAAGCGGGCCGGGCCCAGAGGATGGGGTCTGCAGGGGGGACAGGGGGAGAAACGGACACCCTTCCTCCACCCCCTCTGCCAGGATCTCCTCCAGGGACAGGACGTCCTCTTTCACCTGCTGCGGCTGAGTCAGGAGCTTCCGCAACACGTTCCTGAAGAAACCGAAACAACAAGAGAAGCAAAGGGATTACAACATGGTTCATGGCGTCACGGAAATATCTGGAATTGACAGGGAAACCCACTAAACATCCGACGTCCACTCAACCTCCAGATCACGTCAAAATCGCGTCGGTCGGTCGTGACCTTTTATTTACGTCCAAACGACGTCTGTGCAAGGTGCGCATCTGGACGTAAAACAATGACCTCCCATATACGTAGATATGACGTTCAATCCCGACCTCCCCTAGACGTTGAAAACAGGTCATCGGCCGACCGACGCAGTACGTCTTGATCTAGCAATACAATATATAGGCTGTGAAGCAACCCAAGTGTACCTGACGGTAGTGTAGTGGTTAAGCAAATGTGTGCAGCCTCGGTTACGTGAGTTCGAGCCCACGTGTGTGTATTATTATCTTTACATATTTGTTTTGATTTTTAACGAACAATTTTTTTCTGTTTGGTTAAAGACTAATAAACATTCAACATAGGATTACGTAGTGGCTAATAATAAAACTTGTGAATGTATGCATTTGTTGTGCTAACAATCTCAAGTTTGCAAATAAGGGGTGAGCACTTGAGATTTTATGCAAATGCATGGGTTCACAAGTTTTATTATTAGCCACTACATAATCTTATGTTGAGTGTTTATTCGTTTTTAACCAAACAGAAAAATTGTTTGCTAACAAGTGAAAAGTCAAAAGTTTTCCGACGGAGATTTGAACCTGCGTCGTTGCGACTGAAGTCTCATTACGCAACCGCTACACCACGGCCAGGCATGTTTCTGACTACTGTGAAAAAATAATAGATAATACCCTAAACAACCGACGCACACTTGTGCGCCGCGCGAGTATAACTTAGGCTTTACAGCCTGACACGTGAGTCGCTCGGTCGAGGACCTGTTTTCCACGTCTAAACGACGTAAGGTGTGCATCTGGACGTAAAGCAATGTCTTCCCAGACGTTGATATGACGTTGAATCTGTACCTCTGTCGCTGCCCTGCTTTATTTACTTGGAATCACCCTCTCTAGTAAGTACACAGTCTGCACAGTTTTATGATATAGATGTATCATTTCCACATTGAAAAGAGTTGGAGACAGAAACTCAGTTGTTTTCTCACGTATACGTGGATTTTGTTAAGTATATTTTGTATATTATCTGTATTTTGAATTGCCAGTGCATGAATCTATAATAATAACGGCTGGCACTGCTCAGCTGAAAGGGAGACACCTTTTTTTTAGTTTTTAAGTTAAAGTTTAAAATATGATATTGTTTTTCATATTTCAAACTATTTTTAACACATTAAAATTCTTAGGTTAGACTGTCCAACAAAGTATGTGTTAAAAAAGGTTAAGATTCTTGAGTTTTAAAATAATAATTCAATTCTAAAATGTAAAGTTACTGTATATTTCACAATGGTTTATAAACTGCAAAAAGACAACAGTACTTAGTAAACTAAGTTTAAAAACAGGGAGATCAGCTTTACTATTTGGGACACTCCCATCATTTAGACACCTGTGATGTCATCAGTTGGAGTTGAGTTCAGGTGTGGGACCATGTGGGACCATGTGGGACCATAGGAGCACACAGATGTTACCTGCTGCAGAAAGAGAGTTTAATGTTCATGTATTGCTTTGTTTAATAAATGGACTTAACGTCTTCCCAGGTCTTCAATGTCAGAGACTTTCACTTCTTCTCACTGTGGCTGTTTAAATGAGCCACTACAGTTGTTATTTTTGTTATTGTTAGCTGCAAATATTAAATATCCATTCATCTGCTGGTAGCAAGCTAACTAGCGCTTGCAACTCTATTCAATTTCTTACTTTTTCTTATAAACTTTAAAACCAGCCATATGTTAATTAAAATACATTTACCTTTGCTAATGCAGTCAATTATTGTGAAATCCATAGAGTATAATTTCATGATTGTTGCAATAATTAATGTTCTGTGTGTATTCCTAATGTGTCATGTGTGTTTGAGTCTTACAGGTGTCAGACTGTGTTAAAAGGTAAGAATCACACTCTCACACATTGATTGTTGTTCTGTATTAATATGTTGTTTTTAGAATAAACCATTATTTGGTGTATTCTCTTTGAAAACATCTATCTTTTTCTCAGATTGTTCAGCAACTCACTCAAGATGAGGGAAAAGAGCAACAAGGGGAAAATGCCCCCTCGGAAATGCAACATGTGTAGAGTAATACAGGGTAAGTAGCTTTCAGGGCTCATTTGTGTCCATGTGCAAAACAAATGCATATTTGCAATTGTTTTTTACATGGAATTACTCCAATGACCAAAGCCTTATCCCAAGTTTCTCAGACTGAGTGTCTTCCAGTGTCTCGAGCTAGTGCAGTGCCAAGGATTGTATCACATGGTGATGGATCGAGTGGTTTGAGGCATTAATAGAAAGTTATGTGTTATATCACTTTGCCACATTACGTTGAAACTAAACATGTTCCACATTTTCAGGTGCTGTGCTTGGACCTTGTGATGAGAGACTGAAGACCAAGAGAGGACACATGTTGGAACCTCAACATTCAATAAATGCAAATTCTTCTGCCTTTCAGATTGTGTTTTTACATCTGGGGAACCTAGAGTGTAGCTTGTGCCTGTTTTAATACTGATCCAAACATAGGCGCTACAATCATGTTTTTTTACTTTGGCATGAACTGTTCAGTACAGTAGTGTTCATAACACTGTGCCCTGTGTGGATTAACTTGTACTTTGATGTAGAGAAACATGATTTTTAATGCAGCTCCATTTGCAATAATGACTGATATCCTTCTACTACAGTTGTTCTAATGATTTTTGAATGCTGTGTTTATCGTTTATTGCCCAGAGTCAGAACTAAACATGATAAAGCTGCATTTCAGATTCACAAGGCTAAAATCTGGAACGGTCTTCCTGGAAATGTGAGACAGGCTTCTTCTTTGACAATGTTAAAATCCAGGTTTAAAACACTTCTGTTTCTGCTTCAACTGAGAGATTTTATGAGAGATTTTATTTGTATCTTTTTAATTTACTGTCAATATTTATAATTGTAATGCCTTGTTTGATTGTTTCTATCTTTTGTTCAGTGCTTTGAGTTTCCTTTTGTTTTGACTGTGCTATACAAATAAACTTGCCTTGCCTATTGCAAAAAGTATGTCTCGACCAGTGAGTGATTCTGCAGAGGTTAAGTAGGTCAATAGGACTGTAAATGGACGTTATATAAACGTCAATATTTTGGTCATATAAGACGTCGAGAGGACGTCGGACCCGACCGGTTCTGTACCACATTGCAACCTTGAATGAAGTGGCCGCGACGTCATTTGAACGTCCAGATAACGTCCAGATGATGTTGAAATGACATAGTTTTGACATCTGCTTGCTTAGTGGGAACAACGGAAAACGAACGTCATATGAAGGCAATATTTTGGTCATATAAGACGTTGATAGGACGTCGGACCCGACCGGTTCTGTACCACATTGCAACCTTGAATGAACGTCCAGATGACGTTGAAATGACATAGTTTTGACATCTGCTTGCTTAGTGGGAACGACTGAAAACGAACGTCATATAAACGTCAATATTTTGGTCATATGAAACGTTGATAGGACGTCAGACCCGACCGGTTCCGTACCACATTCAAACCTTGAATTGACGTGCCATCAACGTAACATTTGGAGGTTGAGGTGACGTCGGGAAACGACGTCGAGAAAACTTTCATTCTGCACCCACCAGTGACCTATATTCTACGTCGGACAACGACGTTCAAATTACGTTGATTCAACGTCGGCTTGCTTAGTGGGAATATACAACATTTATCTAACAGCCAAAGAAGGAGGGTCTCTAAGAATATGAGATGGTTTGGGACAGCTGTTTGAATCATTCATTATTTAGTATTTTTGAGTAATGACCGTTGATTGAAACTCTTGTAATTGACAAATCAAAAAGACCCTAAAACGACTGTTGTTGTCACATTGGGCTTGAGGCTTGAGAAAAATGCATTAATTCGGTCAATAGTCAAGTCCCTGAAAAAGTTTAGAAACTGTATGCATTTTGGGAAATGTTGTGGGAAAAAAAACATGTACTGTATATATTTGTTACAGAAAACTTTGTCTCAGCTTGAAGCCCTGAACATATCCTATACATACTTTATACCAAATTGGCTTGAAGTGATGTAAAGTTGGGCTACTGAATTTGTAAACCTCAGCAAATGTAATAAAATACATCTAACTAGTTTATCATTCTCAAAACAGTTATGGCTATTTCACAATTTTTCCTATGCATATTCTTTGGTCTTTGTGACAAATCAGATTTTTTTTCAAACAGAAAACAGAAAAATACAACAAAAAGTCAATCAGCTCTCAACCCAAAGCGTCAAATAGTGACTCAGAGGGTTAATTTTGTTATAAGTGTGCAAAATATATAAAATAAATGATCTCTATTAAGATAAAAACAGCATGTTGTGGTCCAATTTTCAATTTTTGTTGTTGCAAAACTCAAAATGCATTATTCATAAAAACCTGTTAGCTATCCCAGCTTTCAATATGTTATAATTCTTTTATTAGAAATTCTTGAATGATTGAAAGATTCTCAATTGGCAGATGAAAGCAATTGAGAATCTTATATATATTTTTTCATGTATAGAAATTAACTCAAAAAATGTACAAAAATCTTATTCCAAGAAATGTGTGTGTTAAAGCCATGTATGGGACGTTCTCTGATCCGTCAGCTGCAGCAGAATGCGCCATGTTGAGTCTTCACACATCGGAACAGTAAACAGTAGTGATGGCAATATGAAGCCCCATGAAGCCTTGAGGGTTTGCAGCCTATTACTCGGCCCATGAGTCGAAGGCTCGCGGTGAAGCATGCTCCACTACGCCATCATGTGGACAAAGAAATGTAATACATGCCAAGGGCCTATAACAAATGGTAGGGTCTGAACATGGGCTGAAAGAATACAGCCAATGATGTGGAGACAGTTGTTATGTAAAATGTGCTTGTGTTACTTTGTTTATGTAAGTGCTTATGCAACTATTGACAGGAGTTGAAAAACAAACAATACAGTTATTCATTTTTATTCAAAAATAATAATTTTTCAAGAGTATTTGGACTCAGGCGATTTCTTTTTTTGCACAGTATTTCACCTGCCTTTGAAAAAACCCGTTCACAGGGCACAAGAGGATGCAGGTGAACATAAATATGTAATAGCAAGTTTATATAAATTTGGAAATGTAAACTTATGTTTGTCCCAATATTGAAGGGGACTTTCGAGTCGAGGAATATTTGGCTCCCCCAGGTATGTTTGGACCTCCACTGTAGCGTTGGCAGTTATGTTTGGGGTTTTGGTCTGCTGGCATGTCGTGTCAAAACGTTGCCACAGTTTGCTCCCTAAAACAGAATAAACAGGTTATGAGTGACTTATTAGCACAAATAGAGTATACATATTACCTTCAGCTACAGATGATGAAGGTGGTGATGATGATGATGATGATGATGATGATGATGATGATGAAGCAGAAGCGGACAATGAACGTCTCAAAACTCGAGCACATTCGTCAATCAATCTTTTTTCAGCTTCTGCTGCCTTATTGGGGTTGAAGAATCCAATCTTTTTAAATCTGGGATCAAGCAAGGTAGAGAGGGACATGATGCTCATTGATTGGAGGTGGCTGAGCTTGTCCCTCAGTTGGCTTCGCAAATACTCAGCCATGTCTCTGCTCTCAGGTGTTTGGATATGGCCGATCTCCTCTTCTTCCAGAGCATTATGGAGAATGGTCAAAAGTGGAACTACTTTTGACCCAGAGACACTTTTCTCCTCGGACACCTCAATTGTGGCATAGTAGAACGGAGCGAGCACCTTCAGACAGTCTGCAATGATGTTATATTGTTCTGCTGAGATTTGTGTAATGTCTGTACGGAGCCCAGCCAAAGCTGCTCCAACAGGCTCTCTCAGGTTGAACAGACGCTGAAGCATTAAGTATGTGCTGTTCCATCTTGTATCCACCTCTTGAATAAGTTTAAGCACGGAGAGACCCATTTGTGATTGGATCTGTGTAAGTCTCTCCTATAAAACAGTCAACATATTAAAACAGTGCAGGAGCAGAAATAATAATTGACATATTACAAGTAAGGACCTTACCTTTGCAGTAGTGCTGCTCTTAAAGTATCCTACTATCTTACGACAGTTTGTCCTGATGTCACACAACACAGGACTTTGGTTGAGAGCTTTTTTGATCATTAAGTTAAGCGTGTGTGCCACACAAATTGTATGACGCAGATGCAGCTCTCGAGCACAAGCTCCCATATTCGCAGCACCATCAGTCACCAGACATGTCACCTTTCCTGCTAAACCCCACTCTGACATAAGAGAGGTCATCACTCTCGCTAGATTTGCTGCTGTATGTGCCTCAGGGAAATGCTGCACCCCAAGGACAACAGTCTGCAGAGAAGTGCTCTCGTCAATAAAATGACCAGTCACTGCAAGATAGGCATCAGTGTTGATGGAGGTCCACATGTCTGCTGTTAAACTAACAGCAGATGCAGAAGACACCACCACTTTGGCCTTGTCTTTGGCTTCCCTGTATCTCTTCTCCACCATGGCTTTCAAAGTCTGAAAAAAGTAAAGTCTTGAAATAGTGGATCTGAGGATAATAAATTGTTAATAGTTCACATAAATACCTGCCGCGTGGGAAGAACACAAGATGGTGCCAAAGCTTTCACAAGCTTTCGGAAGCCAGTTCCCTCCACAATGGAAAAGGGCTGGGAATCCTCAATCACCATATCCACCAACGCCTCAGTCAAGTCAACCATCTCAGCTGAAAGAAAATGCACATTAGGGTTAGAAATGTATCTAATGAACAAATACATTCAAATAAAATATATTTAGTGTAATTGTAGGACAATCATCAATTATTATCATGATATAAAATGGCCTACCCGAGACAGGTTCACCTGGGTTGGAATCCACAATGCTATGCAAGGCACGATAGTGCCTTAGCATAGCTGAGGTGTTATTATTATAACCCAGTTGTTTGGAGCATAACAGACACTTCACCTGCAATTGAAAAAACTATTATTCAAACGTATTTATAACAGAGAAAAGTGAGCAAGAGAAATTATGTGTTGTCATATTTGTGTAATCTATTATTACAGAATTATTGATATGCCTTACCTTACTAGGTGAGATCTGCTCAAAGTGCTCCCAAACTGGAGAAAATCTTCTCTTTCTTGCCGGTTCCATCGCAAAAAAGAAGCTCAAATAGGATGCCAAATAGGATGCCAAATGAGAAGCGCAATAACCCAAAAACACACAAAGTGATGAAGGGGAATCCATTGCGTTCACTCGTCCCTTTTATTTCGAACCGCGCTCCAAACCAACGAATCATTTCCTGAATCAGTCACGTGGTACGGCCGTTCGCGAGGCTTCGAACGTCATCACACACGTGACCAATACACGCCTCGACCCACACTTCACAAGAAACGCCCCCAGATTACTCGGTCCACGCTTCGAAGACTCGGTCCGCTCAGCACATCACTAGTAAACAGGTGGTGATGTTAAAGCTACAGCAGTTGGTGCCCTCTGACAGATGGGCCCAATATAGAAGAACATTCTGAGCAAATTCCTCTTTTCAGCACATGATTAAAGAGATGTTTTTCCTCCTAAAAGCTGACAGGGGAGCTGTGTGACATTACACTGATGGTCTGAGCTTTTTTGCTTGTGTATGAAGCGGCCTGTCAGAGCTGTCTGTTATCCCGGATACGTGGAGGCGTGATGTACCTGTGTCCGTGGGCCGCTGCGTGACTGAAGCAGTTCATGTCCTCGTACAGCGATGATGTCAGCGCGTTTCCATCGTGAGTCTTTGACAAAGGGTCAGCGCCTCGGGCAAGAAGCAAGCTCACCATCTCATAGTTCCCTGGGAATAACATCCAGAGCAGGTATAAACTAAATGTAGCCAGATTCAAACCAACAGCATAGGAACCTTTTTGAGTTTTCATGCAGCGGGCTGATTAGTGATATACTCTCCTTCTATGACAAAATTCTAGACATAGCAGAAAAAATAATCTTATTTTGGGAGAGGTGTTCAAGAGCATGATTCCCGAGTGATGATATATAGGTTTGCACTAAATAACTTGGGAGATTCAAGTTGAAACTGAAATAAATGGGGGATACAGAAGCGAAACAACTAGTCTGTAACATCGGCCCCTACGACCACCACCAATCACTCACTCACTCACTCACTCACTCACTCACCAGACTTATAGGCAATGTGGATGCAGTGTCTTGTCTAAGGATACAACAGTTTGGCACTTTACAGAGAAAAATCCGCAAAGCTATCCTGCTCCCAAGTGTCTTTTACGAACAGACCACAAAGTTACTTCACATAGCTGTGGGGATTTTTGTACCCAGCACTCTAGTCCAGGCTACTTTACAAAGGTCTCCCATCTTAGTACTAACCAAGCCCTTCCCCACTTTGCTTCTTTAATATGACGGGATCAGACTTTCACATGCATTATTCAATTCAATTATACTTTTGTTTTCTCATTCCATGTCAGAAATGTCTGTTTTAGTGTTAATTTAAGTACAATAGCACATTTTTGCTTATTCCATCTACTGTACGTACTGTACTTTAACGGCACTTATAAATGTTTGTTGCATTGCTTTGCCTTTTGGAACCATTAACTGCTCTGATTAAATTAAATATAACCAAATTACCATCCACAAATGTCCCGGTAACATGCTGTCTTCATTGTTAGATTGTAGATTATTTGACTGGGACAGTGCATGTTAATGAAGACGCCTCTCTTGATTGTGGATTGAACTCATGCAGACACAGGGAGAACATGCAAACTTCACACAAATAGACCAGAAATCAACCTTCTCACTGTGAAGCAGGGGGCGCTCACTGCTGTGCCAGAGAACTTTACATCTTGGTAAAACATTACAGCCACGAAAATTGGATCTCATTGTAAGAGCAAAAGAGAGCTATGTTTACCCCCCTCCAGTCAGAGAGTAATCAGTGTTTGTGTGAGTGCCCACCTGCTGCTGAGGCCAGTTGCAGCGGGGTGTCTGCCATGTTCTCTTGCCCATTCCTCACCGCTGCTCCCTCCACGTTGGCCCCGGCATCTAACAAAAGCTGCAGACACAAACCACATCTGTTCATTCACGGCCTGACCCCGCGAACCCGCATTTGTCACTTCACTTTTCTTTTCCACAACACGTTTAGCCCCATGTCTAGGGATTAGCGACGACAGCTCTATCCAGTGTGCGTGCCGTGCGTATATACAGCGGTCAGAGAGAGAGAAAGAGTGTGGTGTGAAATGTATGCAACTACATTATGAACATGTATCAACATTTATGGACATTAGTCATCTTACGGACTAATGGCCCTATGTCAATGCATTTCCTGTGTTTGAACTGTTTGATTCTCTGATCTGTGCTGGTGAATTCCACAGTTTTGTAATTGAATTGAAATCCCACCTGTACAACTGAGATGTGGCCGTGCAGGACCGCGAAAGTGAGGGCTGCCCAATGCCGGCTGTCTGGGTGAACCGAGGGGTGCTTAGGTGAACATGGAGGGACCTGTGGAGAGGAGGAGATGCATAAGATGTACAGTACATATACTGTATGTTTATATAATACTCCTATTCTCAGCTGCTAAAGTACAATACATCACACACAAAAAATCAATGCAAGAGTTACAGTATATATTTATTATGTTAGTATTTATAATTTAATTATCTATTATCTATTATCTTAAATAATACATGTTTGATGTGTACAACCTGAATTATCTTATTTCAACTTTTTATTCTGCTGTAATACGCGCAATGATGACATTGAAATTTCCCAACTCTAAGACGGATAAAAGTTTATCTTATACAGAATTGACTAAAGTTACAATGAATAATGAAGCAAGTGCGTTGACTTACAGGGACGTCAGGGTTAGCTCCAGCATCGAGCAACATCTGCACCAGAGCTTCATCTCCAGCAGAACAAGCGTACATCAGTGGAGTCATCCCCTGTGCGAACACCGGAAATTATGAGATTCACAGTGGAATACTGACTGTTAGCATTGTCCTTTTAATATCAGTGTACAGACTTTATCCTCTGGATTGTGAAGCTTACAATAATTGTAATTTATTATCAATTATTGATAATCTACCCAGAACTTTAGCTATACTTCTATGCAGAGGCCGGGTACCTTTTTAGCTGAGATTCAAGAATTTAGATTCACAAATGTATTTGTATTTCTGTGGGAGCCATACCATTTCTCTTATCTCTGAATATGTTTTTAAAAACAAGATCAATGCATTAGTCCCAGAATGTATTATTTTGTTTTGTGAACCTTTTTCATACTGAAGAAATCCAATTCATAAAATATTCTCACTATTATTGTCTACAAAGATTTGTCTGAGAGCCAGGCACACTCCTCAAAAGAGCCCCATTTGGCCCCGATTAGGGTTGCCAACCGTCCCTTGAAATACGGAATTGTCCCGTATTATAGAAAAACTATGTGCGTCCCGTATTGAACTGATACGGGACGGCTTTTGTCCCGTATTTTCAGAGCCACCTTAAATGCATCACTCACTCACTGCATGTCACAGGCGCGACACACGCACACACAGTAATGATCACAGTTTAAGCATCTACCTTTCGGCCAATCAGGGTCAAATCTTGGCTTGATCACAGACGTTGGTTTAATGTTGACAATCGCCAGCCTGGGCCGTGCCCGCAGCATCATCACAGTAGAAGTTTGGTAAAGTAGCGTCATTTTCCCAGATTCGGACTTCTGCGGTCAATAGCTCACGAAAGCTACTTTGTTAAAAAAAGTAATTGTGCTAAAATGATTATCTCTACGTTGAATCCAGTGCGCTGTTTTAATGCAGAGAAATCCTTTGAATCCAATGCACTGCAAGCGCCTAGAAAAGCACTTAGGGACCGTCAACAAATGTCCAGACCAGCTGTAAACGAACAATAGCTTTTACTGAAGCCACAAACCTGCAGTACCTGCACAAAACTCTCAGACAATATAAATAATGATGACCATATCGAACTGCTACAGACTTTGATTTGTGAGTTTTTTTAATGAATACATATGTTTTTCTTTTTATATTTGCTTCTACAGAAATTGGTCTTTACTGTAACATTCATAAATAATGTATGTTACAGTATTTGTCTTTTTTATATTTTTTTTATTACTAATAAGGATGCATTAAGTCCTTAACCAGCCAAAGAGTTCCACCTATTTATTCAATTTCATTTTTGACTAAGGATTTTTTTTATTTTTTATATGTATTCAATAAATTACAATCTAAAAACTGTGATTATGAAATTCCATGATTACTGTGTAGACTGAAATTAGGACTAAAAAGTGCTCAACCCGATCCACCCAAATGATGTCCCTTATTTTTTTGTTCTCAAGTTGGTAACCCTAGCCCCGATCCATAAGTTCCTGACCCCTGTTTTAGTGCAATGAACATATTATTTCACCCCTTCTGAGAAAAATATTTACGTTGTACAACCAATAACTGAACATGTGGAAGTTACATGCTAAAACCTCAAAACAGATTTTTGCACATTTGTGTGTTTTTGCAAACGAACCCATCAATAGAGATTTTCCTTGATCAACATCAGAACTATAGGACTACGTAGTGAATGTAGTGGAAATTCAATTATTTGTACTGTATAATATGTTGTCATGATGGAACTGGGATAAACTATTGTAGGTTTAAGTACCTGGTCATCCATGCTGTTAACTCCGTCGGCCCCCAGCAGACCGATGGCTTGACCAATCAGATCCGTCCGTCCACAGTTGAGCATCCGGAAACCCAAATCCAGATGGAACTTATCTGTGGCCGCTTTCGAGTCCAAACGCTTAAAAGAGCTGAAACAACACTCCGGCCTGAGAAGGAAGCAGAGAGGGAAAATAAACACTCACGGGTCACTCAGCTTTATTCATAACACAAAGGTTAATTTGGGTTGCTTGTCCGCTTTTGTTGGGAATCTTTTATAATGTATGAGAAGTGTGGAGCCATAACAGGTGTTAACCAGGCTGATGAAAGAGCATAGAACTTTGCCAGACAGAGGCACTCCATCAGAATGAGAAATGTCCTCTGCGGAGCTTTTGACAGAGTGTAGAACATATGAAAGAGGTTGTGTTATATTTACTTCAGTTGTCTCGGCTCGCAGTCCAGTCCGGGCAGCAGCAGTCTGGCCGTCTGTCTCACGTCATCACTGTCCACCAGCAGACTTCTGCGGTGCTCGGCGTGAACGATGGCCACGCGGATCCACTCCATCAGCGGCGGCAGCAAGAGAAACGGCCTGTGAGAAAGCAGTTTGTTATGAGTGTGCATCATGGATCTGGTGTGCTTTTACAGCTTATGATATTATACAGCTATTCAATAATATAGGTTTAAAAAATACAACAATATTTACAAAAATAATGTTGATTTTGAATAGTCAATCAACTGCATTTGATAAAGTGTCTGTGCTAATGCCAGATTGATCTCAAAGTATTTTCTCTTTTGGTCCGTAAAATGCATATATATGGATAATCCTAACCCTCTAGCTCAATGAAGCCCGATCGGGAAGTGCTCATGGACAAAGTTTTTCCCCAACTTTTTTTTTGAAAAGTAAACTCAGTAGCCGTTTGTGTCACCATTCTGTGGTTTAGCGCTCGTTATGATCCTGATGTTTATGTTTTTATGTTGTCTTATAATACCATGGGATTGACCAATTCGATGTCTTCATTTGCACGGGAAATTCTAGCTTGCCCCTATTACGGCGTTAAGCTAACATCGTCGGAACAAATGCCCATATAAGGAAATCAGCTCCAGCAAGTTGATGTTCAAACCGTTTCCTCCCGCATTTGGCAAACACTACGATGACGTCAGCACTCGGTCAGTCCACTCTTACTTAATGTATGGGCAATTTTTATGTAATTGGAAAAGGAATTTTAGGATCTAAATTAACTATTGCTTATGTGGCAGGATAATAAAAATGTATTAAAAAAAACAACTTCAATGTTCTCTTGTGACTGTCTGTTGAAATCTTTTGACGGTTTCAATCTTAATGATGCATCGGAGTCTGTTATTAAATACAGTCTATATAGTCTATGCATAATTTCATCTGAATAAAAGGCATTTCAAAGTTATTGGTTTGGTCATGGGATTAAGAATTGAGAATAATTTGGGTAAAGGATTGAGACACTATATTTTTACTATATTTGAATTACTTCCAGGAAATAATCCACCCAAAGATCAAGCTAAATTACTTACTACTACTTGTATTCAATTGATTTGGACACAGAGCGGCTTCTACAGTTGCAGTACATACGCTTATGCAAGGTTTCAAAGTATACAATAATGATTAGGGCTGTCAAAATTATCGCGTTAATTCACGTTAATTACCGTTTTCATTAACGCGTTAAAAAATAATTAACGCATTAACTGCGTTTCCCGCTATTTTCACGTTCCCAGATCGAGCCAGCAGATAGCAGCATTGCTCTATGAATGGTTTGCAAATAGCTAGATGCACTTTCTGGTGATTTCAAAAAAACTTACCTCTACTCGACTGGGGATTACAGGGGAACGAAACAAGCTAGAAACAAAATTATTTTTGCTGATGAAAGTAGACAGTCCATTCTTTCAGAATCTGGTTTTGGATTTTAGATAGTCATACTGTAGTACACAATATTCTGTGTGTCTTGAAAATTCAGTAAAAATCATCAGAAACGGTTGGCAATATGGGAGTACCTGTTCTGAAATAGGCTGGCAGTCAATCGCATGTTCGAATGACCCGCCCATTTATAATAATATCACTCAAAATGCCACGGACACGTGCGTGATGGTGACAACGGTAACGTGGTCATATAATACACGCATATATATACGCACAGGGCCATTCTCTGATGTTGTGTGACACACGGAGGAGAGGAGGAGACACGCTGAAATGCAACCAAACTCGCAAAATTAAAGCTGGGGCACCTACATTTTCCCTTTCATTAACAGCTCTTGTTGGTTGTACCCAAAAGTAGAAGGTTATGAGCAAGTCAAACAGATTTAAGTACATTTGGTATGAATAACAATGTGTCATTACATTTGAAAATCTCATTTAACTTCAATTGAAGTGGATTTGAAATAGAATGTTAAAAATGCGATTAATCGTGAGTTAACTCACCATTACTATGCGATTAATCAACAAAATTTTTTTTATCGTATGACAGCCCTAATAATAATTTAACGCTTTTATCGCCACCGTTTCCTTTGAGCACACATTCATAGTGGTTTATTGTTTATTCCCCTGGTCAACAAGAGCTCGCATGTGTGAAGCGGCTGCACTCAGAAAAAGACACATTCAGGGCCATAAACATCGGCCCAATATTAGCAGAGCATGACATCACCAGATTCCCCATGACGCTGACTGCACTGTAACCACGGTGTCGGCCTTTCATCTCTGATTCACTTGGAGAAACTCTGTATACAATGTGCGCACACCTGGACCATCCTTCTCTGACCTTTACACACAGTTATTCACACTTGGCTTATCTCACACACTTGTTACTTTTACGCACGTCAGACCATCCCCTGCTGTCTTCTTACCAACACTGTATACACACACACACACACACACAGAGATGGAGGGGTCACTACAAAACAGCTAAGAAAAAAGCTGTTAAAGACAGCTCAAGTAAAAAAAAAAAAGACTATTTCGTTTGAGAAAAAGAGAAAGTCCGAGGCACTCTTGACAGTATATAAAAAATCCAAACAGGGACTACGAATTTTGGCCACATAGGCCCTTCTTCAAGGAATATAATCACAACTATTTTAATGCTGGATTATTTGCAGCTATGGTAGGAAGTGGATAAAGGATCAAAACGATGTTGGCGTTGTTAAAATAATAGAACGCAGAGCATTCTTAAATCTTTGGACAAGGAGTGACTCCTTCACACGGGAGGTCATCTTGTACTGTTATTTCAATAAAACAAAGTCCTTTCAAAGTCTTTCTTTAAAATGTATTTCAGTTCTTTCAAATCAAACATATGCGACAATGTGATGAAATCTATCACTATCAATCCTGGCTCTAAAAAAGTTTGCTTCTATCACTAGTTTCCACATGCGTGTCTTTCTTTGTCGGACAGGAAAGAGGAAAAGAGAAGACCAGCCCCTCCCTCGGCCATCAGTTCTCAGCCCAAAGCCTCAAAAAGTGATTCATAGGGCTCTTTCGTATAATTATGATTTCTGTTAAGATGAAGACTGTTGTGGTCTGATATGTTCACACTATTTTGCTTTTACTTTACCATTTTCTTAGAAAGATGTGTTATTCTTGACCCAAAAAAAGCAATAGGTACTCCACTTTTAACCTTAAAAAATCTAATATTTGTCGCGATTTGAGAATATTTAGACTGGCTTATAACACAATTTTCCAACCAAAAAAGTAGCTGTATATTCGTTTTAAATTTCAGCACCTTTTTGCCTTTTTACAGGTCAGTTCAATTAAGACATTATACAATATCTTATGCTTGTCCCATTGCCATTGGCATATCTAGCATAGATTACTAACTTATTCTGTGACATTTTTTGCTTTTTATTTTGCAAAAAAGAAATTATTTAATACTTTTAATTATAGACACCATTTCTTTCATCCACAAGATTATGTCGTATTTGGGTAGACTGGAAGCTGTTTGAAAAGATTAAGTGAATTTACAGAAATCCTTTAGTCTCTTAAGTGATGTGTTTTGTCTGCACGCCCGCTCTCCTCTTCACGGCGTCTTCTTTTTGTTCTCTGTAGCACCTCTTCGCTCTAATCCTGGCACAGATATGGCTATCAGCAACGTCTAGCCGGCGTGTGCCTATCTTCCACCATATGTGCATAGAATGGTGCTGCAAACAATGGCAGGTTCCTGTTTCGCGCCTGATTGGCTCGTCAGGAGGGTGAATGATTGTAAAAACACTAAGCTGCCATTCTCCTGCTGTGGTGTTATTCTAAGCTCTCTCTTTGTTCTGGAGACTGCGATTGCTTTAATGTATGAGTACAAGTAGAGGTGAAAGCAAAGACATTATACATTTGGATTGTATACAATAGAGAATGTGTTACAGGCAACACAATCAGTTTTAATGAACCAGAGGGGTCCTGCGGTGCTGTGTATTCACTCTATGGCATTCAGATATACTGCTCTTTGGAAGAAGTCATCCTTGTGTCTGATTTGGGTTGATAGAGTAAGAGATGGGTATGGAGATGGGGAATTCTGCTGGCTTCTGCCGTCTAAAATAGCAAACAAAATTAAAACATAATAAATCCTATACTAAATGTATACTAGGGAAACTTAAGTTTTACATTACCAGTTACAGAACATAAGGAATGAGGAGCACACAGCTAAATTTAAGTGAACAAAAACTCTATACTAAAATAAAATCATCTTTAACTTCAGCATAATAAAATACTGTATATTCGAGTGAAAGAAATATATAGTTGTATGTTTACGTCTGTACATATTGGCTGCATTAGGGAATGGGACAAAGTGACTTGTGTATTATTTAAGAAGAAGTAAAAGTTACATATCCAAGCCATTTTAGTAGCAGCAGCAGATATATTAAGAGAAAACAAACAAAAACAAAAGGCTATGTGTAGACAACCCATGAAAAGATCCTACACAGGAATAGCAGCTTGAGAAATACGCACCTCTTGGAAAATCGTTCTAAAACGGTTGATCTTAAGTTTAATTTTATCAGTGGTTATCAGTCAAGAGGAGGGTTGTTCTGCCATGAGTGATGGCTAACGACATGCAGGGAGTGGCTAATGATGGTAGAGCAAAAGATAAGTAAAACTGGGGGGGTTAACGGCTGGAGACAGGTGGACTGTGTGTAAACATTTTGTGTGTGTGTGTTGGGTGGGATTTTGTCACAGTGAAGATTACATGTGTGATTGACAGAAAAAAATGTGTTTGAAAGAGGCGCTAACAACTAACTATATTACATTATTCTACTACAACTTGGGTGGAATAATAGTTGACAATACTGAATGTCGTAGTGTTGGATTATCCACATTTACAATGTGGGTGGTGATAAGCTATTAATGAAGCCACAGCTGCCCTTGGGCACACTGACAGAAGTGAGGCAACCGGTATGTGCCATCAACCCCTCCAACCACCACCAACATTTTCAAGCACATCTCAGACTGTGGGTGAAGTGTCTTGCCTAAGGACACTACGACAGGCACTTTACAGCGGCAGTCACCCCCAATGTGGCACCTGGTGTTCCCAGAGGTTTCCCATCACAGTACTAACCAGGTCATGCCCTGCTTAGCTTCAGAGGTCTGACCGGGTCACACGCAGTTGGCAAAAGGAACTTTATACTGGGGCTAATCCAGCACTGGCATGGTGGTTTAGACCCCATAGTGATACATCAATCAATGCTTGTATGATCGGATTCAAGCTTTTTTTACTGTAAAAAAAAACATGTTTAGAGCATTTTAAAAGTGCAATAATGGTGAGTGTTTGACAAAGTAGTGTTATTATTACCATGGATTGTGGTTAACCTCGACCAAAGCGAGGCATACAAACGATAAAGTAAAACGCAAAAACAACAGCTCTAATGTTATTCGGACGTGAGACTTGCTTTGGGACCAAAGTGGAAGTTGGTCATGAAACAGTCGGGCATATTTTTCCAACGCGCCGTACAAATGTGTGCAGACCTGTCCCAGTGACCCATAACCACTGACACATGAAGCATATCTGGTGCATCCAGTCTCGCCTCTTTCCCACAATTCATCCACCTCTAAACCTACACGGAGAGATGCCGACCCTCAAAACCCCAGCTCCTGACCCCATGCGCCAGGGTTATGGCCCACAGCTTGAAACCCAAACTTCATCTCTGCACATGACATCAAAGCCTAGATGGCCGTTAACGCTGTAATCGGATAGGTCGCCTGGATAGAGCAGTGACCAGCGCGCTTTAGGCCAAACTGTGGGAAAGCGTACACAACCACACGTGCTGGGTATGATTTATTTTTCACTGCTTTTCCACCACACCTGGCGGATCATAAAACAAGTCAAATCCGGGCCAGGTGTGCGCGAACTCTAACCTGTCCGACGTTAAAAAACACAAGCTTTCTCGCCAAGGGGCCCACATCACAGCGCCTTTAAGCCTCATCAGTCTTCTACATGCAATATCCTAAAGCCTTAAGAACAAGCTTCAATAGGGTTTTAAAACGAGGGTCCTAATGAGCTCGAGGTTAACAGCAGATGTGGAGTCAGATTACTGGCATTAAAGGGGAAGTATACTTGTATCTGATGGACCTTTGGTTAAGGTTACTACAGCGGTCATGTCTTATCACGGTAACATATCTAACCATTAGTACTCTGTGTGTCTGCAGGGGGAAGTGGAGGTGGTCTGAAGAAAGAAAAGGTCTCTCGTCATGTTTACAACGGGATTATTTCATATACTCTTACTCATCAGAAGCAGTTGTGTAAAAAAGTAGTTTTAAGGTGGACTGTATATGAGTTTTCAAAGAGGCCAAACCAAAATACTCCCCAATACTTATTCAAAACAAAAAATAATACATTAATAAACACATCCTTAGTATATTCTTTTATTTCTCCAATAGGGTTTTAGTAGCAACATGTACTTTAGTTCAGTATTTATTTCCATAGAGATTGTCAAGTTTTAGACAAAAATTAAAATATCTCCATACAGAATATGACTCACCTCAAAACTATATTTTTAAGTTTATTGAAAATATCTCTTATCTGCCCTTTTAAATCTGTTTTACCCAGTTAATGAAATATGTATTGTAACCCTAGAACATTGTAGCCCTACTTTAGCCTTGTTTTTATCCAAGTTTCTCCTTTTTTGGACGAACTGTGATACAAATGGTATTGCAAACCTTTTGTTTTGCTTTTTATTATCTAAGAAAATTGTCTCACACTACGTCAATACATTGTTAACTTTAGAATGAGCCAATATACTCGAGCCTTTTACTCCCCCATTACAGTTCATTTAATCCTGCATTACAATAATCGCTGGGCAATCGCTGACTCCTAACAGGGTCATAAAAATAAGGCGTCTCCCAAAAGGATTTCAACATCCCTGGAACGTTTGAAGATGTGGCCCACACAGTTTCTGGTGGTTTGGGGTTTCCACCATAGATTTTATACAGCGTTTAGTAGAAAGAGAGAGAGTGTGCCAAGCTGCAGAGGCCCCATTGTAGCGTAAAAGCCTTCATCATTACCAGAGCCCACAGACTGTAATCACTCCCAGGTTTTGCACTGTTCTAACCGCTACCTGCTCGACAAAAACAGTAGAAAGTAGATACCGAAAAGCAGCCGGTTCAATAAAAGCGTATATGTTGCAGATGTTGACAGACGGCAAAGCATTTCATCCTGGGAATAAAAGTCATCTGATATACAGCAGGCATAAAACACACACAAACAGACAGCATAGGGGGAATATAAAAGGCAATGAAAAACATGGCTTCTTTCCAACCAGGAATCCACTGGTCGCTTTGAAATATAACTCACAATGCAGGATTCTAAAAGGACATTTTTCCAAGTCAAAGGAGATTAAGTTACTAAATGTATGTCAAGATGTTTTGGGGGGTTAAAATGTATGATAAGTTTGTACTATATGTTTTAAATGCTGATCTACTTTGGTAAAATGACACCTGTGTACATGTTTTACATCAGAAAAACTCAGTTAATGAAGAAAAATGGGAAAATAGGTTGAATTGTTTGAAGAGGACGAAAAGCAGAGTTCCAGAACAGTGGGATTGACATAACTTAACCTAAAGTTTGGCACAATTGACAAAGAAACCCATTTTTTAAATCAGTGTAATGTAATTTCTCTAATTATTTCTGAATACATATAGGAGGAGATTAAGCCCAGTTTATTATATGGCCACTTGATCATCAATCACAACCAATAAGGAAAAACATGGTCAAACTGGAATAGAATTAGTCAAATATTTAAATGTAATAGTGTGTACAGTGTTTTTATGAAAAGTATTACATATCATACTGTATATTTGATTGTTTTTTTATATTTTTATTTTTGTACGGCACTTTGGTCAACTGTGTTGTTTTTATTAGTGCGTTATAAATAAATTGGATTGGATTGGATTGGATACTGTCTGTCATATAGTGTGGACTTTCATTTTGGACTCATCTGTCGTCTTGCCTTTTTGAGTTCTCCTTCCTGTCCCATTGATTGTTTGCCCAACCCAAATATGATTCTTCTGTGTCTCCCTGTGTATTTGTGCTTTTCCCCACTTGTCCTGTCCATTGTCCATCCCACGTGTGTTCCAGACTTGTTGATTTCCGTGTTTTAGTGTTACCCTGGATATGGTTTTATGTCATTAAATAGCGCTTTACTTTCTGTCCTGTATTTAAGGATTCCTTAGATTTAATTTCACCACAAGCATTCTTGAAGCGTGGAGTTAGATAATATGGTTCTCATTGATGATGCTCTGCTATTGTTCTATTCTCAAAACACTGCATGATATTCATAGTAAAATGGGCAGAATTCTCTCCGATTGTCCTCATACAAACCAATTACACAAGAAGACGATGCATGTGAAGTCCTGATCACTTTAATTACTTATCTAATCTATTCCAGATTATTCCAGTAAACCTCATGAAATGCTCTTTGTCTGTGGGGCCTCGCATAAGAGCCAGCTGGCCCAAACAGGAGGAAAAGGCAGATTTTGTGACAAAACTTTCTATCTACCTTCCGCCCTTTGACAATTATCTTCCCAGATCCAGTCCCTGCAATCACTAACACATGCTCTTTTCAGATTTCAGCCATTGCCGTGCATTTATGTCCCTAGTGTTACCTTGAGACAGGCCTCCACACATCAATAGAAAAGTGCAATTAACCTTTCAACATATGCAAGCACTTCACATTGACATTTTTAACATGAACGTTGTCGAAGATTTTGCAGATCCAAACACAGATGGGCTGAGAGCCTGAGAGTGCTTTTCTCAAATTTATTTAAACTTGATCTATATTCTGTTGGGCTAAAAGCACGTAGCCTATTAGGTTAGTATTCCATGGCTTTATGGGGAAGACAAACAAAAAATCTTGAATCAACAGTTATCAGAGCCCTAAACATGAGGCTTATCAACATTCACAACAGGCTTCCAGTTAGTGTTTGTCTGTTAAAAGTCACTAATATGCAAATCTACTCCATATCTATCCATGCAGGTTGCAAGTTCATGCATATTATAATTAGCATACAGTTTGGGGTACATAACTTTCCAACCACAAAAAGAACTTAAAATACATCTAAATACTTCCTCGCTCTCAAAACAGTTTGCTTCTATCACTTTTCTTCACATACATGTATTTTTGACTCATCTTTAAATCAGCTTTTTCAGATATTTTTTTTTAAAAGCTCTTAGTCAATCAGCTCTCAACTCAAAATAGGCAAAAGATAAAACATTTTTAATTAAGAAGGTCTGATTTGTTTCCGGCGTTTCACTATTGCAAAACTATACTCTTGGAACAAAAAACTTCTGTTGTACCTCGGCCTAATGGTGAGGTAAATCTTTAGTCAACAAATACCCCCAATACTGGACACAACAACTAGCTTTCATCTTTTTCACTGTAAGAACGTCTTTATCAGATGTGTATCCGGTCAAGCAGAACTCCCACCTCTCTTTGCTCAGAGCCATTCGTGGAGGATCTAAGTTGGGATTCTCCATGGACTCCATTTGTGGGCAGCGCAGGAAGTAGTAGAGGGTGTGGAGAGCGTCCGGTGACCAGGACACGGGCTGCTGTGGGCGGGCATGACGGGATGGACTCTGGCCTGCACGCACGGAGCTCAGCCTCTGCATGTGGTGCATGGCTCTGGACACCAAGTCGCCTGAAAAAGAAATGTGATTTAGGCAAGTTTTTTTGTGGAGCACAGTTCATACACAAGGCAACTCAAAGTGCTGAACAAAACAAGACAGAAACAAGACACAAATGATCACAGTGCATTAAAAAGAGTGAAGATAAAATCCCTCAGTTTTCTGCACAGCTAAACAGAACTGTTTTTAACCAGGATTTGAACATTGTCAAAGAAGAAGCCTGTCTCACATTTTCAGGAAGACTTTTCCAGATTTTAGCTGCATGAATTGAAATGCTGCCTCCCCATGTTTAGTCACTATTGATATACTTAATATATAGGTATAAATATTTTTAGAGCTCTGCAAAACAATTGTTACCATGGACATCAGTTATTGTGTGCAGCTTTTCCATTGAGATACATTAGAAAAAACAGATTTTGCAGCCTACGGACTGACCCAGCGATATGTAGGGTCACTACTGGAAAATACTTCATAGTCGAATCTCTTGGTCATTTTGAATTGGCTATACAAGGTTTTGCATAAGAAAAAACGGTCTATTTGCATGTACAACATTGATACATTAATTAAAGATACTGTATAATATTGGCTGATGAGGGTGTCATGCAATCAATAATCAATTATGGTCCTTTTTCTCATTCTCAAACCAATTGATTAAAATAGATACAATGCATAAAGCGTTCCCTTCTTGTATAACTTCTCTAAAATCAATTCTCTATTGAAACCATGGCCATATGTTTATTCTCATCAAATACAAATTAAAATGTTTTTGGCTCTTCTCTCCCAAAATAATGGTATTTCTTTGCCTTGTAAAAGTCCTCTGACTATCTGCACTTGTTTTTAGTATTTTTCCATTAATAAATCACAAGAGTAGATGGCTATTATAAATTCATCTGCAGCCACTACAAAGTTAATGGACCAAGAAAGTTTAAAGTTGTGCGTTTGTGTGTGTTTTCTCCGTAATCACTGCGTTCAGCCCGAGGAGGTCGGTCGGACTCAAGGCAACATGTGATTAGGACTCTGAAAATATCCACTATTTTATTGTGACTTGTCTGGGGCTTTACAGCTGTAGTTATACACCGTAGAGGACTTTATCAGGTGATAGAACAGGCCAATATTAACTCTGTGACCAAGGACATGACAGCATTTCATCTACACCAGGGCAGAACAAAACATACAGATTAGATAAAAGGAATGTCATGGCAAGTGCATGTTATTGTACTGTTACCACGACTACCAAATCAGAATACTAAGATTCCACAAGATCCTGGATTCTTGTTGTTGGAATTTACATGCACGATACAAAATGTAGTAGTTGTATAAACATATTTTCTTACATTGCTTGAGTAAAACTATTGTGTTACTTCTAACTTGTGGTGGAAGTTGGGATCACATCATTAATGAAATCTGATTACCTCCTGCCCGAGGGTTCATATCTAATTGGATTACTGCAATACAGGGCAACAAGAAGGCCAAGGCTGAGTGGACCTATATATCTTTATTAAGGGACTTGAGGTACTCTGAGGGGGTCTCACTACAGCCCTCCCAAAACACTCCGCACTTAAAGTTGAAGGACCTCTTTTGTGCTGGCCACCAGCAGCAGCCGTCGCTCCAGAAGTCTCCCAGGAATCGTTACTTAAGATGGAGAGCCTCTGCTTGGTTCTCCACACGCGGTATTGTTGCCTGAGGCGGAAACGGACCGGACTGGGAATGACGGCTCATTTAATTTTGTGGATGAAGACTTTTATTGGAATTTTGTACAGGGCTGGAAGGCATGCAATGACATATTAACATCTTGATGGATTAGTAAAGCCAGTTAAATTTAGATTTATGACCAGATTTTGGTCAACGTTGGTCTTTATGTTAATCCAAGGCAGAAAACAAAGGTTCCCACACAATTTGATTTGATGCTATTTAGATTACAAAAGCTCACAGTTACAATTTACAAACACTTTTTCTTTTTTATAACAAAATGCATTCATTTTATTGGAGGCATGTCAAATACGTTTAAATACAAAGGTTTCATGCAGACTTCTTAACAAGCTCAGTCAAAAAATATAAAAACAAAATCTGGAAGCGATGCCAACACTCAATTTAACAACGATACAGGACCAAACATGCCTCTTTAATGTTTTATGGCTCCAACTGAGCTATGGTTGCTGCAAAATGACATGGAATTGAGTTTAAAAACAATCGATTATGTAACATCTAGTCGCTGTAGCTTCCATTTGGTCCAATTTATGGAAAAAAAATAGGTAGATTTAACTAATTGAAAGAATGATCAAGCTACTAAATGATGACAAAAATAATAGTTGATCACAGGCCTCATGCAAAACTATTTTTAAACTATTTGTTGCTCTACATTCCCAGTACTTGATAGTCCAGTCTTCCAACGCCTTCATTCCAGTCTGTGTGGTGTGTAGCCAAGCTCGGTCTGGACGTGGATCAGCTCAGTACAGATGCTCCTGTGTCCGTCCCGTTTACGGAACCCAGATCTGAGCCGTGTTTTTGTTGTGTGTGTTAGTTTGGAGGCCGGGACGGGTGTGAAGCATGCCAGGACAGCCCATCGACAAGTGGCACAAAGAGAGCTCTGAGTTTGGGGAAGAAAGTGTGTCTGTAACCACGCTTCTGCATCAACGTGGCCTTGTGCAGTGGGAACAGACTGCAGAGTGTTGGAGAGGGGAAACACTAATCTGCCCCCACTCCCCAATGGGCGACTTACCTGCCCCAAACAACCTGACTGCCCCACTGTGCCGCCGGACCACCGCAGGCATCCAACATCCCCCTCAGCCTGCGCTCTGCTGACCACTGCATCCTTCAGACTAATCCCCTACTATCCGTTTTCTCCATACTCATTTCCACATTTCTACTAAAGCCTTCAGGTCTATCAGCAAAAGTAGGAACAAACATCCATGGGTCGTACACAGCATTGAGGTCCAGACTTTTGTGTTATTCCTATAGATTAACTATACTACTATCTAATAATGAAGAAAGAGTTTGTGATTCTGCTCATTTGTGAAAGTGGATTCATGATTTACATGTATTTCTTGGCCATTGCCTTATTTAGCTAACAATGATAATGCTGGCGTAGTTATTTTTCTATTCATAATCATTTTTATCTTCTCAAGTGTCTTTTTATTGATATTCCCTTCAGTCTCTCATTGAATGCCCTCATATATAGTATAAAGTCTTAAAGTTTCAATGATTCTTGTTACAGTTCTGTTAGTCTAGTTAGTTTTAGCTTGTTTTGTTTTGAAACTATTTGTAACCCTTCATTTGAACTTATTTTTACACTGCTACTATCACATCACTTTTACCATTTATACGTCTTGGGTTTTGTTACCTCCCTCAGCCTTGCAGAGCTGGGACATAACAATTCTCATTATCTAAATATACCATACAATACGTTAGATCAAATATATATATATAATATATAAAAGGGATGGACGGACGGCCAAAACGGATGACGTACTCAGTGAATGTCTCAGGCAGTGGCGAGATGAGGAGGTGCTGGAGCCCATCATGGGAGAACAAGCCCCTACACGGCATGTACCACCGGAGCATAACAGAAGTGGTTGATCTCAAGAAGTCCTACCAATGGCTAGAAAGGGCTGGCCTACAGGACAGCACAGAGGTACTCATCATGGCTGCACAGAAACAGGCACTGAGCACCAGAGCGATAGAGGCCCAGATATACCACACCAGACAAGACCCAAGGTGTCGGTTGTGCAAAGAAGCACCTGAGACGATCCAACACAAAACTGCGGGGTGCAAGATTCTGGCAGGGAAGGCCTACATGGAACGCCACAACCAAGTGGCTGGCATAGTGTACAGAAACATCTGTGGAGAGTATGGGCTGGAAACTCCAAGGTCTAAGTGGGAAACTCCTCCAAAGGTGGTGGAGAATGAGCGTGCAAAGATCCTGTGGGACTTCCAGATACAGACCGACCGAATGGTAATGGCGAACCAACCTGACATTGTGGTGGTAGACAAAGGGCAGAGGACAGCCGTGGTGGTGGACGTGGCAATTCCAAGCAATGGTAACATCCGGAAAAAAGAACATGAAAAGCTTGAGAAATACCAAGGTCTCAGAGAGGAGTTGGAGAGGGCCTGGAGGGTAAAGGTGACAGTTGTGCCCGTGGTGATCGGTGCACTCGGGGCAGTGACCCCGAAGCTAGAAGAGTGGTTACAGAGGATCCCTGGAACATCTCGGTCCAGAAATGTGCAGCGCTAGGAACAGCAAAGATACTGCGCAGAACCCTCAAGCTCCCAGGCCTCTGGTAGAGGACCCAAGCTTAGAGAGGGATAACCGCCCGCGGAGGGCCAAAGGTGAGTGGAAATTTATTTATTTATTTATTTATATATATATATATATATATATATATATATATATATATATATATATATATATATATATATAGTGTATATATGCAAAAATCCTCCACAAGACTCTTGGTAAGTGTAGTAGAAATGCACTGTAAGATAATATTGTATATTAATTCCCTCACCTTAGTTTTTGGGATATTTTGATTGGTTGTCAAATCATGAAGTGATCTGTTGATTTCTAAACCAAATACTGCCTTTCTGAAGACTACATTTGGAATAGTACCAGGAGCGCTGGTGTGTACTATCTTCTCTGGTGCACAATAGTAGTCTTGCACAGTTTTTCCAATGTGGTTTTACTGCAAATGGCAAATAAATGATTGAATCTTGAAAATAGACTAAAGCATCAATAAAAGTGCATTAACAAAGGTTCAAGTATTAGTCTTTGTCTGCAACCAACTGAGATTCAAGTCATGGAAAGTCCAGATAATCTGAAATAATCTACAAAGAATAAATGTTCTTATAATAAACGCAAACTCCATTAATTAGCTCTAAGGATTACTGTTTATTGTTGATGTTTCCAGTGCTGTGTAAAATTCCAAAACACAACATAATCCCATTACGGCTTAAATCTACAAAAAAAACTGCCCCTGAAGACCTTTAAGTGCATCGGGAAGCTTTTTATCTTTTTATACTCTAGCCTAGGTCTTTTTCAGTGGTCATGGAGGACAGATAAACCGTGATAAGTGGGAAAACAACCTCCCTAAAGCCTATATACAGGACCACTGTAGTGTAAATGGCATAATGGAGCCTGAGTCTTTTATCATAAGTGGGTTAGCAGCAGAAGCGACACAGAGAACCTCATTGTTCACTGACCCGATGCGCTGTTCTAACAAGCAGGGCATTATCTCAATATATGGTACTTGGGTTATGAGTAAACAATAGCATTATCGCTTGATTCTCCAGAGCTGCTGGTGAAAATAAGCAAATTCCTGTCATATTTATAAAGGTGCAAATTGGATGTTATTCAAGTGGATGGACAAGACAGGACATCACATTGAGAGAATAAAGTGGGTCAAGTCAAAGTTTGTCTAAATCTACATATTTCTACATTATCTAGAGTAAAAGAGACCTACAGTATTTTGTGGATCATCCCATTTGTGCAGATGTGGAAGCCCCAAACAATACTCTATCGCTTCCACTTTTATTGTGTTATTTTGCTTCTGAAATTAACTCTTTTGACTATCAAGTGAACACAACCTAAATGTTGAAAACCAAAGATAACTCAAGTCAAGAAATTAGGATAAATATTAATAAAGGGGTGAAGTTTGGTGGTTCGAGCTGTCATCTCTCTCAGAAGAAGAAGGTGCTGGATTTGACTCCTACTGGGACTAAGGGCCTTTCTGAGAGGAGTTTGCATGTTCTCCCTGTATCTGCGTAGTTCCATTAATTCATTAATATAGAAGTGAAACTCGAGAAACTAGAATATTGTAAATACATTTACTTCTGTTATTCAACTTACAATGTGAAACTAATATATGGCAGTTTTAATACACCCAAAGTGAGATGTATCAAGCCTCATGAATAACATAAAAGTTAGAATAAAGCCATAATCATCAAAATTATACCCAACAAAGGCTTGGCATCTGTTTCTTTGCATGTAAAGAGTCTAAATCACATATAAGTTTCAAATTTTAGGTTGAATTACAGAAATAAACAAACTTTTGAATGACACTGTGAAATGAAAACTGATTTGATTTGATTATCTGAATACAACATTTTCTTATTCTGCCTGTAGGGAAATGGCCTTCACCAATATGTTCATTTTGGACTGAAGTATAGAGCGCACAGCTGTTGCACGTCAATTGTCAGCTAATGCGTCTCAATCTGCGTGCACTCACTGAGTTCGGAGATGCTGCCCACACACGTTGCCAAGAGGGACTGTTCCAGGGTCCGGAGCTCGAGCTGGGCATACGCGTCCTCCCTGCTGTCCAGAGACGACTGCTGGTTCTCCGTGTAGGGGCTGAAGTGTGCCGGCAGGGATAAAACACCTACGAGACAAAACCACAGAGCGTTTATGAATAATGAGGGTCATTAGTGAGCAGAAATCCAGGCTACTACAGGGAGCAGGATAAGAACGGACAATCAGCAGTGCGTGTGCTTGGTGTGGATGTAATCTATAAACATGGAAAAGGGCAAACGAACACAAAGCAAATCTTGACTCGAAGCAGTTAGAGAAATAAATTGAGTTGTAGCTTTAGCTAATACAGAGAAAGCAGATGATGGAACAAGACCTTGACAGGATTGGAAGATCTTGAAGAGTTCAATGCAAAAACAGTTAAAGAATAGTCAAAAAGCTCACACGTTTTGTTATTGACACTAGATTTGCTTAAGAGGGATTGAAAGAATACTTGTATAGCAGTAAAATGATCTGGCTTTTCACAAAAATCCTTAACTAAAACTTCTGATATAATATAGGTTGCCTACATATGTATTTATTGTACCAAGTAAAACCTAACACACAGAGAGAGTAGAAGAGACATTGCCAAAACAGTGTTTGGGGCACTTTGGGACAGCGGTGGCATTTCCTCTTGAGCTGTCTCTGGAGAACCAATCTGCCATCTACTTCTAAGTTAAACATGGGTTAAAATGGATTTCAAAACAGCACAACCACCTTTAATACATCAAAATTAAACAAACACTATATACAAATCCTCTAAAGCATTTATTTCAGCTTATAAAACAAGACGACGGCTTGTAGTTGGAAAATGTTACTCCAAACTGTAGACCGAGTGACCACTGACTTTGTAAACACCAATGATCCATGAGGTAAACCTGCTTTGCCCCAGGGGATGTTCCTGAAGCTCGCAGTAATAGGCAGAGTTTGGGAATCGTTTACAGAGTTTTAAACGGAAAATCTCCACATTTCTTTGTCTTGAGGGAGAAGAGAGGCTGATATTCCCAAAACGACGTTCCCATGTGCTGCTGGACAAGTTCGTCTGGAATTTGGGAGGGAAAGAGAATGGAATTACTGGAGAGGATTTCCGAAATTGCTTTCCCTCAAAGAAGACTTTATTAAATTGACATGTGGTTAAGAGTTAAGGGAGCTATAACAAATGGACAGAGACTCCTTACATCATAGTTTCACAGCATTCTCATGAGCAGAATACGGAAACATCACTTCCCGCTCGCCTTGTTGGATATTTTTGTGCGTGTGAAAAGCAGATAACCCTTTGCATGCGTCATTTGCAAGTATAATTTTGGAATTAGGTTGATTTCAGTGAAGTTGACACCAGCAGTGTCAACACCAGCTGCAAATGTACACACAAAAAGATTGTCAATTATGTCGACTTTCAGTGGCGTGACTCATGGAAGAATCACATCGACGTCAGTGTGAAAAGACTTTTGATAGGTGCAATGCTTATACTAAAGTATCTCAAATCATGATGCATGATTCATAGGAAACACCAACCAACCTATCTACCTATCTATCTATCTATCTATCTACCTATCTATCTATCTTCCTAACTATCTACCTACCTTCCTACCCATTTATACTTCTATCTACAGTATCTATCTACCTTCCTACCCATTTATACTTCTATCTACAGTATCTATCTACCTTCCTAATCTATTTATCTACCTTCCTATCAACCAACCAACCCATCTATCTATCTATCATCAACCTACCTTATACCTATTTATCTATCTATCTATCTATCTTCTGAACAACCTACCTACCTACCTATCTATCTTCCGAACAATCTACTTTCCTAACTACACCTGCCTATCTATCTATCTATCTATCTATCTCACTCCATAGGCCAACATTGTCTATGGCTTTTCAACCAAAGACAAGCATTTTTCCATGTAACCTTTTATGCTTTTGTTGCTCCTACAATAAACGATTTTTAATTCAACACTCCAACTACTGTAACCTCCAATTGATTCTGAGGTTTCTGGTCTGTTCCCACAGTCCCACCCGCTTCACCGCAGAGCCCTGAAGACTGCGTCATGTTGGCCTGATCTAAGTCCTTGCCACCACCACAAATATCATGGGCACATTCAGCCTGGAGCGTGGAGTTAAAAGTTCAGGGGAGGGTCTGGCGCTCGACAACCGGGACGTCCCGAGCAATGAAGGGTTGGCAGGACACATACGAGTAACGATTGTGACGCTAGGGTGTGGCATCGCAGACAAGCTGCACAAGGGATTCATTATTTAGCGGTCAATATGGTTCCATTTCTGAGGTTGACCCTGCCGATGTCATGTGGGGTTGTTGACTATACATCGTAGAAGCAAGCTGATCACACAGTCTGGAGCCGTGCTAATCAGACTCTCAAAAACCAAAAATATCTCCCACAGTAAGTTTGGTATACAGTTGGAATGCTTATTTAACTCCAGCCAAGTTTTCCTTTTCAATTGGAGCTGATTGTTGATATTTGAAACCCTCATAGACGAGTCTGATTGAGAAAGGGAAAGCATCCAAGACAATCTATTCCATAAACATTATATATTGTGAGAGGCATATGTCATAATAATGATATATATGACACACAAAATGCACTACTTCTAGAAGAGTAATACATACGCTAATATATTTGACAAGATTCATGCATCTTTGAACCTCTGCATTGTGATAAGCTGAGCATAAAGACAGATCACGGTTTGGTTTACCTCCAAATAAAATATTAAAGGCATATAGGAGGATTTTCTACTTCCGGGTGGATCATCAAGACTAATGGTCCTTCTAACTGTCAATCATTCTGGTGATACATGCTCGTCAAACTAGACCAGAGTTTTTTTGTTTTAAGTGGAGAGGGCGGCTCCTTTCTAAAATTTGGGAAAATACTCTTCTATACCTTTAAGGCTATAAATCTATCATGTACAACAATTCAAACTTCTTTCACCTCATTTTAACAGTGTTATACTTTGGTTTCTAGACCTACAGTCTTGTACACTTCTAAATCCTCTTCTTATAATACTTTCCTATAAATTGAAGCAGATATATACTCATCTCTGTGGTGTAAAATTCAAAGTGTGGTTGTGGTTGTAGCTAGCTGAAAAAGCAAGAGCCGGTCTAAATCAATCCACCTAAATGCCATCGAAAAGCACATTATTTCACATGATGTCAGCCTGAATAAAAACATACACCTGGCAAACTGTGGGAACTTGTTGACTTTAGACTTTTTAAAACACCCAGGAACAAATGACATCTCCTTTATAGGTCAACTCATATGAGGTGAAGACGCATTTCGCTTCAGTATTTCCAAAAGCTGACATTTCCCCACTGTTTGCCATGTATTCTCCCACACTTCTTACTTTCCCACCGCCCCAGCCCTGAAAACACCACACCTAATTGGTCTGTGCAATGAAGTGTTTTGTCTACTAAACCTGAGAGCGTTTGAAAGACACAAGGACGGGGTCTCTGCTGGTGGACGGGCTCAGTGGGAGAACATGAGCGAAAGAAATGCAGGAGTCAACACCTGCTCGGCCTCATCTAACAGCCTCTTCATTCACTATAGTGTGGACGGATCAGAGGCCCGTCGAAAAATGCCTTCAAAGCCACTTCCCCCGTCAGTCAGAGGGCGGCTCTGACTGATATGCGGCCAGGAGACAACGCTGTGTAAGCCCCAGTGTGAATGTCTGACATGTCTACTATACTAGCTGCTCGTGCTTAAAGCTGGGGTACATACGTTTGAAATAATATACAATGCATCTGCAGTTTACCCATCCAACTAGTTCCTGGCTCTAAATCAGCTAATCAGCTAATTCACAAACAGTAAATGTTCACAAAATTTTTACTTTCAGACTCTTTCTGTTGAACAAGAAAAAACACAAATGAGTTAACCACCCCGGATATTACAAATTAGGTATTACAATGACCTTGGATTCTATATGAGCCAAACAAATAAAGAATTATTGCTACTGATATGAGGTGGAAGATCCTGGTGGCACAAAAATGTTCAGGAATTCTTACAAATTCAACAGAAAAACCCCCCAAAAACCATGTTATCGTGTACATGACTATTATTAGACCCATTCAAAGATTCCATTAATGCCAATGTCAATTCACAAAAACAACAGAAATTGACTATTTTAAAGACCAGGGGCCGTATTCCTAAAGATTCTGAGAGTCCTCTCAGAGAGCTCTTATCTTAACCTTAAAACTCCTAGCTAGGAGTCTTAGCTTAAAAGTTATTCCAGAACACTCTTAGAGAACTCTGAGCAAGGAATTGACAACAACTTTTATCTTAGTGAGGAGGTGTGGCCGACCCCGTTGCTAGGTATGAGTCATCATTTCAGACGCTGTGATTGGTTGATCCTAAAAGTTAGAACAAACATATTTTTGATGATAATAGGCAAAATAAGGGCCCTAAAATGGACAAACTCAATCATGGAATCTAATCTTAGGAACACTGTGTTATTGTAAATAATAACCAAAAGCTATAAAGTCAGATATATCAATGGTACATAAATACTGTGAATAGTAAAGTTAGACTTATACACCATCATCAGAGCTTGCTCAGCACCAATTTATCACACATAATACGTATATATCATGAGCACTTATAATTTTTTATATATATATATATATATATATATATATATATATATATATACATATAATTTAAATATTACTCTATATATAATATACATGATAAAGAAAATTATTATTATAAATATTATATGGATAAATGATGATAATGATAACGTTAGGATTAGTAAAGGCTGTGATATGTATAGACTTATAAGGAATTAAGGAAACAATATTAATATAAACATATTATACATACACTGTACAAATCAAGTACAAGGGAGCTTAAAAGTCTTATCCTCTCCCACTCCTTTTTGAGCTGGATTGTTGTTAATAAAACAAAACTGTATATTTGTACTTCTATTCTGTTGTTGTTTTTTGTTGTTTTGTCCTTTTTTTTCTTGTTTGCCATGGCTCAAAATAAAGTATTCATTCATTCGTACTGAATGTGTGACAATTTAGGACCACTTTTTCCTCTCTTTCAACTTTTACCATTTCTACTTACTTTTGTGTAA